CCCCAGAAATAAATGGATGTGGGATACAGGCTCAGCTTGAGATGCTGCTTGTATACTGGCTACCCTCCTGTCTAGCAGTGGCCCTTCTGGAGCTCCTCAACTTCATTGATTGAGTAGAATTCCATTTTCCCAGATCTTTATTAATTAGCGTTTTCAAACTCTATGCCTTTGGGTTGGGTCTATGAGCCCTAGAATTTCATAACCTCCAGGTGACCATAAGATTGTCTTGGGTAATCTTGCCTCAAATCGTAATAGTGATTTCATGCAAGATTGGATTTTTATTTTGGGGCAGGAATGACATGATCTGGAGAAGGAGGACATTATATCTGTTCTTTGTGTGGTCAGGTCACTTTTTGTCAAGATTGTGAGTACCATGACTCTCCAAATTGTCATGGCCAATTAGGATAGCCCACATTGGTTGCCTGATGGATTATGAAAGTTTTCTGAAGGCATCTGGGAAATTCCATCTATCTTGAGCTTAGTTGACCTCTAGTGATTCAATCAGTTGATAGAGAGATGGATGGCATATAAATGTAATAAAGTAAATAAATAACTATAGCTCTGGATGAGATTAATTAACAATGAGATTGCCTCTTTCAACTCACCAATCCTGATTAGCTGCCTAGTTCTCAGAAGAGCTACAGGAACTGAAATGAGTGTAAAGACACCTAGAAGAGCTACAGGAACTGAAATGAGTGTAAAGACACCTAGAAAGAAAAGAGGATAAAATCAAAAGTGAATACTGAATACTGCACTGCTACACATCAGATTCAGGTCTACACAGGGTAACAAGAGAAACAAAGCATCTGTAATGTTCCTCTCTCATTGCAGCTTCAGAGTCCTGCCTGAATACTCTATTCAAATAATCCAGAGTGTTTTGAAGGGAGGGGAAGGATAAAATTATTAGAACCAATTGTGTTGCTTTTGTGGGTTTCTTTGCAGAAAGCTACTCATATTACTCATATTTGCTCAGGGTTTAGATGTCAATTGGGCAGTCATGTCAATAAGTAGGCAATATTTTGCAATGCTGTGTCTGGAATTTGCAAAGTGTGTAAGGCATTTTATTTTACAATCTCAACCAACTGTGGAATGGACCCATGCCCAATCTGACTCTCATCAGGCAGCTAAGGATGTGTGTGGTAAGGTGGATTCAGAAGTGACATCATCTGAGGGGATGAGGTGCTGTGTTCATTGAAAGAGGCAGTGATCCACCACTTGAAGAGACCATCTCTTACTCCAGCTCTATTGAATAACTAACACCCAGAAACCAACTTTTCCTTTTAGGGAAAAATTGTTGACATGGTGGAAAATCAGCTAAATCAAGATCTGTCTAGGATCCTCTTAGCATATTCCATAATATCAGGCCCTGCCTTCTGGTTCACAGTCATCAGTCATGGAGAGGGACCCTTGATCAAACTATCTAAATGTTCTGGCAGAATGGGCAGAATCATTTTGGGCAAGATGGGGTGGAAGGAGGTAGCTAGGGCTCCATTTATGGAGTTCTCCTAGTAGCAGTTAAAAAGCTCCATATCCAGATGATGTATGGTGAAAAGTTTGTAAATACTTCATCTAAGGTTTAATTAATATTTTAAAGGGCCTTAATTCTTGCTATGCTACTTTCATTTCAGAAGGCAGACCATTTAGCAATAGTTGAATATTTTAAATTCAGCTTTTAAACAGCAATACGTGTGCCAAGAACTTAAGAGTTTCTGCCTAGTTGTCCACAGAGAAGAAAGATGAACAAATGATGCCATGAGCATTGTTATCAACACAAAGATCGTTTGTATCACTTGTTCAATAATAACATGATATGCATGATATCACTGTTTAGGAATATCTGTCTCTTCTAACAAATATTGTATTAGCACAATATAGCTTCTCCATAAGTTTACTGAATTAACTCAATTGTCTGGGGCCACATAACACATTGTCTTCTCCTGACTTGGATTTATACAATACATCAAGGCAGAAAGAAGGATTATTATATTTTATAATTATAACAATTATAATTTTTCCTGGTGTATTATTATAAATTTAAACTAAACAATTAGCTTAAGATGGTTCTCATCCCATCTATCAAATGTCAATTCTTACAAAATCTTATTGCAAGCCTGGAAATGCACAGCACACATGAAATCTGAAGTCCCATTTCAAAAATGTTAAAACACATCCTGCATGGCGTGACTCACAAAGCTTCATTTTCCAACCTCCCTGCCTCCATTCACCATTCACTTTGTTGCAGGCCAGGGACTGTTTTATATAAAACTGAAGAAATCTACAAAATAGGTAGACTTACCAGATAGAAGCCCAGAGAAATGTAAAGAAAAATCTTTTGCAATCGTGTAATGTTGCAATTTCTTTTCTTTTTTGTGGGGTGGAGGGGAGAGTTTAATAATTCCTTCTTCCTTTTCCTCTCCCAAGCAGATAACTCCTCCCCAAACCCAACAGTAGAAATGTTGGGAAATGAGGGATTAAAGTAAACATAACAAATGTACACAAAAGAAATATACACTAAAATACTCTCAGCAAAAGCATTGCAAAGCTGTTGCTAATTAAACAACTTTTCGAAACTATTCAACCTGTTGGTAATCACACAATCTGGATGTCAATCTGGATCTGAGTTTCTCCAAAATTTCCCACTATGGATTTTTTACTTTAGCAAACCACCTGGGAAGTATTTTACTGGTCTCTTGCAGATAATGAAATGGCTCATTTGCAATTTTGGGTGAAAAATACGGAGATATTTTACTGTGGTATAGTTACTTTTCAACTGTCGCATACTGAGGCCAGTATTCTATTGCTGGTTTTTAAAATAGGAGGAGCATTACGTAAGAAACATACTAGAAGAATGCCTTTCAGTTTTCCACATATCAACAAATCTTTAGCTAGAGACAGGGAGGGAGGGTCATGTAAAAATTGTGGAAATAGGATTGGGGATAAGATTAAGCCTGTCATACAACAAGATGAGGAAGCAGCTCTATACACACTTTTGTATTGTGTCAAGGCAAATTATGCATCATATGACAGACATTCTTATTTACAAAACTACCTGTTGTTGTGATGGGTTTACTGCACCTGAACCCTCTTTCTCTGGGTTGAATGATTATCAGCTGACAAGTCCATCTGACAAATCTGAGCCATTCCAAGGAAATGCAAAGGATGCTAAGTACCGTATATCATGTTGCTTATTTCCTGCCTTTATCTTCACTTGTTTTTACTTTAGAAGACAGCAAATGCCATTGATTGGCGGTGCCTTTCTGACGTTGTTCAACATACACTCCAGCAGGATTCTGCTTTGGTTAATACCTGGATGTATGCATAAGGTGGGGTAATCTCATACTTGCAAGTAGTTTCCCCAGAGCAATCCTGTTTAATAGCTTTTAGTAGACCTTGCCTTTGTTTGATATGAGGGTGCGGATTTGCAGATCCATGTGTAAATGTAAGCAGACACATTTTATCAAAGTTTTTCTTAAAGGAAATATATAAAGAAAAAAGGCATGTATAAAAAAAGGAGAGGAGAGATAGATTTCACACTTCAACCATTTTTTTTTCCTGCTGGGTAAAAGAAAAGATGTAGGAAGAAAAAAAATGAGAACAATGTAACAACTGAAGATACTGAGAAGCCACTGATTAGCCTCTCACTCCATATCCTCATCCCTAATATATATTTTATTAGGTTATAAATCTGTAGAAAGGGCTGACCTCACTTAGTGTTTTAATAAAGCAGTAGTTGAGCTTCAATAACAATAAAAAGATAGAACTATATTGTAATTAAATATCTGGTCCATATTAAACTTCCCAATCAGGGTAAGCAGCAAGTTTTAAAGCTCCTGCTGAGAACATCTGGACAGAGGTTACAGAGATCATCCAGGTTTCAACACAAAGTTGTATTCCTACCTAAATTGTAGAATTTCTATTCATCATTATTGTAATAATCCTATTTCTCATTTACATGTAGAGATTTATGTAATGTTTGCATTTAGTTATTATTGTATTTTTCCTATTTGGGAGCACTACATTAATTGCTCTCCTAGTTTCTCATTATCAGTGCTATTCTAAAAATTTCTGCTGAAACCTGATTAGACTATACGTATGCATGCTTATGTGTACTTGTGCACAACTGAAAAAAGCAGCTTCTGAGATATTAAAGTGAATGAAAATTAATAACATAGTGAAAGAGTGAGAATTAAAGAATCAAGTTTACAATAATCAGTAGAACAGAATCATTTTATCACTGTGAACTGTAAGGGGCAGTTTAAAATCTCCATATGCTTTTTAAAAAGGCTCCACTGGAAGAGAGTTGTAAAGTGTAGAGCAAGAAAGATATTTGGGAAAGGGAAAACCACATTTAAAATTTAAAAGGTAATTGAATAAAAGGGCTACATTCTCTTGGTCAGGAAAAAATATGTAAAAATCTTAGGATTTCTGGCACTGCCTAAATTTTCCTTTATGTATTTTGCCAAAGGAGTGCACAAAATTGTAAACCTAATTCAAAGCCTAAGAGATGTCAATGGCTCTTTGCAAGCAAAGCTCCCAAACCAAGACATAAAATGCTCAAACATTGCACAGTATTACAAATAGTCTAAACATCTTAGTGCATTTCCTGAACCGTTTTGCCTGTCTGATGTTCAGAAGCATAGACTACTAATATAAAGATAAAAATTTGGAGCAGAAATGGTTGATTTGATTTAAAACTTGTCAAAAAGCCTAAGGCAAGTCAAAACATATTAGTTTCAAATTGCAAACTGCACCTTAACTAGCTAAATAGATCTATCCTATAGAGTTATTAAAGCCTCACCTTCTGTTACTGATGTAAGAGTTCTAATGCCATCATTTATGAGATCATAACTGAAGAATGATGGAGTGCCTGGCATTGGAGGACTACAAAGCAATGCCAACGAAGCAAGTTTAGAGTTCCTCTTCAGACAACAGAAAAACATTTAAAAGGAGCCCAATTATTTTCCTTAAAGGTATCAGCAGCATATTATAATTAATAATACTCCAAAGCAAAGAATGCTTTATTTCAAGACAATTTTTAAATGGGCATACATTCAAATAAATCAATGGAAATCCTGAAAAATTTGGCAAAACCAGTGACATTGATGATATAGATATCAGCTAAAATTTTCAAACTAGGCATCTTAATGTAGACATTGGAAAAATTATATTTCTAAACATCAAATGTATTAATTTCTGTTGTTCTATAAATACTATGGGATCAAAACAGATTTCAGAACAATTTGTCTAGATGACCAGAGATTTCAATCAATGAATTTTTGCAATATTAGTATAAAGAGGCTGGAGATTATTATTATTTTTTTACATTTAAAGCTACTGTATTATCATCTTACCCTAGACAGGCAATCTGCTGGCTTCTAGATGTATTGGGCTTACTGTTGCTATGCTAATTAGGGATAAAAACTGGAAGATCAAAATATTTAGAGAAATACAATTGACTATTCTTGATTATATTTGGAATGATCAGGGTGTTTTGTTCTATAGAAAACATTCAAAAGCATGAATGTTTAAGCTCAGCAGTAATATTCATTAATATAGCACCCTCTGTTACTTGGAAAAAAATGCAAAAATTTGACTACTTGCTGTGGTTTTATTAAGATTTGTTTATCATGTGAATATTTAAAAGATGGAATCATACACCTTTAGTGCCAGCATCTTTCCAAGGCAATAGCATGCTTAAAGGGCTTCTGTGAAAACAAACCATGTCTTCGACCCTGGGCTGCAAAAGTCAGTTACTCATGTAATCAACACTGTTTTTCTGCCTGTCAGGAACTATTGGCATCCAAATATGTTTATATTTCACTTATACCATTCTACCACCTGTAGTTACTTGACTGGTTTAGGAACAAATCAATCATTTATAGGATTGTGCTTTCTTCCTTTAATATTTAGTGTCTGAAATTCATTTCATGTTGATTATAAAGCTTGCTCTACCATCTTTTGCAGAACAGAAACAATGTATAGAACAGCATGTCAAAAGCATAAAGCTTTGCAGATCGGGCAATCAGAAAAGTAAATAAAGCCATATTGAATATATCCATCTTTGAAACACAAAGATGTGTACATTGAAAAGAGCAAGTCAATTACATGGTGGAGAAAATGTACATAGGTGAAAGCAAATAACTCAGCAATATAATGCAATTTACTCTATACATCCGATTGCTTCTGTGTTCACTGGATGATTCTAAGTTTTCTATGTTCACCTTAAGAAAGAAAACAAAATGAAAGTAATACGTTTCAATACATTAACCCCTGTCAGAGGCTATTTTAGTTCTAAGCAGGCTGTCAGAGCACTGAAAAAATTTAGAGGACAAATGATTTGATAGTTTGCCTAATTCAGACAGACACCTTTATGACCAGGAAATTTCACACATTAGGGTTTAATAATAATAATAATCATAACAACAATATTCAAAAACAACAACAGTGTGTGCATTGTTATGCAAGGTCTGATATCAGTGCTTCTGGTTGGCCATTTGCTGTGTGTCAGCAGGCTGAAGACAGAGGGCACAGTATGTGGATAAAAATCCCAGTTGTGACACTCTGAGAGGAAGAAAGGCAAAGGCAAAGGGCCAGGGAAGGTTCAGAATCGGACAAAGGTAGCATCTATCTGTCGGACAGATGGAAGAGCCAGCATGATTTTGCGACGGTACTGGGGATCCTTCTGGAGAGGGTTTCGCTCTAGATAGACTGTTTCCAACTTCTTGGCTCCTTTCAGCTCATCTAAGTCACTCCAGCATTCAATGAGATTATCATTCATCTGAGAAGCATAGAGAAAATAAAAATTGCTAGAAGTTTAAGACATGGGTTAGTAACTTTTCATAGCTGTCATCATTATCTCATGTTCCTTCTACTGCAATAGGAAACTGTTGAGAAGGTGAAGCTTATTCTGCCTCATCACCAATTATTTGGTGATGTGAGTGATGGTGCCCCTAGAAGGGGAGCTAGGGTGATGGGCTACAATGAAAAGGCCGTTTCCCAGGAAGAAGGGAGCATATTCCAGACAGGAGAGTAAGAAGAGGCAGTGCAGCTTAGTGCTGAGAGACAGAGAAAGTGGGTAAGGATAGCCACTCCCTAGAATCTCCCATGGTATATCCATTAGACTTTGAGTAGTAAGGGTTTGCTCTGGCAAGATGCTGTTTGCTATGTGAAAGCAAATAAAGAAATGTTCCACCTTCTTGAGCTTAGCCTGATAGGTCCTGAAACCAGAGTCCTGTGCATTAACTATTTATCTACATAATGTGGGAGCTCATGCATGCTCTGAAGCCCATTTTTCATAGTAGATAGGAAATAACAGTGAAAATGAAAAGTATTATCTGTCAGGAGTTCACAATGTACTCACACTGGAAAATGAAAGATTCAATATGGATTTAAAAGAATGATACCCCTATTCTAAAATCTGCATACAAAAGACAAAAATAATGATGCAACACAAAAAGCAAAGCTCATTCAACATCATGTAGGTCCTGAAGATGATGGCAACCTCCTCTTTGTTAGAAGGCTTTCATTGCAACTATTCCTACCATTTGTAAAAGCACACAAAAGCTTATTCCAGCATTGTCTATTGTGATATGATAGGAATCTTCCAGAATTCCCAGGAAGCATGATCAGAAATTCCAGGAGAAATAGTTCAAATATATTTAGATGGTCCTATGATGTGGAAGGTTTCTGTATGTTTGTATTTTATTTGCTACGTGGATACTATTTTAAACTCAACAAGCTAGTTAAGGAATCTTGTGGTCAGGTGGAATTTGTCTGTATTTTGACATCAAAATCAACCTTTCATAGTTTTACAGGACAGAAAAATGAAAGATTATAGTAGGGGCTTGTCCCACATGAGCAAGGATTTCACAAAGTGATCAGACAGCAATGGAAGGATTCATATTGAAGCAGCTCCCAACCCTCTAAGAATAGTATGAGGAAGCCATTTAAAGGCCATCATAAACATAGGGGAATGAATCCCACTATCAGAGAGAAGCATTTAATAGTGTTTACTCAGTCTGCTGCTGACAGAAACAATAGGGAAAGATATTGTTGACTAAAGTTACTGCAGATTTAGGACTGCAGACTTACCCAAAATTCCTGGAGTTCTGTTAGATGGGTGATATTTTCAATCTTTTTGATCCTATTGGCTGCAATGTCCAGCATTGTAAGTTTATTCTAAAACAAATGCATAGAAAACCGACATTAGTTTTCTCACATATTTTATACTCTTGCATAGAACATTATTAAAAGTTAAAGGACATGCCATGCAGTAACATACTGTACATAGAGTTCAGCAGTTACATATTTGGGCTCTTAGTTGTCTTCCTCACAGTAAACATACTGATTGTTGGTACCCAACTACAGGAAAGGCAAAACATTTTTCTTCCTGATATCGATCAATCTAAGTAACAAGACAGTTTGGACATAATTTTACTAAGGTACCACAGACGAGTTGGGACTCTCTCCATATTGCTTTATTGTTCGAAATGTGATTAAAATATTTATGTCCTTATTACATCTACTCTAGACAAGAAGAATAAAGGAACCAAGAAATAATCATGGAAAACCAAATCAAATATGTTATTTGAGAAGAGGATTAAACTTAAGAAACCTTTACATAAGATACAGCAATATTTTAAAATACATTTTTCTTTTTACAAATTTTCAGGTGTATGAATACTAGAAAAGCATAAATTAATCCTTCTTTCAATTAAAAAAGAAACATTAACTCTTATTATTTAAATCAGAAGGGAGAAAGTGGAGATCCATATGAGACCTGCAGCTTCTGCTGCTTCAAATGACCTTGTTCTCTCTCCTTTGTTCCTAGACTACCTCCTTAATAGCATCTCTTCCTTCAAGTCCATCCACAAAACATACCTTTCTTAGTACAACACACTAGTCATAATAAATTCTCATAGGATATAGTAATGTTCTGGTGTCTGTTTATGCATTTGGAATTTTCAAAACATGTAGCAGGTACTCTTGTAAAATGGCTGATTGTGGGTACAGTTAATAAATAATATAGCTTATCAGAAGGAAAAGTAAAGAGCATCTTCTAGCATTCTGGATGTTTTTATTGCCTCCTATATGCTACATTTTTTTCCTGGGCAAGCATGCCCTTAAACATACGATTTTTATTTCATAAGAATAACTAGCCCTGAAGGAAGTATATGCGGTTACATTCATATCCAGAAATACCCTATTCCTGCTTCAGTTTATTAAATTATTTTAATCCTTTTCTTCTTCTTCTCAAATGTTTACATTTCCTGGTCTTCCTCTCTCATCTCTGCTCTATCTATTTCTACATGATAAACCTATGATTTAGAAATTTGTGTGGTCCTTGGTGTTCTCTGAGCTTGGTGGTTTTCTTGCAGATCTGGTTACTACACTAAGTAACATCAGTGCTAGGAATGGACTAAGACAACTAAGCTCAGAGAGCATCAAGTACCCAACAGTCCAACTCTGAACTATAAATATTCTCTTCTATCTGTAGAAATATGTCATTTTCTTTGCACCTTTCATCTGGTGTCAACCATTTCCTGCCTAGGTCTTCCAACCTTGCCCACAATTCGTGAATCCCTTCATGCTTGTTTTAAGTGTAACTCCTGATAGGTGTTACACCTATAGGTGTAGGGAGTGAGATCATACCTGTATAAGATTATCTCTTTAACATGGGAATAATCCATTAGTTCTCTTGCTGGAAGGCTGCTATGAGCTCTCAAAGCCTTTCACATTAAACATGGAGCTACTCTGGCTACCCATTTACTCTCAGGGAACTTATAAGACACAGTAAAATAGGATTGTATGTCCTCTTCATCCGACAACTTGGGAATTTTTATAACTTTTCTACATTTTCTCTCTATATATTCTGAAAATTTTAGAGCTGAATGTGTCCCTTCTGGTGACTGCATACCTTTAAGTAGGTCCCTCAACCCTCTAAACTTTCCTCTTCTTGTCTCTCTTTCACTCATTTCTCATTCTAGCCTATTTTTCCTTTCTCTCTCCGTCCAAAGGTGCTCCCCTTCCTCTTTTTTAATTAATTGAAGTCTTTTGTCTCTTTCTAATAATATTGGCTGAAGTATCTGGACTTAACCGTGTTTCTGGCTGATCTACCTTCTGCTTTGGTTTAACCACAGGCCTAGGGTATACCTGTCTCTACCAAAGCAGTAGCCTCTTCTAAGGGAGAATCTGTCCCTTCTGCCTTTTCCGTGTCTTTTTTTGTGGTGGAGGCTCTGCTAAGCAGTCTGGTTTCTGCAGCCAGGATATTGGCCAACTCCTGCAAAGTCCGAGCTTGTGTGGTTGCCACCTTGAGTTGGATATCCCACCTTTTTATAGATATTCCACCTTTTTGGATATCCCACTGCTACCACCACTTTGTCACAGGTTCTTTTAAGTATACCCAAGTCAATAGGTTCCATAAGCATAAAACAACCCACACAACAACATAGATCCCTAGGCAACACACACACAAGCATTCACAGGCTAGTACTGCTCACTATCACTCCACTCTTTCCCACTGTTACCACACCTCCTCCTACTGCTGCTCCAACTACTAGTCCCCATGCATCCTACTACTAGAAGAAACTATCTCTTTCTAGCTGCTTTATTCTTCTCTCCCCCACACCTCCTTTCTTCTCTCTTATACATCAACACCACCAACAACCATCTCTCAGCTCAGTGTTTATAGCCAACACTTGTCATGCTGGCTTGGGAGAGGGCTTAAAGAGGGAGGACAACAGCTGCAAGGTGCTAATCATTTTCTAGGCAACCTGTCCTCTCACATTGGCTATCCATCCTTTACGAAGTGCCATGTTCAAGGGTAGGACTAAGTAAATAATAATAAAAAATAGCTCACATTATTCTCCAGGCCCTCAATGACCTCTATACCATTATGGCTAAGGTATAGCTCTCGCAGATTTACCAGATTCTGTAGTCCTTCAATCTTTGTTAACCGATTGCTCTGGAATAGATACAAAATCTGGATTAATTCCATGTAAGGATCATTCTGGTGTCATCTCAGAACCAAAAAATAGTAATAATGATCATACTTGGAAGACATATCTAAAGACTTTGGCCCAAATACATATTACTTTCCTCTTGTCACACTTTCATTAATACTTTAACCCATTAGTTCAATTCAAAACTGTATTTATGCCTTTCAAAAGAAACTAGATGACTAGTACTAAGTTAAATCTTTTCTGGTCAGAACTATGCACAACTTTCTAACTTTGAATTAGCCAGTTATCCTCCCAGAAAGCAGATTTATGATTCTATTAAAGAAAATCATAATTTTCATTTCAATTATATTGTCTTGTTTTCAAGGTTTACTGAACTTCTTAAGGTTCTATGAAATCGTATTCTCTACTGGCATTTTGTGGGGGTTAAGTACATACTTTAACAGGCTACTCTATGGCATAATTGCTGTATTTTTGGGGAAAAAAAGAAATATATGTACCAGCTATTCTGTGTGTGAAAGAAAACGCATACAATTTCAATGATAACTTAATGAAGGTCTGAAAAATAAATATTTAAATTCAAATATTCAAAGATAAACAGCATTTGTCATTTCATTGTAGTTAGAAATTATGCAGACAGGAAAGGCAAATAAGTTAAATCATATAAGGACAATCAAAATAGAAAGCACAGGACTGGTACCTGTATGCTAAGCACTGTCAAGTTTGTCAATGCATCCATGTTCTGCAACTTAGTGATTTTGTTTTTCCCCAGAAATAGGCTATCCAGGTTAGTCAGGGTATCAATATTCTGGATTGCCTAGAAAACAACCATATTGAACAAAATTCCAGTTTGTGACTCCTGCAAGCAACACATGACTAACCTGTTTTATCTTTTAACATTGTTAAGCCACCCAGAGTTACCGTGTGGTGAGATGGGTGGCTAATATATTTTACAAATAAATAAATAACCTCTAATATATTAACCAGGAAATAACACTGTAGCATAGCTAGCAAACCCACGTTGCCATACTTGTCCTTTTCATCATGATTACATGCTTATATCTGTGAGATTATTCAAAACTAAACAGTGCCATGCAATAGTCTGTCATACTAATTATACTTTCTATCAGCCAATTAAATTAAATGGACACATCAAGCAAGTAAGCCATGGGAAAAGGATGGAAAATAGCAGCCTTCACATTTCAAAGTCTGTATTTTTAAAATTTTCCTCATAAAGACATTTCATAACAAATTTGCTGATATTTTTTTGCATTGAATCTTTATATAGCATTTGCTTTGTTACAAAAGATTTTCATTGTTATTTCTAGCAGCACAGTTCATATCAATCCATTACTCATAGGTTCCTACTTTTTAGGAAAAAAGCACTTTTCCTAAAAGGAAAGGAAAATCAGCCAAAATAAAAATCTCTGCAGCTGAAAATGTTCTACAAATTGTCATTTTACAGACAGGATCTGTTTGCACTTTCATCATTTCCTTGTGTATAATTAACATGATATGGAGTTTGCTCTTAATATTCCAATTCAGATTTATTTTGAAAGTATTGCCTGGATATTAGCTGACTCTTGTGCTGTTTAGAGAAAAACAAATCTTACCCTGATTCGATTAGATCCTAGCTCTAACATCTGCAACTGTTGTAAGTTGCTTAGGTTCTCAATTTTGCTGATTTTGTTGTTGACCAGGAAGAGTTTCTTTAACTGAATGAGCTGATCCAAGCCTTCAATGCGTCGTAAAATATTAAATGAAATATCTAAGATCCTAATAGGAAACAAAGAAAATAATTTCAAAAAACAAAACCAGACAGCTTCTATCATAAGATACAATCTGGTTTGGTCACTGGGACCAGAGGTTTTGCCTTCCAAGCTTTTGGACTCATGCTGGAGCCCATTTACTGGAATGTGTGCTTTGGGTTGTTCTATGCGTCATATTTAGGTACCTGTTGGGTGTGGCTTCCTATTGGTTGATTGCTGTGTTGATGGCTGGCTATTGGCTGTTGTTTCCTTGTGCTGCCAAGTCTTTGGTTCCTAAGTACCTTATAAACTGGTGGCAAATCAGCACTCCTGTTGCCTGACAAGGGGCCTGTTTCAATCATTTCTCTGGTCAATTTTGCACCTGCTTGGCCAACAATCTTAGTAGTTGTGAAATTGAACGTATGTCTTTCTTCTGTCATATGTTGCTGCATTCTCTCTCATGTGTCCCATCCCAATTTTATCTTGACCATTTTCCTATAAAGAATATGCTTATGAATGCATTTCCCCCCGCCATTTTCTGTCTTAAAAATGGCTATAATTAAAAAAAAAAAAAAAACCAAAATTGACAAGCTAGACATTGAAAAAGCACCAGGAAATCTAATAAATAAATATAACATTCTGGTGAGAGAGAAGTTCCCTGAGGATGGGCTCCAGCACGAGTCCGAAAGTTCAGAAGACTAAACATCTGGTTCCGGTGACCGACCCAGACTGGATCCTGTAACAAATAAAGCAGGACAAGAGAGAAGAATTGAGAGGGAAGGGATCATCTCAACTATGATTCTTTATTTGTCAGACTTTCTCCCAATTGGCACTAGGTAAAGATGCTTCAAACCTACACCAATCTCTTAAAGTGGTACACTTTTCTCTTGGTGCATTTTTTTTAGTAAGTAACCAGTCTGCATGAAGACCAATATATAAACCAACCAACATTTTTTAAAAATAAAAACAATTGCAACCTTTATGAAATGAACCAGCCAGTTTCCCATCAACCACTCAGATAGGGACCCACTGTTTATCCAGATACTTACTCAAGATCTGTCAAGGCCTCCAAGTTCTCAATCTTACGAATCTGATTGTCATAAAGATCCAACTCTTTGAGAGTTTGCAGCTGTTCCAGGTTCTCAATGCACTTAATCAAGTTCTGCCGAAGACAAAGTGTCTAAAGAGAAGGAAGAAAAAAAAAAAAAAAAGAACAATTATATTTAAAGAATCTTTCACCAAGATTCACATGGAGGAGAACTAAGTCAGAGTTCTAGTTTTAAAATTCTACAACTTTCAAATACAGGTAGTCCTTGACTTATGACCATAATTGAGCACAAAATTTATGTTGTTAAGGGAGAATTTGTTAAGTGAGTTTTGCCCCATTTTACGATATTTCTTGCCACAGTTGTTAAGTGAATCACTGCAGTTGATAAGGTAGTAACCTGCTGGTTAAGTGAATCTGGCTTCCCTTTTGACTTTGCTTGTCAGAAGGCTGCAAAAAGTGATCACATGACCTTGGGATGGGGAAATGCAAAGGTTGTAACTGTGAAAAATGTCATAAGTCACTTTTTTCAGTCCCATTGTAACTCTGAATGTCACTAAATGAACTGTTGTAAGTAGAGGACTATCTGTACCTTTGAAAAGCAAACATTTTTTGCCACAATAAGTAGTTTAAACCTTGGTAAGTCTCAGCTGGTGATACCCAGCCTGATTAGCCACCATTTCCATCCAATGCCAGTCTGCAGATGGTCATTTGGGATCCTGGACTTTGGCTTGAGATTCCTAGTTGCCTTATTGTTTGGATGTTCTCTTCTCTCAACAACTACAGCATTAGACTATGGCTACCAAGTAGAAGAATATACGTAATTCAATGAACTGCCATAAAGACCAATGCAACAGTATGTCATGCTTGTGATGAGATGGGTGCCACAAGCATCTCACCTTCACTTTCTTGAGCACCTCAAACCCTTCTATTTTGCCAATTCGGAAATGATTCAGATCAACATCCTAAAAGGCAAAAAAATAATGGAAAAATGGAAAATCAAATTTATTTCTAAATCAGGAAGATACAGAGACTTACCAATGTACACATGTCAAGGAATTTACTCAAAACAAATGTATTGACAGTATAGACACAAGAAATACATTTATTATATAACAATGAGAATATCTGCAGCTTAAAGTCCTCCACAAGAAATAATCCATCCATCCTTGTTAATTGTGATTCATGTACTATTCAGAATATATAGATGTTTAATCTAAAGAAAGAACATTCATTCTGAATTCCCAGTTTTTCAGCATTTAAAGAAGAGCTATTAGTATACGCAAATATATTTCAAAATCTGTATTTGCCCTCTTCCACATTTGAGAGGTTTCTACCAAATTTCTTAAAGGAACAGAAATATATAGATACTAATTGCAATTCTAGTTTTAACTGAGAAATTGTTATGTCCTAATCCAGTGATGGCTAACCTTTTTGCCATCGCATGCCAGGAGAGGGGGGACGGGGGCGGGTCGCGCACGCACATGCCCAGGCGCATGCGCGCACAAACCCCCACCCCCGCTCCTGGCACATGATGGCCTGGTAGGCCCGTTTTTCTTTCTTACCTGGTTCCAGATCCTCTCTATTTATCTGGGAAGGGCAAAAACAGCCTTTTCCACTCCCTCGGAGGCCCTCCAAAGGACTGAAACGGCCCATTTCCCAACTCCCGGTGGGACAGGAAGTGACATTTTTTGCTGTCCCCAGCCTCCAGAGCCTCTCTAGGAGTCTCTAGGAGCCTCTCTAGGAGCCTCACTAGGAGTCTCTGGAGGCTGGGGACAGCAAAAATGTCAGGCCTTTGGAGGGCCTTCGAGGGAGTAGGAAAAGCTGTTTTCGCCCTTCCCAGATAAATAGAGAGGATCTGGAGCCAGGTAAGAAAGAAAAATGGGCCTCCCCCACCCAGGCCCTCCAGAGGCAGGAAACAGCCTGTTTCCCTGCTTCTGGTGGGTCCAGAAGGCCCGAAAATCAGCTGGCCGGTGCGCGCATGCACCCCAGAGCTGAGCCGGTGTGCCCACTAATATGGCTCCGCGTGCCACCTGTGGCATGCGTGCCATAGGTTCACCATCACGTATTGCCTATTCTCACACTCAGTCCATTTTTTTATTATTATTATTTATTTAAATCCTGTCACTGATGTTACACAATATTACTGGTGAATAAGTTATTCCCTTGGCCCCCGAAGTGGTAAAAGTAAGAAGTAAAGAAGTTATTTATATTACTGAGGTTTATATTGCTTAGTAATTCTGCATAGCTTTTCCTCCTGATCCAACCTTCTATTCCCACAGAAACCATCAAGATGTCTTTTAGAAGCATAGAAACAGTACACAAAAATGTTCTGTATAAAATAGACAGTGAAGGACATTATTTTTCACGCCTGATGCATCAATGCAAGCAATGCTGCTACTAGTCAGTGATTCCCTTCTCCTTCATGAATTCAAAGAAATTCACTGTTTTGTGGCATTAAAATCTTTAGTTGCATATATCCTGAACCTCCCATTTAATTAAGCTATTATGAAACTCTCAATTTTTATAATGCAAGAATATATTTAGTGGCCATAAAATGTGACTGACTGCTTCAGGGAAGCCTAAAGAAGCTGTGAAGGGAGAAGGAGGATTGAATAAAATTGTTGAAATTATCAGAACTGTTCAGTGTTAATTAACTGGGACTTACAAAATTGCACAAAATGTCGTAACATTGGACATAATAAAGGAAATCTTTAAAGAATCAACGTGGGAATGACAGATATGGAGCAATTTTTTTCTGACAAGACAGACAAATTACTGAAATTGGAACTAAAAATGACAGATCAAGAGAACAATTTGGAAAAAGATGCTTTTTTGGTAGGATATACAAAAAACCTGGCTAAAGTTTTAAAAATTTAAAGGGAAATATAAATGACAAACCAAGAAAATGTTTTCTCATTGGACCTAACAAAAGAGGGTTGTTAAATCCTTGATGAAGTGGGATGGGATAAAAAAGAATTAAAGAGAAATTAATATTTGAATGCACCAAAAATTAAGACTATTAGATGTAAAAGGAAGGAATATAAAGCTGGTTTAGTTGATCAAGAGTAAAATAAGATATTTATTTACACAGTTACTTTTTGAGGACACTAGAATCAAAAAAGTGATATTTTATGGATTTTCTTATAGAAAAAGGATGAGATGTGAGATGAAGAGATAAATGTTTGTAATTTTAGAGGGGGTAAAGAGTTACTTAATTTGTCTATGCTTGTAATGAAGATCGGAAGTCACTACTTTATATATTTCTTTTCTCATTTTTCTTTCTTGTAGTTTTTATTCTTTTTTTACTATTCTTTTTTCATCATGGTTAGCTTGCATTAGTTTTTAGTATTGTAATCAAACTCCTTAATAAAAATTATATGAAAAGCAGTTTAAAAAATAACAACTCAGGAATTATTCTTTGCCTAAATTTCAGAGATGTATCTCCAAAACCTTTCACATAAGCCGGTTGTGTGCAGCTGTGTGTGTTTTAGTGTGAAAGTGACATTTACAATACCTCGGCCTCTGGATCCAGGCTAATAGTTTCCATATCCACTGGAATCTCTGAGTCACCTGTAAAACAGCAAGCACATCCTGCATAAACCCATGGTGTTCTCCAACCAAAAGCAATTTTGCAAAGTGAGCTCTTCTCCAAGAGAAATTAAGCCTTAGGGCAAAAGGAAAGCTAATGGATTTAGATTTTATTGTTATAATGCAAATGTCATATAAAGCCTTCTCAGCTAATGATCACTTTGGCTAAATCCAAATATGGGGAAGAAATACCAATGCACTTGTGGAAATTGTACATTACCTAATACTGAATTCAATTAGGAAGCAAGAACTAACTCAAATGACTTAACAGCTATCCGAGCAAGCAATAACTATCAGAAATTTTAAATTACTCTCACATTCTGGTTATCGTCTCAGTTTTGCAGTGTGGGTGGATTTGCTCTTACATATTTTTTTGAGCACAATACAACAGTGTTAAGCATTATAAAGCAGTAAGCCAATGTTGTTTAAATTCCTGGATTATCAGTGAATGAGCAATATGCACATACACCCTGATTCACAGAACATAATAATAAAAAACCTAAACCCAACAATAGAAGAGCTATTGAGTTTTGATCACCATGCCCAACAGAAGAAAGAATTTATTCATCAGCAAGTTAGTAGTTTATAGGAAGTCCTCAATTTACAACTGTAACGAAACCCAGATTTGTCTTAAGTCAGAATAGTCATAACTTGAGAACCCACACAACAGGACCAGATTTTACAATTTTTTTGGTGGCATTTGTGAAGCGAATCAATGTATTCTTATGGCTGTTTTTGGCCAGAACCAGCAAAACCTGGTGTAAACTGGGATCATGTGACTATGGAGTACTACAACCAACCATAAAAGTGAGGCAGTCGCCAAATGCCCAAACTGTGGTCATGTTACAGAGGTGTGTGCAGCCACTGGAATTCTGGAACTGGCTTGTAAATGACTTGGGGGGGGGGGCGGGTTCATTGTAACTTAGAATGATCACTATGCAACCAATTGTTCTTTTCATGAATTTGATTATGTAATCTATAAAACAAAACCCTGCAGATATTTACTGAACATTAAAAAGTCTCTTCTTCTTTTAAACTGTATGCTTTACATTCCTTTTCATATTTTTTCATTGTACCAAATCTATTTTTGGAAACTTTGTGATTTTTACCTTATCAGATAGTAATAAAATAAAGTTATATGTATATATGTACATGTGTATATATGTGACTTAATTTCTACTTCCATCTCATTCTTCTACTATATACCATCAAAACTTTCTTCAGCTTCATGTCATTAGGGCTTATATTCATAAGGGCATTTGTTAGGTTAATATATTCATTATCACTGTTTTTATGCCACTTTAATAAAAAGAAAGAAAGCTAGTCAGTTTATAAAAGCAGTACAAAATAAATAATACACAATAACATCACAAAACTTTCATCACTAGCACTGTCCATGTAGATCCAAAGTACTTAACATAATTTATCTCTCTCTGCCAAATGTTTGCTCAAATAACTTTGTTTTTGGTAATATTCTATATATTAACAATGGAGTCCTAATTTTATTTCGGGGATAGCTGAAAGAGGAGGAGGAGATCTGGCAATAAAAACCCCTGAGTCATCACCCACTGTAACCTTATGGGAATGGAAACTTGGCAGAGTAATCCTGATGTAAAATAGCTTAAAAAGGTTCTGCAACACTGAGCGAAGTTGAAACTGTATTCTCTCTCTCTGAATTCTCTTGCAAGAGGAATAGGGGAAGTATTGTTGGCTAGCAGAAATATACAGTAACATATGACTCTGTTTGGGAAAGCAGCCAACATTTACCTTGAAATAAAAAGATCCAAATACTTTCCCCTCTCCAAAAATATTATGGAATTATTTAGGCTTGCTTGCACAGTCACTCTCTTTTGAAAATATTGTTTTGGATAAAAGAAGGTAAAATTTCACATTAATTGGCACATAGAGCAACCACTGTAAAGAGATTATTATGTTTGGTAAGCCTAGAAGTAAAGGATGAAAAGTATGCATATGAAGCAGCAATTAGTCCCAGACGTTGAAGTATGGGACACAGGCCATGTTCTTTTAAATTTTGATTGAAGAAGCAGAAAAGACTTATTTTGTTATTTATTTATGAAAAGATTCTTCTATGTCTAAGTCCCCAGTTTGTTTGACCGATAAGCAATGACCAGAAATGGGACTATTTTCCCCAGATAGCTTCTTTTGTAAAGGACATTTTAGAACAGAAATGTACAATCAGGGACTAGAAACCGGTTATACTCATATGACATGTTGGGCTGAGAGAGTATTTCTGGTCCAAAGTCACACAAGTGGCTTCTGTGTCACTTTCCCTTGGTCTCCCCACTTGTATTTCCAACACCTTAACTAAACCTAGAGTCTTAAAGACTTCATGGACATATCCATGTAGTTTCCTTGGCAACAATATGAAAATGGTTTACCATTTTTGTCTTCCAGAATGTTTTTTTTTAAATTTTCCCAGTTAGCCTATAGGCCTGGATTTCCAGTCAGTCTTCTACTCAAGAATTAGCAAGAACTGATATTGCTTAGCTTATCACTCACAGTTGCTTAGGTACTGCCATCTATTTAGAATCATCAGTGTTAGCTAAGCAATAAAATACCCTTTGTATATTTGTAATATAGAAATCACTTAGAAATCCTTATATTTTCCCCATTCGTTCTTTCCACTTCCACTATTTTGTATTGTCTTTGTCACTTGAACATTAAGCTCCACTGTATTCTGTTAATATCTGTGACTTACACTAAAGATTATTTTATTGCTAGCCATTGATGAGTATGCTTTTCTTATGTCAAAAGCAGTAATTCAGGGTAAACCACTGAAGTAAACCACTTTAAGCGGTTTATAGTATTAGCATGTTTTTCCCAACAATCTGGGTCCTCATTTTACACTGACTTTGGAAGAATGGAAGGCTGAGTCAACCTTGAGCCTGTTAGGATCAAGCTGCTGGCAGTCAGCCTGCAATACTGCATTCTAACCACTGCACCACCAGTTAGAGATAGTCGTTGCTTAGTGACCAGCCTTTCAGCAACCATTAGAATTTAGGACAGCACTGAGTGAAAAGCTAGAGAAATGTGGGATAATGGAAATGGAATACAGAGGAAAGGATACTAAGTTATAGAGAAAAAAGAGACCAGGACTGAGAAAAAGAAAAGTGGGATAAAACAATCACCTACTTATTTTGCTCCTTGATCTTCTTAAAAATGCTCTTTAATATGCTTTTCAATAATATATTTCAATTAAGTCTGAATCTGAATAAAAGTTTGATGAAGTAATCATTTCTATTATTAGAAACTCTGATTGTCCCATATACCATCTTCACTTACCCAAGAAAGTGAAGCATACTATTTTTTTAAGGGGAAACAGTCTGGGCAGCCCTCAAACCCAGTAAGTAAAATAAAATAAAAGAAAGTATTTTTTCATATTAAACATATCTCCATGTAATTGCACTGCAACTATAAAATAATATTTTTTAAGAAACAGAGGGAATTTGATATCTTATCACCTTTTATTATTCATAGGCAAGAGAATATAGAAATATAGAAAAAACTCCTCATAAAAATAACAGCCAGGAATCTTTGCAATATTAATTTATATGACTGCTTTTCACTTAAAACGTACAAGAGGACAATTTCTCAGTGTTTCCAAGAGCTATAATAGAATTAAAAACATGCAATGAATAAACACTGAATATGCAAAAACATTAATTATATGCAGTGGGAAAGTGTAACATTAAACATATTCAATTGCATTCTACTGATTCAAAGAGATGGGCGTTGGTAAGTCTTCAATTCTACATCAGTCATATTATATGCTACAAAGGGCATACTCCAAATAGTAGCTTACTTGTTAAATTTTCTCCATTCTGCTCTTCTCTTAGACTTTGTTGACTGAGGTCTGTTACTATGCAAACTGCTTGTTTCTTCCCTTCATCATCTCCAGATTCTTCTGATTCAATTCTTTTATCAACTGTAGAAAAGAAAATATAATTGTTTATTTTAGAATGAGTAAAGTATAATGACAGAGAACAAAACTGATACTATATAAGTTACAAAGCATATTGTGGCATCCTACAGAAAAACAATTATTAGGGCATATGTTTTTATGGATTAAAACAAACCTTGTGAATGCTTATGTATAATAAATCTGTTATGACACAACTTACCTTTCCTACAACAATTTAACACAGCTAACACTCTAAAGATAAACTAATAAGACTGGAGTTTCAGGAAGAGGCATGAGTAAGCCCCCCCCCAAGTAGATTTACTCCCAAGTAACAAAATTTAAAAAAACCCTGGCTAAATGGAATGCTAAACATGCAACATGGCAAAAACTAACTTGCACATATTATGAAGGCCAGAGTAAGTTACATCTGATAATTTTTCAGAGGGGTAACCACAATAGGGTTTTTGCAAGAAATACAATAACTTTGTAACAAATTAAACACTAATAAAACTATTGTACAAACCCTTGGAATTATAAATTATTTTGCTACATGTGTATTGTCCATTACACATATGCATAAATATGTACACTCTAGTTAGGATCACAGTGTACCACTATATATTTAAGATATACAGTCTTTGTTTTTGAACAAATATGCATTTGGACGGCACATCTTGGCTTACTGTGCTAAAATATGAAAAATCCTGTCATGGCACACAATCATTTTGTTTTCTTCTTACAAGTAGGAGTTAGTTGACTATATACTATCAAGTTGCTTTTGGCTCTTAGTGATGAATTTCTCTAATCTGTTCTTTCAAGTTTCCCAATGGTGCTCTCATAGCCACAGTTATTAAGACCGTGCACCTTGCTGCTGGTCATCTTCTTCCTCCCTTTGTAGAATTAGAGCCTTTTTCAGACGGTTGGGTCTTCATATGTGTCCAAAATAGAATAATTTGAGCTTAATTATTTGTGCCTCAAGTGAGAACTCTGGGCTGATTTGTGCATTGGTTTGTTTTCTTTATTCTCAGGAGTTTTCCTCAACACCAAAGTTCAAAGACATCAATACTCTTCCTATCTCGATTCTTTAAAATCCGATGTTTGCTTCCATAGAATGTCACAGGGAATGTTAGGTAATTGCACTAAATGTGCCAAGTTATTAAGAGAATTTTAAATTGCAACTTTATATCCTAAATAGCTTCAAAGAGATTATTTGCTTGTTTTTCATAGGGTTCCCCCTTTAGATCAATACATATTCATCTCAGTTCTTGGCCCAAGATTTGGGTTTCAAATTCTTATTACAAGATGCCCAAGAATTGATCTCTAGTTAATGAGGTACTACAGTTCTGGTATAGTTTATTAATATACTGTATTCAGATACAAGTAAAAAGCATGGCACAAAAGTCTTATCAGGCCAGCCAAGAATATTTTCATCTCCTTTGATAACTTCCTTTTTAATATGAAGTCAATCAGATTGACAAATTAACCTTAGTTCAACAATGACGGGTAGTACCCTGGCAATGTCAACAACCACACTCAAGAATGTAAGCCATTCACCTGATGTTGAAAATATCACAAGAACTATAGAGCTCCATTCTTCTTCAGTTTGCATTCTATCTGCATCTGTGGCAGCACTCTCATTATGCCTAAGATTTTAATACTGTTCCAGATATTATATATTGCTACTCAAAGAACACTTTTCCATATAAGCCCCATGCAAACCATTTAAATTTGCTATACACACCCTACACTTCTGGCACAGAAAGTAATTTAGATGAACTTACTTGGAAAATATTTAAATTCCTCTCTATAAGGAAAAGTTGCTGAACAAGATTCCTCAATTATTAATTTTTTTTGCTAAGTATATGGACATTTTAACTGTTCTGTCAGCATCATCTCTCATTTTATAAGAAAATGGGTAATAACTGACTATAGAATTTTTATAAGATTATATGAACAGTATGTAATGTACTTTCAGTTTATTATCATTGATGTCTATGAAGCATCCAACAGGAGGGTAGGGGATGGTCTCCTTATTGATATGTCACACCTTCCTTCAAATTTTGGGAAGCCACAATATAAGTAATAAAAACAGGTTATGTAAAAATAGCTGTCATAAAATTATTTTGTTGCTCTGTAAGCAGCAACAAAATAAAACCTGAAACACAAAGCCATGATTCCCATTCCTGAAGTTAGATGCACCTCCTGAAAGATGCAAATAAAACCCTTTTGCTGTGGATAAATTTAGAATAGGTTGCTACAAACTCTACTCAGATCCACAGCAGGCAGTGAGATTACCACTCTCATGACAGTAAATTTATAACAATAATTCATATTGCAAATCCATCCTACAATGCTGTCATTGATGTAATAACCCTTTCTCTCTTCACGATAACACTTAGCAGGAAATTGCTGAATTTAAGGCATGAGTGAACAATATGGAAGTCCTGAAATCTTGATGTGAATAAAAGGTGGGATTTAAATGAAGTTTGATGAGTCAGTGGCAGATTAAATCGTCAACCTCAAGAACTCCTGCACCGACTCAGTGGTGACATTTGAGCTGCTGTAAGGCAAGGGTTTATAAAAACACTTCTTACTCAAAATTATTAAGGTCTTATTCCAGCATCATCATCTCACAAATGACAACGTACGTTTGCTTTGCATGCCATGCCAGTAACGGCGAGACCTGGCAATTTGCAGGAGAGTAAAAATAGCTGATTTAATTGATGAAGTAGGGTGGAGATGGGGATTATGAGAACCTACTACAGCAATTCTGACTCCGGGAAACAGTCCCGGCTTTTTCTCACAACATCCCTCGCCCGAAACGCTTCTCCCACTGTGCTGACCACCCCCTAAATAGATGCCCCGCCAATACTTCGGCGTCTCCCTCTCCCACATTAAGGCCAGCAGCCTCAAACCACAGCGTCCCCTATTTCACTATAGTCGCTGAACGGAACCGAGCCAATCCTTGCCTAGATTCGGACATCGCGCGCTACAATCCGGTTTCTCACCCTCCATCATCTCTTGAGCGCCCTCCCCACTCTCAGGCTCTGCTGTCGTCGTTGTCGTTGTCGTCGTCGTCGTCGCCATAACGCTTCGCGCTCCCCCCTCCTTCCGGCATCGGACATGGCCTTGGGATAGCCAATGAATAACGGGTTCGGGATCTCCTCTACCCAATCACAGAATCAGCTTCGCTGCAGAGGTACCAATGGGACATTATGCGCCTGCGTTTAGCCCCGTAGCTTCCTGGGAAATGTAGTTTTTTCTCAGAGACGTTAACTTGCCGATGAAACGAGCAGAAGAATTTCAGGAAAGCCGCGCGCGCGCGTGTGGTTGTTTCTGCGATTGTGTGTGTGGGTATTGTGGTCGTAATTCATGTTTGCTTGGCGTTTCTAGCAGCGTTGTGGATGTACTGCCCTTCTCGCCATTTAATTGGAAATTAATTGAGGTAACTAGTAGACAGAAAAAAAGAGAGGTAATAATAAAATAGAATGATAGAGAAAAAAGGTTGTAACTTAGTGTCTTATCTATCCTTGGATTGCTTTCTTTTCCTTTGCCAGATAACTGGGTTTTGTCTATAATCTATTTTTGTGGCCCAGTATGAATCCTTTTTTAAAAATATTCTTTTTGCCCTGTTTTCTTTTCTAAATGTCATTTAGATATATTAGAAGAATCATGCTGTATCTAGTGGAAGATCCAGCCTCATGCTTCCAAGCAATCCTCTGCACAACAGGAAAATAGACCTTTGTGACTGCTGTTCCCCAGCAACTAATACATTCTGAGACTTAAAAAAAATAGTATCTCATGCAGTATATGAATAATTAATATTATTCATCATTGCTACAGTGCTAACTATTTATATTAATGCCACAGATATTGTGATGGCAGAAAAAAACCCCTAACTTTTTATCTAAGCAATGTACTGTAATATTTTATAGATCTGTTACATTAATCCTTTTGAAAAAGTTAAAATAAGTTATTCTGTCCCCTTCCTGTCAGTGCTTAACAATTAGTTTTTCAAAAGTGACAATGACATTTGTAATTTGCTTTTTTTTTTTGTGCTAAACAATGACTGATACTTAGTACCTGGATGGATAACCATCAAGTAATCCACACACTAGAAGTAAGAAATAAAATAAAATCAACCTGGAAGAAGGCAACTGGAAAACACCACAGCATAAAAATCATGGTCGTGATCATCTAGTTATTAGGACTTGAGCCTGACTTGAGTCTTATGTTTTTAGCAAATGATACTACAGTGAGAAATCTCTTTCTCTAGTCTACACATTATGATTGGTTTCATGTTTTGTACTAAGTCACAATTGGCTAAGTACAATTTGCATAACATACTAAGCAAAAATCAAAGTGACCACATAATGAATTAGTGTGATGTATGAAACTAGTGGTAAGTCTGTATTGTCTGGTGAAAAGCTAATAAGTACATTGGTTTTCTGCATGCTGTAGAAGGCAAATCATCTTGGAGTTAATTTTATCATGTAGAAAGGAATTAAAAACCCAATAATTGCATTTTCTTTTGATATAAGAGTTTGATATGCCAGATACATGTGATGGCAGCTTACAAGTCAGCCTTTATGACGAGCTAGCCCCATTTGAAGGGAGTATGAATGGAAAAGAACTGTTTTGAAATACGTATGGTAAAGGTTAGGATAAGAGGTTTTCAATATGGTAGAAAAATGGGAGTTTGTTTTGAACCCTTATTGACTAATGGGGATTATGTGTCATCAAGTTGGTGGGACTCATCACAACAACAGAGAGAGATTTTCTCCAGGATGATCTGTCCTTCAGCCTTGTTGTGCTGCTCATTGTAGCAAGCAGGAGGCATGATGAAGAACCATGGAAGTGTTTACTACAAATATATATTCCCAGCAGAGATGAAAACCATCCCAGCTGCTCAGCAAAAGGCTCTCGTATTGGGCAACAAGAATACAGGAAAATGCTTGAAGCAATACTTGAGTGAGAACAGCAAAGGCATTGTTTCATATTGCACAGGAGAAAGCAATGGAAAACTACCCCTGTATTCTATAAAAAACCTACTTGAATAGGTGATATAAACATTGTTGCAAATCTAAAATGTGCTGCTTCTGAGATTTAATCAAACAATCCATTTATGAACACTACAGTATGTTTGAATACTTAAAAATAAACATTGGAAGTATGTGACAATGCTGTATCTAATCTTTGTATATATTTAAATTTGTTTGCTTTTCAATACTTTAGAATATATTATTTTCTATGCAAAAAAGGAAAGAAAATAGAAATTAAAAATAGCCATGTCATATTACATTCAAAAGTTAATTCACCTGAAGAGTTAAATAATTAAGAATGGATTCAAAAAAGCAATACTAATCAATCTTTGCAACAGTTCTAGTATGATTCAGTACTGGATTAACAGAAACATACAGCTGCCTCATAGTAAATGAAATATTCGGTCCAATTATCATTTTCTGGAAGTGGTCCCCCAGAATTTTATACGCCAGCATTTTTTGAAAGCTTATTATTACTTAGAGCATGATGAGAAATGAGAACATGACAGAAGTAAATATCTATATTTTTATATATATATATATATATATATACACACACACACACATATAAAATACATAGTATTTTACTAATTTGTCTGAGTTCAGAACCAAGCAATGCTAGCCTAGTGTGTATTTAAGTGAAAGATAATCAGGCATAGGGATGTTAACTAAATTGGGGGGGAAAAAACACATCCTGGAGAAAGGTAATGGCAAACTACCTGCCTATTATTACCAAGAAAGTTGTATCATGCTCATAAAATCACCAAGAGATGAGTTTGACTTGGAGCTCCCCCTCCTTTTTTTTTAATGGATGATTTTGCTCTTTTAAAGTATTTATTATTGGAAGAAAAATCCTAGTGAAAAATTATTAATTATATCTGGAATATTTATTAGAAAGGCTAGAAAATCCATGTTACAATGTTTTGAAAAGTACAGAAAGGTTCTTAGGGGAAAAAAATCTTATTTTTATTAGAGAAAGTGGATAAGGATCCACAATAGTTTAAGCTATATTTTTAGACTATAAAATGCCACGACTGTTATTTACGACGTAATAGATTAAAAATAAAGCCTCTACGGATAGTTAGAAACACCGCCCTCCTTTCTGGGAAAGATCTGAATGGACGAGTTTCCTCCGTGCTCTACCGAACAAAACCTGCTCTGCGCGTCCCTAGCAACAGTTTGCGCGGGATCTTTTTGTCTTTGAACGTCGGGGAAGCTCCACCCCTCAGAAGTGGTTGGGTTATCGAACTGTCGGCTTCTAGTTCCGTCTCGTTGCTTGGCTCCTGATATAACTACGTAGTCATTCCCCGCCTACCTGGCTCGGACTGAACACTTCTCCCCTCGGGCAGACAGTTGGGTAAGTTATTCCGTAGGAGTAGAGACGTTCTGATGACTCCGGGGGGAGGGGGGGTGAACTCCTCTATGGGTTGTTTTTAGCATCAAAGAAAATCTCGTGTGATAAAATGAAAGGGATCCTCTGAGCATATGTGTAGCGAGCTAATCCTTCCTAGTTTAAACAGCCACCGCAGCCATTGAACAAGAGGCACCCTGCCATCTCCTGCGCTTGTCGTGGAGCCTCGTGGTGTGACAAACCACCTGTTGGACTTGAAAGCAGTTCCATTTGTGTTAGTGTTTTCCTGACGGAAGGTGTCCAATTGCTCCTCCGGGTCTTCACCGCTATCAGGTTAGTAGAAACTAGTTGAGATGCCAAATCCATTTCCTCTGTGCCATTCTCCCTCTCTTCCAGATTATAATTATCTTTGAAGTCATTGCCCCTTAGGCATTCCTGGCTGGGATGCTTAGAAAATGAATACAAATTTACTAATGAATTTTGTGCTAAATTGGAATTAACCGGAACACATGCTTTCTTTGTCCTCTGATATTATAAAGCTCCCAATGAGTATGCATATTTATGCATATCTTAATTCTTCTCTTCCTGTGGATTTGTATTCTGCTGTGTTTACTATTTTTCTCATTTTCTTTTCCTGCAAAGTGGTGTCAGAAGCACCACTATTGCTATTGGCAATTCAACTCTACTACCAATCTTTTTATAAATATAAAATAAATATTTATAAATATCTCAGAACCTGATTTGAAAGAATATATCCAGTCCTAGATATAACATGCTATTTTGTTTTAGAGCCTGCAGTTTCTGTGAAGAACTTCCTGTAGTTCACCTACAAGCATGACAGATAAGGAGTTTGTCACTTCTAAAGAAATCATTTCAGGCGCCTCTGTCTCTGTGACTGATCCTGGGATCTGTGAAGAACTGAGCAAATCTTTTCCCTGGACAAATAAGAAAAGGAAGAGTTGGCTTTCAAGGCTGTGTAAGAAAAAAACATCTTTGTCAGGTGATTAGCTTACCTAGCAAGGAATATAAAGCAATTGTTAATTAAAGAGAACAGTAACTACTCAACAAGAAGATATTCTTTCTTAGCAGATTTTCTGGAGAAAGAAAATAACAATGGATGGGAAAAGACTGAAGGCTTATAAACAGAAAACTCTTTTGGATTCCTTCTAAACCTCCATGAATAGTACTACAGCTCAATTAAGCATTTGATGTCTAAAGCACTTCAAAGGAATGGAAACTATAGAAAATATAAGAAATTGGGTGTAAATAGATTTGAAGGAGATAGGCAGTTTAGAAATAGGAAATATAAATAAACAAATAGCTATTTTAAAATCATATATGTGCTGATAGTGTTTTTTGGCAGTCTTGTTATTTTTGCTTGTTTAAGGTGGTAACTGAGGCAAACATTTCTTGCTTATACTATTTTTACCTAGTATGTCTGAGCAATGCTTTTCTGTAATTTTGTCTTTAATAAGTTGTTGGTACCTTGCAAAATTGTCTGGTTGTCTTTAATTCTAGTATTTGTGCATCTATGCTTCTTTTTCTTTTTGTTCTTAGAAAATGGATGGAATTCCTACTGCCTATCTTCATTAGCTGCCCGGAATATCTGTACTGGCAAACTGCATAGCTCATGGGATCATTTGGAAACTGCTTCCCTTTGTTGTTCCATATGTAGCACCTCTTCTTGTTCTCTCTTAAATGCACTGACCTGGGGAGAATCCATTCAGGCACTGTCAAGTAGTATCCGTAACCCAAACAAGGCCATCTTCACTGTGGACATTAGAACAACTGAGGTACTAAATGGATTTTCATAACATTGGCATTCCCATAGCATGGCACAGGTGTATATATAGAGGTTCAATAGATATGAAAATTTCTTGTATTTACAGAATGTACTGTATCAAAATCAAATATTTGAATAATTGGAAACGGAAAAAGATTAAAACAAAAACATATCTTTTATGGTCTTGTACCAGCGTGGATAAAATTCGATTTTTAATTTTTTTAAAAAAATCAGATTTTTTAAAATTTAAATCAGATTTTTTTATTTTTATCAAATTTATTTTAATAAAATGCTTTTGGAGTAAAAATATATCTAAAGATAGTTTTCTATTTAAGATACATTAATAATTTAGTTTATTCAGCATTAAATGGATCTTAGTTATGTAGTATGAGGTGGTATATTCTGTAATATTTACATTTTTGGTAAACTCATTCAATGAATCCAAGCTTTGAAAGCTAAATAGGAAATCTTATTTTGTTTGCAAATAATAATATTAAACATTCTAACTACCAGCAAGAATGAGTCCTTACATTTAAAGAGCATCTGTCATTTCAGATCCATCATGGCAGTGCCTGTTAGCGGGTATCCACTCACCTGCTGCCCGCCACATCCCTCACCTTGCTGTGTCATTGCTGCATCACCAGCCATCCCATTAAAATGAATGGGACTGTCAGTGAGTCAAAGCAGATCAGAGGAGGAGCCGTTGTGGGACAGAGATGATAGTTGCTCTTTAAAAATTATGATTTAAATCGAGTTGATTTAAATCAAGCGTTTATACTAATGATTTAAATTGTGATTTAAATCACGATTTAAATTGACTTGATTTAAATCAAATCCACTCTGCGTTGTACAATACTGATTTAATGATACTGTAGAATGTATAATTAGGGGCAGAAAGCCTTAGATCTTACTTCATACTTTCCAAAAGGGCATTTTGTAAATCTTACAGATTTCTGATATACCAGGTATATTAAGGATTTCCTCCCATCAATATTAATATATTAATATTACACAATATTAAGTGTAATCATTAAAAAGTTATATTTGAAAAAGCACAGCTAGAGAAGATTTTATATATTAACTTTTACTTTTGGAACAGAGGATCTGTTACAAATCTGTTTTGAAAATGGAATAAGGCTCCATGTCAATTTTTATTCCTTTAATAATAGGTATTTTGGAGTAATTTGTGTCAGAGCTATAACTAGCTTTGTTTGGGGCTAGCTTTACTTTGTTAATAACTACTTGGCATGCCACTTTATTGTTAAGAGCCAATTAAGTATTTTTACCAAGATGCTACTGCCTGGATTTAACACCCATAAAATTGCAGTAGTCTGATTACTCATTTGTTAGCATTTGCTGATTATTTAAGCTTGTAGTACCTAATGAAGACATGTTTGTAAACAAAACTGCAATGATATATTAATGAGTACTGATTTTTAACTAATAGAGTAAAATAGACTAGGCTAAAACCTCTGTGACTTGATTCATGTATTATGCTACACAATTGACTTGGGCTTAGTGTATGTAACAAATACAGCCAATTATGATTAGTTCAATAAACAAGCCAGATTTAGAGTAATATGTGAACACAGATGTAAATGATAAATCAATAATTACTGAAGTTCATCTCATGGTATATCTTGTGCTCTACCTACAAACTATTAAGGTTATGTTCATGTTACAGTTAACAGTGATTAATTCAGGCCAATTCCCCCGAAACACTGGACCATGACCTAAACAAATAATAAACTAAAATAAGGCTCACATAACAGGCTAAATTAAAACATGGTTTTAATCTTTTTTTAAAAAAACTATTACACATGTTAATGATTTATTTAATATCACATTAATTAGTATTACTTTTGAATAAATATATATTAGAATACTTGTGTATTATTAGAACACATTGGAATTCAATCCCAGGAAACTAGCTTTTTATTTGTGCCCATCATTTGCTATAGAATCAAGTCAAGAAACCTTCAATTCAAATTTGATTGAATAGATGCTTCTATTTAATTTTCGTCACAAAATATGGAAATAATTTGCTACTATTTGCTTCTGGAATATTTTTGCCTTATCAAACTAATGTACTGTATCTGTATTCCTTGGAGGTCTCCCACCCTAATATGAAGAAAACCCAACTATGCTTAGCTTCAAAGTCCACCAGAAGATAATTTTTCTTGTTCTTTTTTAGATTCTAGTTGCAAATGATAAAGCCTGCAAGATTCTTGGATATAGTACCCAAGAAATGATTGGGCGGAAATTAACTGAAATGATTTCAAAATCCAACTGGGATATTGTGGAAGCTCTGAAGGAAGGATATACTGATATTGAGGAACATGGACCAGTAATTCCAGGAACAGTGGTGTGTGATTTCTTCGATTAAATATCTTACACCTGAAATACGCTTATCAGCATTTCAGATTTGTATTTTTCTATCACAGAAGCTTTAGGAATCCATGGGAACCCTATTTGTTTCAATATAGACTTAACTTTGTTCAGATTTATTGATGAAGTATTTATAAATTTGGCATTTAAATTTCTAAAGCTATAATAGAGGTAAAACAATGTGTTCGCTTTACATGTAGTAAAGATAATGTGCTTTTGTTTAATATTTCTGTGTAGTGCTAGAAAAGTCTGAATGTACTTAAATATACATAGGAGATCATGTATGTACATGCAATGTGATACTGATTTTTTATTATTACCAGAGCACAAGTAGTCTAATTCAAGAGGACATATATCTGTTTGTGATTAGTACTCATCTAGCTGTTAACAAATAAAACATAGCCTCAGAATTAGCTATATTAAATAATTTGTTTTTAAATAATGTCCTTTATGATAAAGAAGCATGAGTAGTTCATAAGAAGTCAAACCTTTTTAATCCTTTTCTACTGATGACAATCAGACAGAATTGATTTGTTCTGTTTTACTGCATTTCACTGAACATTAAATTCCCTAGTTATTCTATAGCATGGTAGCACTATCTTTAAATTGCTTTTAAAGATAGTGCTACCATGCTAGTTGAAAAGCTGGCTATTTTATTGAGAATTTCACATACACACAGAGCTACATTTGCTTTGATATATTAGTCAGAAATGTAGGCTATGAACTGTGTTCTACAAAAACCAATAAAAATTCTTGTGGCATCCGAATAACATATTTGTTGCCAGGGTGAATTTGTTTTAAATCAAGTCAATTTAAATCATGATTTAAATCACTAGTAAAAAGGCTTGATTTAAATCAACTCAATTTCAGTCATAATTTTTAAAGAGCAACTGTCATCTCTGTCCTGCAGTGGCTCCTCCTCTGACCTGCTGTTTACTCACCGACAGTCCCAATATTGCAGAATATACAGCCTCATACTACATAACTAAGCTCCATTTCATGCTGTATAAACTAAATTATTAATGTATCCTAAATAGAAAACTATCTTTAGATAGATTTTTACTCCAAAAGCATTTTATTAAAATAATTTGATTAAAAATAAAGAAAAATCTGATTTAAATAAAAAAAACATTTTAATTTTTTTTTAAAAAAAATTATCAGTTTTTATCCACCCTGCTTGTTGCATAACCTTTCCACAGTAAGGGGAATTACTCTCTCTGACTTGTGTGTTATATGCAATAAGAGATATAATAGAAATTGGTTAATCTGGAAATCTTTGCTTTATTTTATGCCAACTAATATGTGTAAAATATTCAGTCCTGTTCATACTGCACAAATTTACTCAGAAATAAACCTCCCTGGATTTTATACATTTATTTTTGACCTTTAAAGAAAGATCTAATCTGAAGGTCCCATATTGTTACTGCTAGTACCTGATTTAATTTACATTATACTTGCTTCTGTGATAAATTTGAAGTGGGATAACATTACTGACTAATGTTGTCTATTTGTAGTGAGGATTATTGAGAATCTATGTGTTTTTAACTTAAAACAGTTCTGCGGACCCCTGAGGGACCGCAATGTCACAGGGAGTCTGTCAAGTCTTGAAGAAATTTTATGATACAAATCTTGAGTTAAGTCTTGGGGGTCTGTGGCCATGGTCCATTGTCATAAAAGGTATTTAAAGGGGGCCTGTGGTGAAGAAAAGGTTCAGAACCATTAATTTAAAATATTCAAAAACTGCTATTTAAATATGTAAAATTTTGATAAAATTCCTTGCAGGATGTGTCTTAAATCTACAGAATATAAATATCATAACTCAAGTATTTGAAATCTTGAATAATCATGGCAAAATTTTATATACAAAATTAATTATGGTGCAGTTATCTGGAAATAAAACTTCTGATAAAACTTGCTAAAGTAGTTTGCATATAATTAGTGAAAATTCATATCTACAGATATCATGCATATATTCATTAACATTAAATATGGATGAAATAGCGAAACACATTCTAAAAGACAGTGGTTAAAGGCTGTCTGTCTAAACCTGCAATTTAGAAAGCTAACATGTATTTTATCACTAGGTAGATGTCATTTCCCAAAATAATGAAAAGATCCCTGTCACTATATGGACAAGAAAAATTAAAGGCCATTGCAATCAGTACTGTGTTGTTGTTTTGGAACCTGTGGAAAGACTCTCTGCTTCAGTTTCCTTCAAAAGTAATGTGAGTAAACCAGCAAAATAATGGAATGGAAATTACAGAAACATGCTTGCTTCTTAACATGGACGTCAAACCTTACGTTAGCCAACTTTATCAAAGAAAAGAAATAGGAATGTGCTTGTTTGTGTTCTTTTGTAATTGTATACAAGAACCACTGATCCTAAAATAATACAGTGGAACTGAAATTCTTTAAATAAATGATTAGATAGCTGTACAGCTATTGATGTTTGTTGATGTGAAGCAGTTGTAATAAATAGTCTATGATTCAAGGAAATAAATGAGACTTTTTTTTGCTTTAAATGTTATTGTTGCCCTTTTATAGAAAGGCATATAAATATTTTAAGTAAAATTAGTATAAAAATTAGAAATTAGCAGGGTATAGAATCAGTGTGGAGGTTCATCTGTCCTAAAGTAGTTTTTTCTAGGCTCTATTCCTTAAATCAACAACCAACAATATTGTGTTTGGTCACTTTAATACTGCTATAAAACCAATGCTTTAGAACTGAATACTGAGCATTTGTAATATAAATTATGTTGAACTCTCATATTAAGGGAGAGATTACTTCTTGTGACCCCCTTTTTGCTCACCTTCATGGATATTCATCATCAGAAGATGTGATTGGTCACTACATAAAAGATTTGATACCTTCTATCCAACTTCCTGCACCTGGGAAAAACATTCCAAAGGTACCATTAAGTTTATTACAGACAATTATTGCCATGAATGAATGAATGATTTTTACATAAAATAATGTTTGGGGTTAACTCCAACTATATGATAGTAATTTGAAACCTTTACTCTTCATTTTCTAGTCAATGAAAATTTTAGATTTTAGAAAAGCTTAGATTTGCATTATTGTGTGATTACAGCTTTCTTCTTTCAGAATATCAAAATTCAGAGATCTGTTGGCCGAGCAAGGGAAGGAACAACATTCCCTCTCAGCTTGAAACTCAAAGTAAATCCCCTTGTTGACGAAGTTATTTCAGTATCAGGTGACCCTCCACCAGATATGGATGTTGAAGCTTTGGAAAACAGCACTTCTTTACCAATAGATTGTTGCTTCTGTGCTACCATCTGGGTGTTCACCACTATCAGCGGATTGGTAACCGTTCAGGCAGATGGTACAATTTATGGAATTAACAATACGTTTTCCCTAATGCTATTTGGTTATGAGAAGAAAGAACTATTAGGCAAGGTAAAAATCTTGTAATTCTCTACAGAAAACATTTTTGTATAAGTGCAATCTTTCCTAGAGCGATGTCCTCTCTCAAAAATGTATTTAGTTTCAATTACCAGATTTCTACTCTTTCATATTATCCATTGTCTAATCCCATGCTGTTTGGAATTTCTACAAATTAGAGTCCAATCATTTGAGGGCTATCAAATTAGGAAAACTGATTAGTGCTGCAAAATGTTGGGGATTTTGACAGCCCTTTAAAAGCAGAGCAGAGGTCTCAACCCCCAGGCCACCGACTGGTACTGATTCATGGCATATTAGGAACTGGAGATGAGTGGTGGGCGAGCGAGTGAAACTGAAACCATGCTCTCCCAGTCCATGGAAAAATTATCTTCCACAAAACCGGTTGAGCAGTGGGCGAGTGAGCAAAACCAAGTGCCCAAAAAGTTGGGGACCACTGATCTACAGCAGTGCATTCTTGACCACCCAACTTTTGGATTACAATCATGGCCAGAGATGATGAATCAGAGGTAGACAAGATCTGGGTGTTGAAGATTGGGAAAGATTGGGAAAGACTGTTCTTGATACCAGGATATTATTAATTAAATTACCATTTTTTTTTCATTTCAGTTAAAGGATGGGAAAACTTTACTTATAAATTTCCAGCAGCAAGTTGCATTTTACAACAGTAGTCCCTATGTTTGTCTTTTTTTTTAAAAAAAATAAAGAATTGGTTTCTATTAATTGTCACAGAATAAGAGGAAAGGGATGAATTTTACAATTTCTCATTTTCTATTATAGAATATCACTTTCTTAATTCCTGGATTTTACAAGAACATGGATAAGACTGATTCTTCTTTGCAACTTCCACAATCTAGAGAAAGCTATCTGAATGCAGAAAACACGAATTCCTCTGAAGGAATGCAGAAAGATGGATATGCTATTGGGAAAGGTAAGTTTTATCCACAGATAATATTATTCACCCAAAATAATGTTTTGTTTTTAATAGATTGTGTTCAGCATCTGATTTTATAGCGGTGGGATGTTACATACTGTATTCAGAACATAGCAATGTCTAGACTCTAGTTTTTATTTTATTTCTCTGAGGCAAATACATTTATAATAAGTTTTTTTGTAATTGCACCCTTGATATTAGGAACTGTCATCACTATTAGAATCAGAGTATATCTTTAGAGTATATAGTGGAAGGTGGTTGTCAGTGGGCTCTTAGCTGCATTAAATGACAATTCTGAATAAAAATACAGGATTCAGCATTAACTGGTATGTTTTTATGACTGTTGCAGTGTCCTGGGGTCATTTTGCAACCTTCTGACATGCAAAGACAATGGGGAAGTTAACAATCATGTTACTAACTTAACAACTGCAGGAATTCACTTAACAACTGTGGCAAGAAACATTGTAAAATGTGTCAAAATTCACTTATCTGACTTGCTTAGCAACAAAAATTTTAGGCTCAATTTTAGGCAGTAATTTGCATTTCCCATCCTTTAATTTATTTTTAGCACGTTTCATTCTTATTGAGTCAGTGAAAACAATAGTGTTCCTTGCCCCCATTAATTAATGCATTATTCATTTATTTTTTTCTTGAATTTACTATTCAATTATATATTTACTACTATATATATTCAATTAAAAGTACACATCTATAACTAGCTAGTTATAATATACGTATTTTAGGGATGAATCAATGGTAGAGATGTAGATGTTATATCTGCCAATTTTGCAAAGTTATAATTATACATGTTTGATTGTTCAAAAAATGATATCTTCTGTATGGTATAAAAATGCTGTCAAGAGCCATGTAGCCACTTTATGTGTAAAGTGGCATTAGAGCCTCTTGGGGCATATCTTGCTGAAAGGATTGTTGCCCATACTGTTTTCTTTTGATGCAGTCATCAGCTCATTCTTCATTGAAGACATGGATTTGCCAGATCTGAAGGAACAACAGGAATTAGGGAGGAATGGAGCTGAGCTCCCACCTAAAAGGGAAATCCAGCTGGAAAGTTTGGGAAATGTATCCTGTGCTCTACTGTCTCCTGCAGTGGTACCTTCATCCCTAATTTGGTAGGTTTCAAATGCACAAGTCTGTTTTACTGTTGCCACTGTTGGAAAAGTTATATCATGGGATGGAAGAGTGAGAGTTTTAGTCTCTTTAAATAATATATATAATGAGTTCAATATTACAGGAAAACTCTAGTAGCAATAGTTGTTGTTCAATGGCTAAGTTGTGCTTGACTCTTCGTGACCCCATGGACCACAGCACAGCAGGCCCCTTTATCTTCCACTGTCTCTTTGCCCAAATTAATGTTCATTGTGTCATTGACACTATCTAACCATCTCATCTTCTGCCATCCCCTTCTCCTTTTGCCTTCAATCTTTCCCAACATCCGGGTCTTTTCAAATGAGTGTGCAGTGGTTAGAATGCAATACTGCAGGCTACTTCTGCTGAGTGCCGGATGCCAGCAGTTTGGCAGTTCAATCCTGACCGGCTCAAGGTTGACTCAGCCTTCAATTCTTCCAAGATCGGTAAATTGAGGACCCAGATTGTTAAGGACAACATGCTGACGGTGTAAGCTACTTAGGGCTGTAAAGCACTGTGAAGCGGTATATAAGTCTAAGTGCTATTGCTATTGCTATTCTTCTCATTTGGTGACCAAAATATTTGAGCTTCAGCTTCAGTATCTGTCCTTCAAAGAACAGTCAGGGTTGATTTCCTTTAGGATTGACTGATTTGATTTTCTTGCAGACCCAGGGAGTCTCAAGAGTCTTCTCCAATACCACAATTTGAAAGCATCAGTTCTTCAGCACTCAGCCTTCCTTATGGTCCACCTCTCACAGCATATACATTACTACTGGGAAAGCTATGGGAAAACCATAGCTTTGATCATAGGACCCTTGTCAGCAAGGTGATGTCTCTGCTTTTAATATGCTGTCTAAGTTTGCCATAGCTTTCCTCCTGAGGAGCAAGCATCTTTTAATTTCATGGCTGCAGTTACTATGAAGCTCTTTGGTTTCTCTTCATTTTCTGCCATTAGAGTAGTATTGTGTGCATGTCTGAGGTTGTTGATATTCCTCCCATAATCTTAATTCCGGATTGTGATTCATCTAGCACAGCATTTTGCATGATGTATTCTGCATATAATTTAAATAAGGAGTGTGACAATATACAGCCTTATCATACTCCTTTCCCTATTTTGAACCAATCCTTTATTCCATGTCTTGTTTTAATTGTTCTTGACCTGTATAGAGTTTCTCAGGAGACAGATAGGGTAGTCTGGTACTCCCATTTCTTTAAGATCCATGCAATCAAAGGCTTTAGTGTAGTCAATGAAGCAGAAGCAGATGTTTTTCTGGAACTCCCTTGCTTTCTCCATAATCCAGCGAATGTTGGTATTTTGATCTCTAGTTTCTCTGCCTCTTCAAAAACCAGCTTGTATTTCTGGTAGTTCTCAGTCTACATACTGCTGAAGTCTAGCTTGCACAATCTTAAACATGACCTACTAGTGTGTGAAATGAGCACAATTGTACGGTAGTTTGAATATTCTTTGGCATTGCCCTTCTTTGGGATTGGAATATAAACTCCCACCCCCCAATGATGTGGTGGTCATTGTTGAGTTTTCTAAATTTGCTGGCATATTGAATGCACCACTTTACCTGAGATGTGATTTTTGTTAATTCTATGTTGGTCAGATCTCCCAATTTGTGTCATCTCCAAATTTGATAATAAACTCAATCCTATTTTCTAGATCATTAATAAAAATGTTGAGTAATACTGGTCTTAAAACAGATTTCCCTGAACAGCCATTGGTTCCTACTTTTGAATACAGTGTTGAGCTATTAATGCTGTCTTTCTGAGTACAGTTAGCTAAACTTACTATAGTGCCATACAAATTATACTTTAATAGTTTGCAGAATCATTTCAAAACCTTTGCAGAAATCAAAGTAGATTACATCTATAGCATTCTTCTTGTCACTAGAGTAGTTATTTTTATCAAAGGAGACAAAATCTGTTTAACATGATCTCTTTTTAACAAAGTCAGGATGGTTCTCAGCAATCATGGCATTGTTTTCAGTGTCGTTATTTTATTTAATTGTGCTATGTGAATATATCAGTGAAGATTCTCAGTCATCCAGGAAGAGTTGTTTGGAAGTTGAGTCATGGCAACTGGACTTCTTTTCTTTTTTGGTTTGAAACATTTCACTGCTTATCCAAGTAGCTTCTTCAGTCTGCTATGTGAATAGTTTTATTAATACAAGTTCTTGTATTCTAAAGAAGGAATACAAATAAATTATGGGTGAGTGGAGAACACGGTGAGAAAGATACTGGGTTCTTCAACATAACAAAATAAATCTTCTTTTTTGCAGCGGAAACCACATACCTAGCAATACTGTGCTAGCTACTTATGAAGCGATATCTTCTGAGAATCTATATTATGAAGATGGTACTGAAAAAGAGACTGGAAAATCTGCTATTCATCAGATGAATGAACTACATTCTTTAAAACTGAATCATTCAGAATCAAATGTATTAGATGATAGAAGTAAACTAAATAATTGCCTTTCCAGAAGTACTTATGACCTAATTCAGGAAGAAAATGACAATTTGAATATACACGATTCTACTTCACCACAAGATATGAAGTACCAGCCTTCCACAATAAGAAGAGAAAGGAAACATTCTCTCCTGGGTAGTGAGACATTTGATAATAATTTATTAAAAGCTGAATTACAACTTGAGACAAATGTGCCTTGTGAAGCTGTACATGGATCATTTGGAACTCCAACAATGGTTGAGCCAAATGACGATATAGCATCTAACCCAAGGCAAAGCCATGAAGTTCCACCCAGAACTCTAATGAATAGAACCAACAGCTTAACATTTGAGAATAATTCCTTAGAAAATTCAACTATTGATTCTACAGTTTTTCTGCCTGCAAAAAAGAGCAATAGTCTTCCTATACATGGAGGATCATCAAAACTTTATGATGCCTCTATAATTATGGGAAGTGAGAATGTGGGTAGTAACCATTCTGTTTGCTGTGAACTGATGAACCTGGGGATTAATGAAGAGGTGAGATCTGATTCATGTGCTGCCTTTGGACCAATAAAACTTTCCTTCTTAGATGCGAAAGATCTTGTCCAGTCCCTGGATCAGACAAATAATATTACAAGTGATTCATTGGAGTTTCGGTTGAGTGGTATATCTCCATCGGCCAGTCAAAAGAACTTGTTTGTTAATAAGCCTTCTGAGTACTTTGACAGTGATTTCTCTATACTTTGTACTTCAGAACTTGAAAATGCTGTACCAGCTATAAGGGATGATCTAGAAATTAATTCACTAAAAAGTAATGTTGAGTCTCAAGAAGACTTCCTGACATTAAACCAGCAGCATATGGCACAGGTAACATCAACGCCTATAAAGCTAGAAAATGTGCTATCTCCAACAACTGTTTCGAACACTGAAATACTAGAAGGCAGCTATACTGGTAACTGCTACCATCGAGATGGTTCGCGACTCAGTAAGTTGGAAGCAATTGTTACTGCTCTCCCTCTGATCTTTAATAAACATTGTTTAGAAAGCTACAGGGAATGGGAGTTTATTATGAAAGGGATGAATATTGAATACCAAAGTAAATTTATGAACACTATCTAACCAAACTAAACGTTAATCTGATTTTGCTAATTTCTCTTGGTTGATAGTATTCCTTATTTATTGTTATTTATTTATTGGTTCAATTTATATGCCGCCCTTCTCCGGAGACTCAAGGCGGCTTACAATACGTTAAGCAATAGCCTTCATACTTTTGTATATACCTGCTTAGTAGGGCTTTCGGCCCCCTCTAAGCAGTGTTCTTTTTTATACAAAGTCAGCTTATTGCCCCCACAATCCAGGTCCTCATTTTACCTACCTCGAAAGGATGGAAGGCTGAGTCAACCTTGAGCCTGGTGAGATTTGAACTTGCAATAATTGCAGGCAGCTGGTGCTACTTAACAGCACTTTAGTCTGCTGCGCCACCAAGGCTCCTTGCTCCTTATAGACCAATCATGGCATATTCTTGAGTGCCATACCTAACCAGATACTGCAACTGGATTAAGAACAATACATAGAAAGATATAATCTAAAATTCCTAATCACAGTTAACAACAATTTGGCTATAGATTTTCTTTTGTTGGTTGGAATAAAATAACATACCAAGTGCTAATGTATGCCAGGACGTTATAGCTTTTTGAAAACACAAGTTCCTAGAGGAACAATCTAAATTTCTGGGGGGGATGTTGGAGAAAGCTTTTGGAAGAATTTGGCTATTTGCCAACTCTTCCAACCTTGCCTTATTTTTTTGTTAAACAAATTTATACTTATAAAGTTTTGGGCTGGTTAGATATTAAAGATCTTGATTCACAGCATTGAACACATCTCAAGGTGTTTTGTAAGTCGAATCTGGTAGGAAAAAGCTTTTCCTACCAGGTTTCCAATTTCCAATATGCATTGACTGAGAATTTTGGCAGTTATTGTCCCAGCAACTCTAGAACATGCAATATTCAGAAAGGCTGACCAAAGCCATGCTGTTTTGTCACGAATTCTTTTAGAATTATATTGTATGGATTTAAACTGCGTAGTGACCTAGTGGTGAAGACATTTGCTTCCTACTCAGAAGACTGAGAGTTCAATCCTAAGTAGCAGCAGATGTTTCTTTCCTACGGCGCAAAGAAAAAATATCTACTTCAAAGTCCATGTAAGTGTCAGGAAGAGCATCTGATCAGTAAACTCTCAGCTCCATCCAGTTGCCCTGACTCTACCCTGAATTAAGGGATCATGGGGTCATAAAAAGGGAGTTTTATTGTTAAGTATGAATTTCTTTAACAGTAAGTATATTGGTTTCTATTAAAAATTCCACAGGAAATATTCAATTTTCCTCTAGTGAAAAAAGACTAGTAGTAACACTTTTATTTCACTGTTCAATTTGTTCTTACATTATCCCATGTTGGTCATGTTTATATACTGTATTTCTGAAAAGTTTAGCTGAAATATTAAAATCCGCAATATATGTAGGGACTTTAGAATCTTGCTCTTGGATAAGTGTTGTTCTTCTTTTCTCTATCTCACTTTATGTGTTTTATGAGTTTTTACCTTGGTTAATTATTTTGCAGGCATACTCTTTGAAGTGAAACGTGTGGAGCTGCATGATCCTGCTGCTCTTTTTTGTATTTGGGTTATGAGAGACCTTTTCCAAAGCCAGAAACAAGCAGCAGCAAAGACACAATTACTTCTTTCTAGCTTGGCCAGTTCCTGCCAAACATTAGATGAAATCTCAGCTGTTAATTTGGCAGAAGTAAGTATGTTGATTTCTGTATAACCATAGACATTAGCTATTGCAGTATTTCTTAGCATAAGCCCAGCCAACCCTGCTCACTGTGGAGTTCTGGGAGTTTAAATTCACACATCTTAAAACTTGTTGAAGTTGAGAAACACTGATCTACAGGGATACAGTAATTCCTGTGAGCAAACAGTAGCTGTTTGAGTGTTACTGATATTAATGTGATCAACTGACTTTACTAGACCAAAGGATAATTGCACTGCCACTTACTAACAACCAGTATTTAAAACACGCTGCCTATGATTTAGTAAGTAATAAATAATTAACTTTAATAGCCACTGACACTCTGATCTTCCATAAACTTGTTCATAACTTTTTAAAAACCATCCAAATTGGCTTGCATTACAATTGTTGAAAACAAATTCCACGGTTTAACTGCACACAGTGGTTTTAGGATTTTTTTAAAACTAAAATTTAAGGTTTTTGAACTGACTTGAAAAACCTAAGTTGAAAAGAAGATATAATTATGAATATTCAATGGATGAGTAGGCCAGTCATTCTCTCTCAACCCCATCTACTTTACACAATAAACAAATGTTTAAATATCTCCTTTTGCTGGTCCTGAATTTCTCTGAATTTAATTTTAATTAATGTCTTTATATTCTGATATTATAAGAATGAGAAAAAGTCTCTACAACACTAGTGTTGTACACAATTTTATACATACCATTAAAATCCTCCTTTCCCTCCTTTTTCTAAGCTAAATAAACCAAATTACCATAGTATACCCTCATAGGGGAGCTGCTCCAGCCAATGAATGATGCAAGATAAATATGACACATATAATATTTGCTCCCTCTTGAGACATGAATGGCAAGGTAACACCATTCTCCATATCTGCTGATTTTGACAGGGAGATTAGACTTGTATTTAGAGAATTTAATGACAAAATTATTGTTTCTAAGCAAAAGAATCTTGTCAGGCAGAAAATAAAAGGGAATGCTCATTCTTTATAATGAATTTTTGTTTAACTGAAAGTAGGAATAAAACTGTTGAGGAAGGCTATAAAGTGTGATTAAATTAAATCATCCAATAGGAAATTATTTATATATCCTAGAAAGGGCAGGGACCTTGTAGCTACATTTTAATGCTAGGATTTTTGCTGAAAAACTTTCCCTGGCATTCCCCAGAATAGATTATTTAGCTTCTCTCTGTATACTGTCTAATTCTTATGGCTCATAAAAATCTTTTGCCCCTCTGTTGACATTTTTTCTTTTTCTTTTAAAGAGTTTTTTCTTTATTCATTGTTTTAATGGATAATGTGCCATGTTCGAGCTTGTAAACCGAGAAGTGTTCACAAAACATTTTTGTATTGTCAATAGTGAAAAACCCAAACTATCCAAACTTCTATAGTTTGGGCCAAAAAACCAGTGCCTGAAAAGATGAAAATCAGGCCACCAGATGGCAGTGGATACCAGGGAATATGCCCTGCTTAATGTGACATTGATTGCCTAGTCTTTCACTGATAATCCAATTAACTTTCACATCTGTTAAATTGTTAAAATACTCTAATTAGGGTCAGGTCCCAAGATTTTGTTGGGAGGATTAATTTGTTTAAAAAAGGCTAAAGTTTCTGCTATTAGTTGCTCAATATCTCAGCAAGATGAGGACAGTCATTCTATAAATGAAGTATGTTATAGTGGCTGCAGCAGTGCCATCATTACTATAAAAAACAATGGTCTCTTGAGATCTTGCCACCAGTCCTGGGATGATGTTTTTGCTTAAAACTGTTATACAACGCAAATTTCTTCTTTGAAAGGTTTCAGAAAAGTTGCCTTTTGCAGCAGACATACACATTTCCATTTGTGCATAGATTTTTTGGGGGGGCTAGATTTAGTTCCCTTTGGAAAAAAAATAGGAACACAAAAGATAGGAAACTCAGAGCATTTGTATAATATTTTTGTTTGTTTGCAAAGATACTGCTCTGCAAACAACTGTATATGCAGACAGTCTAACCTTCCTGAAATGTTATATATGTCTTTACCACATCAGATTCCCAATGTTGTAACCCTCAGAAGTGTCTTACTGATTCAGAATTACTGGTAACTCTCTTCCCATTATCTATGTAACATACCATGTTTGCATTGATTTTTCTCTATTTTTGATTCTCTCTCCCTGTACCCCTGTCCAATACACACACACACAGGCAGAGTTATGTACCTGGAATTCTTAACTCAATAGAAGAATAATCTCAACTCACCCTTTCAGAACATTCATCAATATTCTAGGCATTTCTTGGCAGTTCTGCAGAATTTGCAAGAAATCTCTAACAAACACAGACAGAATTGGATGATAATTTTGACAGATACAGGTTGTTGCCATTTTAACAATAACTGAAACGGCCACATTTTCAGGATTACCTGGTTACAAGTACATAGGTTAAAACTGGAGCAAGTTTGGTTAATCTTTGGATGGTTTTAAATAGTATCTACATTATTTATTTATTAGATTGATGCCCCCGCTTTAGGCTAATTTCAGGAGCATCCTCTTCAATTTAGAGTAATAATTGAATTTATTTCAGAATTAATTAGTGATTTCAAATATAGAAATAGCTCAAAAAACAACAATTTGAGGACAGCTACAGATGAAATATTTACCTGTTTTTAATAGATTTCCTACATTTTTCCTTGTTTTTATCTTTTGGCTGTAATTAGTTCACTGAACTGTTATAATGTGCATCAATTCTTTCTTCTGCAGTTAATCAAAACCACACCCTTATTTGACAATTCACGAAAAGCTGAAGAATTAGAAAGACTGAAAGCTTGTGAGGGATGCTATGGAGAGAAATATGATACTCTTACTTTTATTGGAAAAGGAGCTTTCGGGTTTGTCTGGACAGGAAAATGCAAAATGGACGAGAAAGAGGTAAAAAAGCTATTTGTTTAAAATTAGTAGTCATGTTAGTATTAGCTGCAGATAGTCCTTACTTACTGACCTCTTATTCAATGGCCATTTGAAGTTATGACAGTGCTGAAAAAATAACTATGACAAAGTTATAACCATTTGCTACCTCTATAGCATCCTGCAGTCACATGATAATTGAAGAAATTTGAGCAGAATAAGGTGGCATATAATGAGGAATATATATCAAAAGCCATAAGTGCATTCGACACACCTAATGTATTCCCCATTGTGTGCCTGCTTACTCTGGTCATAAATCTGGTTGCTACTTTGAATAGTTTTTTTTTTTTTAAATTTGATTTATATGCCGCCCTTCTCCGGAGACTCAGGGCAGCTTACAGTGCGTTAAGCAATAGCCTTCATACTTTTGTATATTTTTATACAAAGTCAGCTTATTGCCCCCACAAACTGGGTCCTCAATTTACCTACCTTAGAAAGGATGGAAGGCTGAGTTAACCTTGAGCCTGGCAAGATTTGATCTTACTTTAATTGCAGACAGCTGGTGTTAAATTACAGTGCTTAGTCTGTTGAGCTATCCAGGCTCCTTTCCACTATCCAGGCTAGTTGCTGAATGAGTGATCAGTAAGCGACAACTATCTGTATTTTGTTTTCAAAAAGAAGAGAAAAATATCCTTTGTTTTATTCTTGTCTGGAGTGATGAATCTTACATTGTTTTAAACCACTGTTTCCCAACTTCGGCAATATATGGACTTCAACTCCTAGAATTCTGAGCAACAGCCATGTTGACTAGGGGATTCTGCATGTTGAAGGCTACACCTCAAGAAGCTGCCAAAATTAGAAAACACTGATTTAAAACTAAATATTCATTCAGTACTGAATGAACTAGTAAATGCCTACTCAGATTGAATTGCTTAACTTTTTAAGAAAGCAAATCAAATTCAGTTGACCAATTTCTGTTAAATCACTGAATTATTGGAAGGAAAAAGTAATGCATGTACAAATGCCCTTCCCGTGCCATCATGATATGTGATTCAGTCTATAGTTCTTTAAGCAAAACAATAAATATAAAATGCATACCTATTTGAACTGCCATTGTACAGTTTAAGTATAAATTGTTTTTTAAAATCTGTAACATAGATAAAAAGTAAATTAAGTTTCTTCCTATCCTGTCCCATCCAAATTTGGTCTAATTATTCCTTTGCATCTTATCATTCATAGGTTGTAGTGAAATTCATTTGGAAAGGAAGGGTATTAGACTATTGCTGGGTAGAAGATCCTGAGCTAGGGACAATTACTCAGGAGATTTCTATTCTGAGGAAACTTGAACATCCCAATATTATCAAGGTATAGTAGACCGGTTAAGCAGATATATAAACTATAACTTCAGGAATTAAGTCCCTTGTATTAATGTATGTGAAACCATTTTATTTGGTCCTAACGGATGATATATTAGAATATAGCAAATTTCCAAACATGGAAATTCAAGTATTGAATCATTCATCATTTCTGTATTGTTCTTGATTTGACTTATCTTCTTGCTAAGATTTGATCTGTGACTACTAAGTGCTCATATTTTACTAGTTCTCCTGAAATGTAAGATGAAAATGTCTGAACCTATTTACTGTATTTAAGAAGTAGGCAGCATAAGGCATAGACTTGCACTTTTCCATAATTTTGAGATGGAAACATTTGAAAATTATGTTAGCCTAAAATAAGCTCATAATGTTCTTCTCCAGATCAATGAGAAAAACTTATCCAAATGCCTGATATACCCTAACCTCAATACACACAGCCCCACTCAGTTCTTTGTCCCTAACATCTGTCCTCAGCCAAAATGAGAAGGTTTTATTATTAACCATCAAAATATTATTCTCCTTTGTGCTGTAATTGTAAGATTGTACCTTACTGGACCACCTTTGGGGGTTTGGATTGGTGGCATAATTCTGCAGTGGTTCTGCTCTTTCATTAGTCTATCGTTTCAATCAGTGGTGACGGGGAAGGAGGAATTGGCCTAACAGCCTCTGATATGTAGTACTGAAAGGCCTACCCCTGTCCCATACTTTTAAATATCTACATCATGGGCGTCAAACTCACTGCGTCACGTTGCCGTCACATGATGTTTCATGACATTTTTCCCATTCATGGAGCTGGAGTGGGTGTGGCCTGCATGTGACACATCCGGCTGCCAGTTGATCTATACCCGTGATCTACGTGGAACTACTAGATGAAGTTATTTGATGGTTCAGGATGTGGTATCATCAATATGCTGATGATATCCAACTTTTACCACCTCGGGTTATAGAGGTGATCCTGTTGGTCCTGCTCTAGTGCTTGAATCCTATAAGGGTCTGAATGGGAAACAACAGACTATAGCTGAAGCCTAATAAGATGAAATTACTGTTTTTACACAAGGCTTCCCTGTTGATATTAGTATTTTGCGGGTTCTTCATGTAGTGTTCTTCCTGGAGACAATAGGTGCAAGGCAATCTAGCTATAATGATTCATATTTTGATTATCACTCAATTGGAATATATTGCAAAATACTTCACGTGGCCTTAAAATATTTGGAAAGTTAAAGCTAGTCCACAAGGCAGTGACCCATGTGTTTATCCATTCCTGACATTGGGTACATATAACACCAATTATGAGGGCCTTGCACTGGTTCTCAGCAAGCTTATAAGTACCCCCACAAGTTGGTGGTATTGGCTTGTAAAGCCCTTCATGGCTTCACTCTACAGGACTGACTACTTCCAACAAGATTGGCTTGACCTATCAGATCTTGTAGCTGCTAGTGATTCCATACTCCTGAGGTTAGAAGAACTAAGACATGACATACTTCTCTCTATCAGCCTCCCATTGGAAATAAAACTACACCTAATCCTCGATTTATGACCACAATTGAACTCAAAATTCATGTCTAAGCAGAACATTTAAGTGAATTTTGCCCCATTTTAAGACCTTTCTTGTCACAGTTGTTAAATGAATCACTGCAGTGGTTAAGTTAGTAACAAGGTTGTTAAGTGAATCTGGCTTCCCCATTGGCTTGTCAGGATGCAAAAGATGATCACATGACCTTGGGAGATTGCTTCTGTCATAAATATGAGTTCCCTGCCAAGCGTCTGAATTTTGATCACATGACCATGGGGATGTTGCAACTGACATAAGTCATTTTTTTTCAGTGCCATTGTAACTTGAAATGGTCTCTAAATGAACTGTTGTAAGTTGAGGACTACCTGTATTATTGCCCTTTAGGAAGCTATTAAAAACTGAATTATTTTAGACAGCATTTTTTGATCACTTTTATTATTTCGCTCTTGTTTATTACGACTTATGTTGGCATTCTGTGTAATTACTTAAATTGTCATTTCACTGTATTTATTGTAAACTGCTGAGAGTTTATTGAAGGCAGTAGGATATCAGTCCCCAAAATAAATTAATATAATAAATAAATCCAGTAAATAAATAAAAATTTAATACTTTTGAAATGAGAAGGGTCCAGTGGGTTACGAAATTTGTGGTTTTTTTGGAAAGTTGTTCACACTACATTCTTTGACACTAGGTGCTAGATATATTTGAGAACCAACAGTTCTTTCAACTAGTGATGGAGAAGCATGGAACCGGTCTAGATCTCTTCACATTCATCGATAATCAACCTAATTTGGATGAGCCTTTGGCAAGTTACATATTCCGGCAGGTGAGATTTTGCAATCTGCAATCTGCAGTAAAGAGCTAATAAAATGGTAAAAAAACTGTTAGCCAGATATAGATTTCAGGTTTGAATCTAAATTGAAGCAGAGGCAAAGGAACTAGCTTCCTTTTCTTACATACCTAGTCTTGATCTGGGGTATCTGTGATATTTTATTCTATAAAGGAACATCACAAAGTTTATAATAGTGCTGTGATGTTGTTTTGCATATGTATCTTTTGATCTGTATTCCAAAGGGCATTCTATATTTGGTCTGACGTGTAACTTTATTCATGGAAAACTAAAAGGGATGAATGCTTAAGGTGAATACTATATATATTTGCACATCAAATTTTACCAAAACCTCTTTTTACTATTAAAATAAAAATCGTACCTAGGAAATCTGTAATTTTGTTCCTTAGAACCACTAATGCTTCTGACAGACTGATTATGATCTAGGTGTCATATTGACCAACAAGAAAAAAGATGGAAGAGCCTTATGTATAATTGGGGGAGGGTTGGAAGCTATTTTATTGTTGTTGCAAATAGAGCATGAGAAGATATTGATTACTGCTTTCCTTGTTATCTATTTGCTACCACTTCTTTATATACATCGCAGTAGTCTCTCCCTTTGGTAAAGAATTGATTTCTGTGGTGTACTTTTCTCCACATTAAAATTTCTGCTATTTCTTATTCTAGGTCAAAACTAGAGGCAATAATTGGTCTTGCGTAAATGTTTTTCTGCCTATAGGCAGAAGAAATATGATGAGATCTGCATTTATGGACTACAGTAAATATTAAATACTGGAGAAGAGGGAACCTGTCTATGCCGTAGTTAAGGTGCTGGCCTAGAAACCAGGAGCTAAAGGCCTCCCTTAGGATGAAAGCTGGCTGGGTGACTTCAGGCCAGTCACTCTCTCTCAACCCAATCTACGTCACAATGTTGTTGTAAGGAAGATAGGAGGCAGTAATATTAAGCATGTTCACTAGCTTGATTTGATCAGAAAGATGAAATAAAACTAATAATAAATGAGTGAGTGTTTACCCAGAATTAGAAAACTGTTTACCCAGAATTAGAAAACTTTGATTATTATAAGTTCTATTGGTCTCATATAATCAGAAGAGGCATTACCCCGCTCATCTTCCTAACGGAATTGTTCTAATGAAAATGTTAGTTAATCAAATAAGGTGTATAAAATATTGCTTCTAGTAATACATAAAACAGTAGTGATATTTTAAGTTTTAATCACTACAGAAGCAGGATTAGAATGAAATGTGAATTTCATATTCTCTTAATTACATGTCTTTTTCAAGGCAAAAAAGCAAAAAGCTAATAATAAGATTTTAAGCAGAACATATAATGATTTCTTTGGTTACAGTTACTTTATTATCTGGAATGGGTGATATTCTGATCTCATCTTATTTGTGCATCAGCTCGTATCTGCAGTGAACTATCTTCGCTCTAGGAATATTCTTCACAGAGACATAAAAGATGAGAACATCATAATTGCTGAAGATTTCACAATCAAGCTAATAGACTTTGGCTCAGCTGCTTATTTGGAACCTGGAAAAATGTTCTATACTTTTTGTGGGACAATTGAGTATTGCTCTCCAGAAGTGCTATCAGGCAGTCCGTATGTATGATTTCGAAATAACATTTATGTTTCAACAGAGTCAATTAGTCTGATTGAGGGGAGACGCTGTACATTAACTCCAAACTCACATAGGGAAAGACCATGGAAATTTTATCATATTTAGAATTAATAAAATGAGTTATGAATATACTGCCAGGCTATTTAGTAAGCTGAGTAAAAATCTAGGGAATTTTTATGATGTCCAGGTTCAGTCAAACTGGGAAATCATAGCGAATATTAATCCACAATTTTAAATATGTTTAACACGTTTTTTTAAAACTGTTAATTATAATTTCCTACTCTGAAAAACATGAGAATTTGTGATTTGTGGCAGATTTCTTGATTATACCCAGCATGCTTATTAAATTAAAATATTATTGAACTATAACATTTCTGTTTAATTTTGAATCTCCCTCACTTTTGGGAAACGTAACCCCTAATCAGATCTCGTCAATAATACAGAAAGCTCTAGGGGAAAATGTGAGAAAGGACAGAACAACATGTCGTTTGGTGGGAAGAAGGAATTATATTTGGATACATTTTGTTCCTGGGTACTATTTTTCTAAATAATTTCTTTTGTTTGTATTTCTATATTGGATTATTTTGTCTGTTAAACTGAATGAGCTTAACTATTTAATTCTCTACAGATACTCAGGACCAGAACTGGAAATGTGGTCACTAGGTATCACCCTTTATACCATAGTCTTTGGAGAAAATCCTTTTTGTGAGCTTGAAGAAACAATTGATGCTGTATTGCGACCTCCTTACAATGTGTCAGTTGGTAAGTAATTCACTAATGTATTTACAAATTATAAATCAAGGGAAAAGGAAATACTTTTTCAGCTAGGTTTTCTGTTTAATACAATTGATAGAATGACTGGCCTTTCACTTGGCATCGCCCAAAGAAACATAATTTTTTTTGAAGCTGAAATGATAAATGAAATTTTTAATCAGAATTTCTCTATTACTAGAGCCCTGAACTTTGCAAATTGAATTGATAATTTGTTGCTTTTGTTAAGAAAGACTTCCTCTTTCCATGTCTATTTCTCTGAGTTGTTAATTGTTTAAAAAATGGATTTTTCAGTTCATTGGGTCTTTATTATTATTGGTAAGAGAAAGGAATCCTTGTTACTTAATACCTGTCATACATTTCAAGAAGTAGCGTTCCCAGAAGTTTCTACAAATTTCATTGGGGACATCAGGATAGTATTACAGAGGGTTAAGATGAAAATAGTATTGGTCACCCTTTGGGGTGACTTATCCGGATTTAGATGGAGGGAATGCATTTTCTTTGTTCTGCTTAATCTCTAAATAGTGTTCAGTGCCATCAGTTATGTTTCTAGATTGCCTATGAAAACTGGATTGAAGCTTCAATGGTTCTGATACTCCTTGAGTGGGCAGTTGCAGTTGCTGTTAGTGAAGGAGGAAAGGTTTGCGTCCTTAGGCACTTCATTAAGGAGCAGAAGACCAATGCTAGCTCCACAAACATTTATAGCAATAAGATACAAAACATAAACTATAATATCTAATAACAGAACATCTAATAAGTATAAAATACCAGGCCTTTTCTGTATCTTTGCAGACAATTAAGCAGCTATCCCCTTTTATTTAAATTTATTTATACTTACGTTACAAATATTTAGCAGTATTTAGAGACATTGAAGGAGATCTGTTACTTATATCAGATGGTAAATACCAAAGCTAGAAGGAGTCTGGCTACCCTGAACAGTTTGTTAATAGCAGTACAATAGTAAAATACCATGCATAAATATCCCTGAAGGAGGGTCAGTTCAGAAAAAAATGAATATTGAGGTTGATGTAATATGGGCGTCAATATTACCCATACTGCATGGGCCAAGTTGTTCATTATAAGGAATATTCTTACACTTCCTTTCCAAGATACCAGAAGGTAAAACATTAAATTTTGTTGGCATCGTAGCTCATCTTATATTTAGCAATTTGAGCTGATCTCATACCCAGTCAGATTGGATACCTTCCAACACACGTTTGAAATTTCTATATCTGTGTTGGCTTGGCTTTGGCATCGACCATGGTATCATGCTGCACCGGTTGGAAGAGTTAGGGGTGGGAGGCACTGTACTACGGTGGTTCTCCTCCTTTCTCTCCGGCCGGATGCAGTTTGTGTTGGCAGGGGGGCAGAGGTCGACCCCGAGGCCCCTCATATGTGGGGTGCCACAAGGGTTGGTCCTCTCGCCCCATTTGTTCAACATTTATGTAAAGCCGCTGGGCGAGATCATCCGTGGTTTCGGGGTGAAGTACCACCAGTACGCTGATGGCACCCAGCTGTATATCTCCACCCCGGACCACCCCAACAATACCCTTGAAGTGATGTCTCGGTGTCTGGAGGCCGTGCGGATCTGGATGGGGAGGAACAGGCTCAGGCTCAACCCATCCAAGACCGAGTGGCTGTGGTTTCCAACGTCCCAATATAGTCAGTTGACACCATCGCTGACTATTGGGGGCGAATCGCTGGCCCCCACGGAGAGGGCGTCCTCCTGGATTCACGGCTGTCTTTAGAAGAGCACTTGACGGCCGTGACCGGGAGGATCTTTCATCAGGTTCGCCTGATTCGCCAGTTGCGTCCCTTTCTGGATCGGGACTCCCTACACACAGTCACTCATGCCCTCGTCACCTCCCGCCTGGACTATTGTAACACTCTCTACATGGGGCTCCCCTTGAGGAGGCTCCAACTGGCGCAGAGTGTGGCCGCACGGGTGGTTATGGGAGCAACATGGCGCTCCCGTGTGACACCTCTCCTGCGCGAGCTGCACTGACTCCCGGTGGTCTTCCGGGTGCGCTTCAAGGTTTTGGTTACCACCTTTAGAGCACTCCATAGCTTAGGACCTGGCTACTTACGGAACCGCCTACTACCACAAACAGCCTCCCACCGGCCGGTACGCTCTCATAGAGAGTGGCTCCTCCAGGTGCCGTCAGCCAAACAATATCGACTGGCGGCCCCTAGGGGGAGGGCCTTCTCTGTGGGGGCACCTACTATCTGGAACGAACTCCCCCCGGAGATACGGAGGATCCCGGATCTGCGCACCTTCCGCCATGCTTTGAAGACACTCCTATTCCAGCAGCCGGCCTGGCCTAATTTTCTCCCCTTCTTTTAAATTTTTAAATTGAAATTTTAATTTGTTTTAAATTATTGGGAATTTTAATTGTCTCGGGCAAAATTATTTAATTTGGTTTTAATTATGTTTTTAAACTTTTGTATTTATGTGTTTTATTTTGTGCCTGTTCACCGCCCTGAGTCCTTCGGGAGTAGGGCGGTATACAAATTTAATAAAATGAAATGAAATGAAATGAATGAAAATTTGGAAGTAGTTGCTAATTTTTTAAAAAATCAGCTGTCACTTCCTGATTGGTCAGGTCTGGTATAGCAGAGTAACTTCAATATTGCAGGATATGCACTTTTGTCATTTGGCCTCTAAATCCAATTCAATGGGCTGGTTTAGATTTTTGTTAGGTTCCTTGCAACTAGGTGATCTAAATAGAATTGGCCTGACCATTTTGACTTGCCTAAAATGATAGAATAGGAATCCTGTTCTCTGAGATGTTAAGAGTGTGCGTGCTTAGAAATAACCCTCCTGGTAGCAGCCCTTTTGCTCTGGAATATATTGCCAAGATTAGGATGGCTGCTTTCTTACTAACATTTTGAAAAGAAGCAAAGACTATTTTCTTTCAATAATCCTTTGGCTCATGTTATTTAATAGAGGGCTAACTGTTCAGAATTTGGTGACTGCATGATATACTTCACATTCTGTATTTCAAAACACATTTATGATTTATCTGACATGTGAGATGCATAGAAACTCAGGAGGAGTGGCATAAAGTGACTGAGCATATGTGTTATAAGTAAATAAATGTAATTACTGTACTTCAGACTTTCAGGTTTTAATTACACTTTTCAAACTGTCATGTGTCAAAGGCTTGCTGACCTCTTCCTATAGATAGTTTCAGGAGGAGAATCTGAAGTATATAAAAAGTATAAGATAAGGAACATTTAACTCTTATTTCCCTGCTAATTCTTTGTTCTGAATTTCCATTCCATGTTGACTTTCCTGTGAAAAAAAAAAGATACATCATGATTTTTGTTAAGAATACATGCCATTTCAGTGGTACTCATTTGCAGAGCTTTTAGACTGCATTGTTTTATTCTCATATGGCCTTTGGATCAAATAATGAATTGCAATATCTTAAAACAAAAAAGAAATCCATTTCAGATAGTCATAAAGGATTATAATTTGGAATGATAATTCTTCAGAAATTATAGGTGCAGTGTCTTATTCAAAGTAGATGATCCTGAAACCTTGATTCTATTGCAGTAATTTTCACTACTGAATAGAAGCCATCTTGAGAAAAGAAAGTAATTACAAATGAAGCCAAGAAAGGTAATAAGGAGTAAAAAACCTTTGAAGTATGCTAGATTTCAATTTGTAAAAATTGTTCATCTTACAATTACATTCAATGAAAGTAGAATATGTGAAAGGCAAGCTGAAGGCTAATATGGTGTTGTTACTCTTTTCTTTCTTTAGATCTGATGAATCTCCTGTCTGGGCTCTTGAAGCCTTTGCCACAGGAACGAATCACTCTAGAAATGGTCATACGGGATCCTTGGGTGTTCCAACCTGTAAACGTGATAAACTATGCATGGGAGAAAGTATTTGCTTGTGGCAAAACAGGTATGTGAAAGGATTCTGAAAGCAGCATTCCTAATTTACCATGAATTCTCAGATGAATAAGATTTACAAAGTGTTTTATACAGGGGATATTTTGCATTTGACATAGTTGTTTCAAGGTTTTAGCACACAAGGGATGTGTTTGAAATAAATTTCTGTGCAGTGCAGATTTATGTGTGTTTTGCACATCAGTAAATCTTGTTCTGTTCAGTAACACTTCTGTTACATATACAGAATCACACTAAAGTATGCAGTGGCTGGTTAACTAGTATTTGCTATTCAATGTTTATTAATATTAATAAAAATATTTTATTTTTAGAAAACAACAGTTTTAAAATTTCTCCCATTGGCTGCAGTCATGGTGGTATCTGGGCAATCCCAAGCCTGAACAGTGAGCAGAGTTTTAATGATGAGGTCAATAATCATGAGCCAGCAAATTCCCAGCTACTTGGAATGATCTCTTCTGCAGAACGAGAGCCATCAACCTCTTCCCAATGCCAGAATCACTGAAATCTTAACTTTGGACACAATCTTACTCGTCTTGAGAACTAAAAAAAAAAAAATACCACAAGGATATCAATGTGATGAACATAATGAAGCAGCAAAATTACAAATTCACTCTGCCTCCTGTGAGCGCGTCTGATATGATTCTTTAATTCCGACATATGGTTTAGTCTTCATGGTGCCTGTCTACATAACTAGTGTAATTTTAGTCATTAGATAGCACAAAATCGAGCTCTCAACTACATAATTTAAATCTGTGTATTTGATTTTTCACCACTGACATTATAAAACTTTATAAAAAAATATCAACAAATAGATCTTCAATATTTTGGGAACTAGACTAAACAGTAAATTACCACAGTGAATAGAACAGGCAACCACATTCTGTATTTCATTTTGGTTAGTCTATTTTCTATTGGTAAGTAATAGAATTAATTTATTTATGATTGTTAATCATAACAAACTTTGCTTAGACTGCAGTAGAGGTAGCATTCATCTTAGATTCTTTTATATTTTAAAGTTTCCTCATACATCAGGCTTTTTTGAAAGAAAGTATATATTAGGACATAATTTGAGATTTTGTTTAAGTAAATTACTGACAGCTGTCCTGATAAAAATAAAAGTTAAGGATGGCCATATATTTTACCTCATCTTTCAAAATTTAGGTGATACATAACTAAAGGATTAGCAGTATTAATTTATAACACTCTATTTTGGCTTTGTGGGTGGTCTTCAGAGAAATCTTCACAATAGAGTAAACATTGCACATGTTAAGTTTAAATGCAAGATCAATATTTTCTTATAAATATCAAGACAAAACTTTTTAGTATGTTAATCAACATCTACACTAAAGTGGGCATTTATTTTCCGACAAACAACATTAGCCAGAAATTTCTGACAGGTGAGTTTCACTTAAAAACCTTTATTATGCTGAAAGAAATAGTCTCTAGAAAGTTCAATTGATTTGACCAATTCATCTTTTAAAAATTTTTTATGTATATAGTTGCTGTAGATTATAAATTGGCAATTTAATTTTTTATAATTTTTTTAACTGTTTAGGATCAATATCTTTTTTTCAGATTATTTTAGCACAGAAGATAATTGTTTCTCTTTATTGATTGTGTTGCTTGATGGCTTGATAGGTGAACATTTGTATTTGACTAATTCTTCAACAATGCAGCTATCCTTAATATTAATGCCAATTTGAATGTTATTTACTAGGGTTCACTTTAGAGGTTGTTTCAGTGGAATACATTTTCAGTTCTATTTTGGTTATATTATTAGGTTATGCCTTCCTTTCTTTCATAGTAAAGAAAGCTATTACCCAATCTATACAGAGAAAAAGAAGAAGCTATTAATCTATACAGAAAAGAAAATATTTGGAAGAATTCTATTAAAAATGTTTTTTTATGTATGTGCGTAGTATAGAAAAAGACATCAATATCTAGCAACAACTACTGTCAAATCAATCTATTTAATATATTATGTCCCTTGAGGTCTACTGTTTCTCTATTTTGGTGTGTATTTCACAGTAGTGTGGGGAAAATGCAGAATTTTAGATTGACACGATTCCATATTATCCAGTTTGTTAAAGAGATGTATATACTAACATTATTACAAAAGGGTGCAATTGAAAATTAATCCAAGGGAAGGCCTCACTAGATAATGTCCCACTTGGGCATAATACCTAGATTTGTCAGATAAAATTAGACTAAATCACAAGTAAGACTAGAAACTTGTATAAAGGTGTTTTGAAACCGATACCTGTTTCCTTTCAAAAACTGTTCCTGGCTACGTGCACATGTATTTTCATGGATAGTTGCTTGGTTGACAATTCTAATGGAAACATTAGAATGCACGCATGCACAGAAAATCTAAGATAACCTTTAAAATCTTATGAACATTCCAGACGAGCTGGATGCTTTAATGCTTCAAGAAAAACAGTGCTTTGTTTAGCTAATGTACTTTGTGAAGCACCTCATTCACTTGTTTTGCACAACCATAATAATCGGATAAATCTTGTGTCTTGAATTTTTGCCATAAACTCTGTTTTAGACTATGAGAACTTTTGAATTATATTTGCTGTAATTGTGTTAAATCATTTGCTGAAATGAATGAAATACACAGTATTTTAATGTATGTCTTATATTACTTTCTTTTCATGAACACCTGAAGTCCAGTCTTTTTTTTTTTTTTGCAGCACTTTTTTGTTCTGCACATTTTACATTATTTACAGAAAAAGAATATAAATTATTTTTATCCTGCTATTTTTAGGGAACTCATAATTGATATATCTGACTCCTTTCCAATCTCCTTTTTCTAAAATAGATTCAGTTGAGAATGAATTATCCAAAACAACTCAGTGAAATCAACAAACTAAAACTTATATTTAAAAAAGTTAATTTGTGAGTCTGTCAACTAAAAGAGTCGGGAATATCATAACTAGATTTTTTAGGGATGTCAATTAGCATCGTTTGACTAAAACAAAGCTGGTATCAGGACATTCCTTGAAGACATGAAAACGCTTTGATTAGAATGTAATGTGTAGATATTTTCATTGACATAATTTGACAGACTGCCTGCTACAGTTTTTAAGATGTTTCTTCATTTTTCTTTGTTAATCAGTATTGCTGTTTGTCTGTTTTCCTTCAAAAGGAGGAGTTAAACAGCCCAGAAGGAGAGAGTTATCCTCTCCCCTTCTACATGGTACCATGCCTCATGGAGAAATAATTGTAGGGGAAATAACTCTTCGTTCAGAACGCAGATGTTTTTATTTGTCGGTTTGGGAAAATACTGGACTAGCAGAATCTGCTGGAACAAACTAAAAACAAAAAAGTCACAACAGATCTCACTAGTCCTAAAGCTCAGGGACTCTGCATTAACTGTCTTTTTCTTAGAAAGGAAAGAATCGTTGAAAACTAATTCTCCATTTCTACATACTTGAAGAATATAGGGTAACATTTCTTCACCCAGGTTATTTTTCTCCTGTTTAGTGTACAGGATTTTATTCTGTATTTCCTTTCAAGGAATCTAGGGCTTCCCACAACAAACATCTTATCTTCACAACAACCCTATGAGGAAGGCTAGACAGAGAGACTACTGGACAAAAAGCATTCCAAGTAATCTAATAAACTTCATTTTTAAATTATGTTTTTGAGTAAGCATAATGAAATTACAAAACACAGTTTATTGGAATAAAAATTATAAATATACATTTTAAAAATAAAATGGGAACACTACTTTTTTACAAACTCAAGAATAAATTGGCTGAAAAATTCAAATGTTTAGAATGAATATTTTTACAATCAACTGGATACAAAAAAAATATTCCTGTATAGTAATTCTCTTTGCAGCATCCATTAAAAGAGTATAAAATGTAATAAGTTGATATGTTCTACAACTAAAACGTATGCATTCTTAATAGATAAAAGTCAATGGAAGGACAAGTCCTAATCGTATTTTATTGTTTCATTCTTCCAAATGAATCCCTAGACTAGAGCATTATTTAAAATGTACAATATTTGTGGGAAAAAAATCTATTAATAACCACATTTTGAACTTTAGAATAAGATATTCAAACTCATTTCCAATGTCACATAGTTAGTATGTGCTAACTTAGTACCACTTTTATATTGCTTTCAGTTGATTAGGTACATGGTACATAAGATCCACAAATCTTAATACAGAATTTAGGATGTTAAACAATCAGAATCAAACATGTTAAATCAGAAATATATTGCCCCAGTAAGAAAATCAGGTAATCAAAAGCAGAATAAATTATATCACAGGTTTTACAACTTATATAAAAGAATTTAAAAGCAGAGAGGACCTGTGGAAAGCTACAAAGAACCAACATTGGATGGAACCAATAGAGGAGCTGGCACCAGAGTGTGGCAAAGCTGGGAAAAGCTAATTAAATAGACCGCATGAGATATTCTGAACAAATAGGGCTATCCGGTGGCCTATGCCCTTTGTGATTGTGATGACATGCAGACAACATATATGCACACTTGTACTTTGAGTCCTGATCAATACAAGCTTGGCCTTGTAACAGCGTGACAATGCAATTAATATTGCTAGTTTGGGGGCAAGATCTGTTTAACTTGTACTTATTTTAATCTTGTATTTTATCTTTTAAATGTTATGTCATATATTATGCCTTATTTTAATTGTGATGGTTCTGACATGAGTAAACAGTAGGGATAACTGAAAACCCAATTTAATTCCTCTTCACCTCATTTTTTAAAAAATTATGAACCATTCCAATGATTGAATGGACATTTGAAGCTAGGTTTCCCTGATTCTAGTCCATCTTTAATGTTTTCCCTTCACACTGAATTTGCTTAAGAGAAAGCTGATGCTTTTTGGCATTGCCATAATGCAAAAAACTGGATCCCAGCTATGGATATTCAGAAATTTATAGGTCACATTTGTCTCCCATTTTTTAAAAAAATCCTATGTCATGTAAAATTGTGAATCTGAGGCATCATCACTTTGTGCATTTTTGTGTTGTGTCAATATCAGAAACAATTCTATAATACTAATTTACATAAGTAAACTGATGTAATTTACAACTGTTGCTTCCAAGTAAAATTGAAATACGGTACCTATAAGGAAGTGTAACACAAATGTTCATTTCTGTCATTTTTCTGCAGTAGAGTGACTGAAACAACTTGGTTTGTGGAGATGTAATTGGATTCATTCGGGTAGACCCTATACAGCAGGGTTTCTCAACCTTGGTAGCTTGAAGATGGGTGGACTTCAACTCCCAGAATCCCCCAGCCAGCAGTGCTGACTGGGGGATTCTGGGAGTTGAAGTCCACCCATCTTTAAGTTACCAAGGTTGAGAAACGCTGCTATTCAGTATAAGTAATATGAATATTCATAAGAATCGGACTTTTATTCAGGTGGGATTCTTTACGAATGTCAGGTATGATACGCCCTTAACTACTCTCGGGGAAGATAATCGCGCGCTCCCTCTGTTCACATTTCTGATTTGGCCCCGACAGGTCTTCATTCACAACCTTTTACAACTACTTTTAAGGTATTTTTATCCGCTCTTCGGTTGTCCCACGGAACGATTTTCCCCCAGTTTCCGTTTCGGAAGGAAAGCGTTTACACGAACACCTTCCCCTTTCGTTTTCTCGCTACTTAGCCAAACTGCGAAAGCTCTGAGAGATGCCGAATGTGAAATTAGCAATCCGCTATTGGCGCGTGAGTACGCTTCGCACTATCAGTTTGTCCACCGAAAAATAATCTGTGAACAGAAATGCGATTTACTATTGCACTTTCATGGGTTATAAGCAGACGTGGGAAAAGCTACTCCCCCGATGAGTTCGCATATACCTCTCCGCGTCCTGTATGGACGCAGCAAGTGTAATTTGTAACCATGGTTTATGATTGAGTGACAATATAAATCAAGCCAATTGCGGCCCATCAGGCAATAATCGTTTTAACTTTAACACTATTTGGGTTATAAGTGCCGTTTCCCTTTTACGGACGGCTGAGACGGAAGCATTGCTCAAGTTTTATCTAATCATTTCCAACCGATGGCTTTCCAGCGGTGCTACCACTTCATCCACCGGGTCTATGCTCATGTGTCCAGAGGAGGAAAGCGGAAAGGTCGATCGTGGTAAAGGGGCGAGGTTGAAGAGGGATTCCTTGTGTCAGATTCTGTTAAAATCACAATCTGGTTTTCATTCATTCATTCATTTAATGTACATGGCGATTTCAAGGACATTAAATTCCTTGTTTTAATGTAGTAATTCATACATTACTACATGTATGGGTATGTGTATAGTGTTTAGAATAAAGTGACAAATGTAATTTATATAATTGTTTATGAAGATCAATTTTTGGTACACCTTGCATATCCATACACGTAAATGTATTTCAAAGTTAAAAGCAAAATGGGATTATTTCGTATGTAAACGTACACCGAATTGCAGATTTAATCTGAAATTAGTTTCCTTTTTTGATAGCATATACTGTATCAGATGAGTTGAGCTTTTATATTTATATAAGTTCTTTGGCCATGGTTAGGTTGTGTGTATACAGTATGCTAGACTTGGCTAAAATGGAGCCACTGTGTTTTAGTATGCTGTAGAATAACCACGTTTTTTTAATGTGTAGATCAGATTATCACTCAAATCTTAATTTATTTGGATGCAATATGTCATTTGAATATAGCAATCTTAATTTTTTAACCTGAGTTTGGGGTCACATTTGTGTCAATCACTAATTTTACTGTAGATAGTTCAAATTTAAAGTCTAATAATTTACATTTCAATTTTGAAAGTGTACAATGATATAGAACAGTCTGATGTGCTTTTAAGTTAATGTTTCATGAGTATTAATATAGAACATTTTATCTTTCAAGCAGACTAGGGCACCAACATATTCTGAAAAACTGGAGAAATATTTGGAAAAGATTGCTTCTCAATATTATTCTACATAATAATATTTTTCTTTAAACACACTTTTGAAATACCTCCCAAATGGAGTACTAGTGTTTGATAGTTTATGCAGAACAGTTTACTTTTTGTTTTGGTGTTGCCCAAAACCAAGAGATTTATCTCCTACCTATTATTTGTGAACATACTTGCTACTTATTTTCTAAAAATACAATATTTAATGTGGCCTGTGTGATAAAAGTGGTTATATTCAGTGTAAGCTGTAACACTTTTTGAACAATTAAATGTTTCTGTAGAGTAGTGACAAATTTATCTTAATTGTGTGAAATACTGTAATTAAATAACTTAAATAAGGTTATAGCTTTAATATTTTATAAATTATGGTGTGATAGTGGTTTTAGTTTAGTTTTGGCAGGCGTCTTTGATCTGCTGGCAACTATACTTGTTCTTTCCTTTAAAATACAATTATGTTTGCTTTTTAAAATCTATTTTTGCAGATTTTTCAGAAATGCAGCTTTCCCCCCCTTGCCTATGACTGTATCCATTTACCTTCTCTCAGTGTATTACCAGCTGCCTTTTGGTGGTCTCATCAACACCTAGATTGCAGATTGATTACTACCAGGTCTTTTGTACAAAGCAAAAAAGGCTTTCCCCCTTATAGGTCAAACTATGAGTGCACTCTAAAGCCCCAAGAAACTTTAATTAATGCACCAGTAGAAGAAGTAAAAGCAACAGATGTGGACCATTTGAAGATAGAAGAGGACACAAGTGCTTATGTTGACCTGGGATTCAGTCCTGCTCAGATAACACAGCTATTGAGCTTGCAGCTGGATGTACCTTTTCAGTCAAAATTGACTGCAATTTCAGAATTACTCCTATTGGGTTTAAGCATTACCACAATACTGAAGACCCTAGAAAAGAAGCCTGAACTGCTGAGAATGTCACCAAAACATTTGAAGGAACGTGCAAATCTTCTGAGGAGACTTGACTTAGATGCAGGTAATCCTCTCCCTAATCTGTGCAGTTGCTGAATTTATACACTGAATTAGTGGATTATTTAGTTCTAATTTGTTTAGATTCTGTCCACAATATATTTAGTTTTCTGTCCCTTATATTTAGGGAAGTGTTCATGTTCAGTTAATCATATACACAGTCAATTGATATTCTTCAAATTGCTACAAATTACTACATAAATTTCTGGATCAATTTCTTAATCTATACTGAGTTTCTTACATATAGGTGCCAGTTGCTTGCCAAAAGATATTAGAATATTTTACCCACCATCTTTCATTTCAGAATAACCTTTTTTCCTGCCAGAATAAATATTTGGGGGTTTGGTGGGCGTCTTCAAGGACTGAAGGGTCTAGAGTAGTGCTGTCACTCAACAAAATGGGATTATTTTGTTATATATACACATATGCATACTTCTTGGGGGAGATCCTAGAGTTGGGCTGAACAAGTGCTTTAAGCTTCTGTTATAATTAAACACCTGATTTGCTATTTTTACATACACACACATATACATGCACAAACACACACAAAAAACATTTATACTCTGTATATCAATAAGGAATTGCAAGCAATGGCCAACATGGAAATATTTCACGTTGAAATAGCCGTGGTGGCACACAATGGTTAGAATGCAGTATTGCAGGCTAATTCTGCCAACTGTCAGCAGTTCGATCCTGACCTGCCAAAGGTTGACTCAGCTTTCCATCCTTCTGAGGTTGGTAAAATGAGGACCCAATGTCAGCCTCAGTTTTGCCTGCTTCAGCTGCCATAAGAAATCGGGGGGAGGGATTAGTTATGGAGCAAAGGGTGGGAAGAAGCAGGAGGTGTTTTTTTTTCCTTGTAGGATATGTCTTCATGAGAAATGAAAGTGGATCTTCAAAAGGGGACGTCTGACCAACTGCCCTACATTCCTGATGGATGACGCTGCCAAACGTGTTGCCACCTGACCTTTGGAAGACCTTTGGATTGGCTGATGATTTATGAACACGGGGGGGGGGAGAAGCTTAGTAGATGCATTTCGCGCGTTTTGCTCACTTCCAGCTTTACCTGGGTTGCTATTCATTTCATATTCAGTAAAAGTACTAAATTCTTCAAAATGCTTGAGTTTGGGTTTTTCTTTCCTGGATACTGAAGGAAGCATACCTGACACCCAGATTGTTGGGGGCAATATGCTGACTCTGTAGACTATTAGAGAGGGCTGTAAAGCACTACAAAGTGGTATATAAGTCTAAGTGCTATTGCTGTTGCTATTTTTGCACTGAAGAGCAGTGCAAAATTAAGTACAAAACTGGGATAATGTAGTAATGTAGACTCAGAAGTACTCCAAATGCATTCTTTAGCGAGAACAATGATTAGACCTTATGTGAAACACTTAGGAAAAAATTGTATCTTTAAAATATACTAGTTTGCTCTTAATATTGCTACGGATACATGGGTCTGTCTATAGGGAAAGAATAGAGGATTTTAGTCAGCACTATCTTATCGCTTTCCTCTTATTTTAACAGGAAGTGTTAACCAGGTGGCAGTACATTTTCCAAGTATCTTTACAGTGCCACACAAGAGAATCAAATCCTTAGAGAATCTCCTTAAAGAAAAATGTCTCTTCACAATGGCACAAGTGTCAAAAATTCTACGAACAACTCCACAGCTCCTTTTAGAAGAGTTAAATGATGTAGAATACAAATTCCAGGTATTTTCAGAATAACTTTGCTGATGTCAGATTGCATGAAGTGGTATACTTTTTCATTGCTGAACTTGAGCAATTCAATAAATAAAAATATGCTTTAAGAGATTTCATATATCTCCTAGTTTCAGAATGTGACTTTAACAGTTGCATTTATCATTTCTTCAAATATTGCCTGTAACAATATCTTAGAAAATTTTGTTCCTATGCACTTTTTTTTGCTTATTAAAATCTATTATATGGATCCTGAGAAATGTCTATTGAATCTACCTTATGATATTTTTTGCTTCTAGAGTTATAATGATGAAGACTTTGGCCTCATCTCTTACCCCTGGAAAGCTTGCATTCTGATATTTTGATTTCACTTATCTTTAACTGTATTTTCCTTCTGTCGTTTTTTAAAAATGTAACCTTCCATTGTTATCCCTTTTTTGTTTTAACAATTGCTGAAAATGATATATGAGTCATAAAGTCCAGATCACAGGAAGTAATTGTCCTACTCTACTCTTCCTTGGTCAGACTTTATACTTGTGAAACCAGTTGTTCATGAAGCAGCACAATTCTTCCAATTGTAGAACTTCAAATAGAGACTTGATTCTTCTTCCTAAAACGCTTTACCACATCCTCTACTGAGAAAGTGCTTGTAACCTGTTAGTTCTCAGGCTGGTTCCAGGTCTATGATTTGCTAATTCTGTGAAGTTTTACAATAACCTCATTTCTCCTGGATGGCTTACTATGTCTACATTTTTATTTCCACGGCCAATTTTTAAAATTAAAATGGCCAAATCCCTTTTCATCTTTAGAACGTAAACACTCAAATGCCCTGGGTGTTAGTAAGCTAGTTATCTGCTTGATTTTCCTGTAAAATATGAGGCAAAATATAGGAAATACTAAGGAATAATACTAAGGAATAGTAGAAACATGCAGCAAAAGGAATTTAGTAATTTAAAAAGTCGCTCCCCTAATCTTTCACCCCTAATCTACCACAATATGGATTGGTTACTTGGAATTCAAGCCCCATTAGCACCAGCTATCATAAATAATTATAATTATAGCAGTCTCAATTCCTTCACATCCCAATTGATTCTCAGATTTAAAATAAAAGTATATTTTATGTGACAATACCCCTTAGAGCTAATTTTCTTGTACACATTTCACGCCTGAGTAAAGAATGATATTTCTTGCAGGCTGCAAGTTGTGCCCATATATATTAAGAACACAACCTTCTTGAAACTAAGACACAATTTAGTGTATTTCTGTGTTGAACTGTGACCTTGACTTACATTCTTTGTAGTAGAATGCTAGTGTTTATTCTTCCACTTAATAATCTCTGTTTTTTAGTTTGCGTATTTCAGGATGGGAATTAAACATGGAGAGATAGTGCAGTCTGGTTTCTTCCAAGCATCGCTGGCTGAAATAAACAAGCGAATAAATTTTTTGGAGCGCTTGGGACGCTATCAAACTCCTGATAAGAAAGGACAGACCCAAATTATCAATCCCAAACTGAAAAGTATTATCAGAGCTTCTGAACAGGATTTTGTGACTGAAATAGCCTGCTCCTCAATTGAAGAGTATGAGGTCTTTAAGAAGTTGCTGGCCGATGAAGAAGAGCAGAGGAGGCAACAGGAGGAAGCAATGGAAGAATTCTCAGATTCAGAGAATGATGATGGATCTGGTTCCGAATAATTTTGCAATTAAAAGTTTTGGTATCTGGTAGTAGTAGTAGTATTTCTTGCCTTTTTAAGATGGGAAGGAAGGAGCTGATGGATACTTCTGATAATAGAGAAATTAATACTTGTGAATATTTTTAAATGAGTTATTAAAAAATGAAAGGCAGGTTGGCAAATCAAACTCAAAGTATCAATTCATAAATATGGCTTTAAATCAAGTTTCTAAATGGTAGCCTTATTTGAAAAGAAATGGGTTTTTTTAAATGCAATTTTTATAGCTATCTTCAGGAATCCTTTCATTCTTAAAAAAAAAAGCAGAATGACTTTGAAATAAATTATATATTTGGTCTAAAACGGAAAAAAAAAACCACAAGGTAACTTTAATAAAATAAAACCTTTTTAGTTTATTGGTGCATTACATATGCCTTGACCGGACTACAGAGTACTGGATTGATAATGGTCCTCTTCTGCCTTAAGACAGTCTCTAGGGAAAACTGTGTGACAAACAAGGAACAAGCAATAAAGTTCTGTCATACCCTTTGTCTTCTGCAGATACTATTTTAAAACTTTACTTTGGATTTTGAAAAATGTAATATTTTGGTGCTACCCCTTCTTTGTTCTCTTTAGTCTTGGAATCTTTGATATTCTAGTTAAAAGGTGAGATGGTTCTCATAAGCCAAATATGTAGCGTAACTGCAGTGCTGATGTGGTGGTTCAAAATTCCAAGGATTTCACTTCCTTCTTCCTTTCATATAGTCTTCCTAATACACATTTTCTGCTGACCATGCTCAGTTCTCATTTAGTTATTTTTTTCCCCAGATTCTGTCACATCAGAAATAGAGGGAACAATATACCAATTCAACCTGATAATGTAAACAAATGTGCAAATATTTCTGCTGGTTACACTGACTTTAGCAGAAGACTACTGGGTTTTTAAAAGTTGTACTTATACATTTTTAATGCAATCTGTGGCCCTTTAGTGTTGTGCCATCTCCCATCAGGGAAAAGAATCACAAATGGACAGTATCACCCATTACTCACAGCACACATAAATAACTTATGTAGGAATGCGACTAAGCATCTCTTGACTTCTAGGGTTTTAAATTTTTTATTTATTTATTAATTTCTTATACCACCCACCTCCCCTACAAGATGACTCTGGGCAGCTTAAAAGTTATAAAACAAGTAAAAATTAGTTAAAATATTAAAAGAATAAAGGAACTTTGGAACCACTTTGTGCTATTTCTGCCAATAGCAAGGATTATTGTCTTTCCAATTAGAAAAATATCCCCTTTTCAATATGCTCCTCTATGCTAAATAAACAATATTTACAGCTCTTAAAGTTTGCCATGAATTATGTTGCAGGCAATGGGTGTGCCTCTTCTGCAATAAACCAATACCGGCCAGAATGGTAATTTAAAACTTTGACTCTCTAGTTGTATTGCTTTATAAAATACAATATATGTCTATTAACACAATCTTATTGTTTTAACTAGTCATATGGTTCACAAAGGCTAGGTAATAGTAAGACTTTTTGAAGGCTAGTCATCGTGTTTTGCAAAATAAACACCACTGAAGAAGGATGGAAGCCTTTTTTTCCCATCGGCATCACAATTTTGTCTTTTAAGAATATCAAAGGAAATACTTTACCTATTAAACATTAAGGTTTTCAATAAAATTCTTTATGAACGCACAGAAACCTTCATAAACAGCATTTGAAGGCCGAACAAAATCTCTTGGGTTTTTCTAAAAGACAGGTAGAGTCCTCTATTGCTGCTGCTACCAGGTTTTTTCTTATTCTAACTTCTGAAGTGTTGATAATTTGTTAGCAATAAGGAATTGAGGGCTAAACAAATTGGATAATTTTTCATTTACATTAATTTTGTCAAGGAACAAAAAAAAAACAAACGACAAGGGTTTGTATATGTGATTTTAAGTGTTTGAGGATCAATTTCTGAGGCAATAAGATTTGTTTTAGGTTATAAAGAGAACACAGGACTCAGGTTTAAGGCAGTCCATAAATCAGATTGTATATCCAAATCTCAAATGCTGTTAAAGCTTGAGTACTGTTCTGCAGGTAGCTTGCAAAAGAACTTTTACTCAATTTATATAATGAAATTAAATCCTATGATGAAAAGAAGCTGGAAATGAAAGTGAGATATAATCTTGCTGAAGAGAAGGGGCTATATAGCTCTTGAACAAAAAAGGTGGAAAGTCCTTTGTTCTAGCTGCCCCCCCCCCCCCCGGTTTAAAAAAATCAGTTGACATGATGAAGCTATTATATCCTTGGGATGATGTGAAGTTGAAGACAATCTAGATTGTTCGGTATTGCAGGTAGGGATGTAATAATTCTCCATTTCATGCCAAATATTTGTATTTCAATTGTAAATTAATAAATGGATTTGTTCTCTATTCACATTGCAATTAAAATCTGTAGCAGATCACTGTTATTCAGCATTCCTTGAGAGCAGTTCCTTGGTACTCCAAAAGCAAGTAGGATCACGGTGAGGAATTCTGTTGGTACAACAACTCTGGCACTTATCAGTAGAAGACTTAATGGAGGGAATCTTCCTCTTCCATTTAAGGATTGAGACACAACCTTAAAATGAGAAACTGTTTTCCATCAGCCATTATCAAATAAGCACTATAGGAAAGCAGAAATAAAAGCTGTAATACAATATATTAAAAAAGGTGAGGCATACTGTGGCTGAATAAACCAGGGGAAAAAGGACTTTGCAATGTAAGAGAAAATATACAAAGCATCTATTTTCAAACAGTTAAAACTGATGGATCCTTTGCAAGACTCACGTGGTTACTTTGTGAGCTGTTCCTAGCTGTCTGCACATATACATGCATTCAGCTAGAAACATCTTCCAGAGTATAATGAATAACCATGAATAATCTGGTTGCTCTAATGAATTGAAAATACATTTCTATACAGTATGTTATGAAGCATTGCTTTGGTTAGCTTTACTTAGCTCTGTAATACATGCAAATATAAATGCAATATATAATATATATAAATGTACATAAATATAAATGTTGTATATGTTCTTATAAATTTTCTTATTATGCCTGTTTTTTTGATTTTTTTTTAAAAACCCAATCATTATTAGTATGCCTTGCTAATTCCATCACATTCACAAAATATTTTGTGGCATTCAGTGAATATAGCTACAGTTTCCTTCTAATGTTTGGCAGGCTATCAATATCTTAGAGGTTCCTCAAAAAGGAGATCTAAATATTTGCTTGTCAATGATGCTTTACCCATGGTTTAAGATATGGGAAATTATAAAATGAGTCCAGACACTTCTTGTCCAAGGAACTCCGATTTATCAAGTGTCTAAATTTCCTGATTTATCTAGTGTATCAGTTAATGGAACAATCATTCCCATCCACTGCCTAATAAAGATACTTACTGTGGGTTTCAGTGCCTGTTGATTTGTTTTCTGAAATAAGAAATTTTAATATAAGACTATTTATCTTACACAGTAACGTAGGACTTATTTCTAAGAATTTCTTTATTCTGATGCTATTTAATTCCAACAGTGTTAGATGAAAGAAAGGACAAAGAAAAAACAAATAAAATATTGACTATGATATTCAGGATCTTTCATAAGTAATTCTTAGAGACTGCTTGGACAAGTCCTTGTGGTTTTCTTGACAAGATTTTTTCAGAAGTGGTTTGCCATTAACTCCTTTCTAGGGCTGAGAAAGAGTGATTGGCCCAAAGTCACCCAACTGGCTTACAATATCCAAATTGCCTGATGTCCCCCATAAATTAACATCCAGGTTGTATGATGTCCACCATTTTGTTAAAAATTATAATTGGTACTATGAGAAATTGGAGGTTAGGCATCCTTAGGATTTCTCCTGAAATGATGGCTTATAAAAACTACATTTGTTTTACCTGCTGAGTGCCTTATTTGTTCCAGTACTCTCACAACTCTCCTTATAACAAATGTCCTGGTGCACTTTGTAGACTCTCTTGTATCTGATAGGAAAACAAACATATATTAAAGAATGAATGATGGGAAATTTGACCACAAAGGGTTGTAAATTAAATCCCAGAACTTAAATCCCTTGGATTTTTTTTTTTAAACTGTGCAAGAGTAATAACCCCCCAGTGCCCTAATAAAATTCCAGGCCATTGGCAGAAAGACATTACTCACATTTCCCCCAAAGCCTCAGCAGAATCAAGCAACCTGCAGTCTCCCCAAAACCATATTGCCAATTTTTGATGGTGCAACTGGTGAAAAGTTGATACTATCTTGCTATTTTGAGGCAGAAAAATGATATTTGTAGTATAAATCTAAACTAGCCTTAATTCAGCGTAAAAGAATCTCTCCTCTCCCCCCCACCTTCTCCTTGGGCCTCCTATGGAAAAAAGTGAACAGGCAGGTTGGAATAAAAAGCAGACTGCATCAGGGATAGCAGGCTTAAATCTGAAGTTTGATATGTGAAAGAAAAAAATTGTCAAGACAATACTTACAGATAATGGCAGACACCTCCTTCCCAGACTGGAAAAGGTTTTGTTTCAGAGTACAACCGAGTACAAGACTGAGGCACTTTTTTACAAGCTGGAGGGGAAAAACATCATGTATTGAGCTCATTTCAATAAATAGAGATACATATTTGGATTTAATTTTCTTTGCGCAAATCATACAGCAGTGCCAAGGAATTAAACTGTTCTTATGTGTGTGTCTGTGGGGGAGCAAATATATCTTGAAAGAGATTTGAAGAGGGGAAAGGAAACACAAGTACATGATACAACTTGATTGTATGTTAGTGCAGTTTGCTCTTAGATAATAAAATATGCTGTGCCAAGGAGGATTGCATAGGATCACCTTGTAATTTCTGTAGCAAACAAGGCAAGAACAGTTTTTGTAAGGCAGGTGAATCTTATCTTCTCAAAAGAAAAAATCTCGTGCTTTTTACATCCTTATTTTTGTTTTAATTCTTTTTTCTTCTGTTCAATCATGTCTGGTTCTCAAAAAACTGCTTGGACAAGTCCCTGCAGTTTTCTTGGCAAAGTTTTTCAGATGTGGTTTGCCATTACCTCTTTCCTAGGGCTGAGAATGTGACTGGCCCAAGGACATCAAAGGTCTCCTGCTTTATAGTCTGATGCCTCAATTGCTGCACTAAACTGGCTCTCATAAGGTTAGAATTTTAATAAAGCTCAGCATGATAATTATGCATTATCTCAGCCATGAAAACCTCAACCTTTCCTCCCAGTTACAGTTCTGCCCACAGATACACAATTACAAATTGTGCTATGCAGACATATTTCCTATTTCTTAATAGCAATACTGAAATAGCAATTCCACTCCGTAAAGCAAGCTTGCAGCAATTCAACCTTTGCTCAATTTCTATCCATATATCTGTCTACAGTACTTAATTATATAAACTAGCAGCTACAGTATGTCTGTGGTCTCTTTTTTCTATTAAAAAAGATGGACACCTATATTTTGTAAAAATAAGAGTAATTTGAACTTATAGCAGACTGGAACGCCTGCATAATCTTCAGTGTCCTCCTTAATTCACTCTGACATACTCTAAGGTAAGATGTTTGATGTTATTATAGTTTAAATATAAGCCAGTGATGGGTTGCTACCTGTTCGCCCTGGTCAAACCAGTAGCAGTGGCAGGAGGCTCTGCCCACCCGCCCGGACGTCTCTGCGCATGCGCAGAAGCATCGCGTGCACGAACACGTGCGCCCACGAGCGAATCGGTAGCGGCCAAAATTGAAACCCACTATTGATATAAGCCCCTTCTCTAGACTATTCTTGGTGGCATAATTTCATTTCATTATAGAGAATATAAAAACCGAAAGAAAAGGGCAGAGTTGGGAAATCATTATCAGGGAAGGGACAAGACTTGTTATAAGTTTTTATGCACACCTTATTTCATCTTTTCAATAGCTACTACTACTTTCCAATCATGACCCAAACAGGTACTTCCCACATATGGTTTTTAATTTTCATTTATAAGTCAGAAATAGATTTCATGAATAAAATGTAGCTTGCAAGGTCAATATCTTCTGAACCAGAACTATATTGAAAGTGTATACACACACACACACACACACACACACACACACACACACACACACACACTCACTCACTCACTCACATATTTCTTTATGAAAATTCACCTTCCAAATACTGTTTTTTTAAGCCACGAAGTTTTTCTTTTATGCATTTGTAGCAATCATATTACAATTAGATTCCATATGTGGAATCTATATGTACACAAATCTCACTTCCTCTTCCAATAATATTTTTTTTCCAGTTCATGGCAAAAACGTAGCCATATAACAGATTGATGTGTGAACAATACTTTGTGTGGGTTAATGGCCTATATTAATGGATTTATCAGTTCCCAAAGTCTGATGAACATTACATTTATGACACAGGTGTAGGCATATGTCTTTTTGGGGCCAGAAAGAGTTTTGTCAGTATTGTTGCATATATTTCCTACAGCCCATAAATCAAGTTCTTTCCCTATTTCCCAGTGCAGATTTTTAACTCAACTTCTCCTTCCAGTTTATGGATAAATTTCTATCCAGTTTTTATCCTGTACTGCTAAACATCATTTCTAATTCTGTATGTAAGTTTTTCAGCTCTTTTAAAAAGAGGAGCAACAGTTGCATATCCAGGCAGATTCCTATTACCCCTCCTTCCTTCCTTCCTTCCTTCCTTCCTTCCTTCCTTCCTTCCTTTCTCCCTCTCTCCCTCCCTCTCTCTCTCTCCTTCTTAGTTGCATGTGGCAAAATTGTTCAGAAAAGCACACTTTTAACTCACCTAGTTCACATAATCTGCCTTTGAATCCTGGAGTACAGTCACAATTATAAGACTCTAATCCAGCAACACAGGTCCCACCATTTTTGCAGAAGTTTATGGAACAATTCTGCCTCTCACCTGGTAATGCAAAGGGAAGGGTGTAATACTCTGGCTATTTTTAAGATTCTTGATAATCCAGTACAAATCAAACATTACTTAAGGTTGGAGAGGCAAGGGGGTAATCTTGGACCATCTCTATCTCCTTTCTTCAAACATACTTTCTCTCTTGGTACTCTCAGGTTCTGACAGCTGCACTGCTAGTTTGGCCCGACTAGTTGATTCCTCCACATTTTCTTCAACTTTCGTGAGAACTTCTGGTTCTAGAAGAAGCAGGCAAGAATATATTTTAACCAGAAAGTTTGTGCTGTGTGACAGAGCAGAAAGCCAACAAGGGAGGGTGAACAGTACATACGTGTTTTCACAGAAACTGATCGACTTGGAGAGCTGCTGATTTTAGTAGTGATCCTTCCTCTGCCATCCACTAGTTCTGTAAACCTTTAAAAAACAGAAAGATTCAGACATTCCCATTTGCAAAGCTAAAATGATGTGCATCAATTTAGCACCCCATGAATCTATAATTATTTTATTCTAGTTTCATTTATTGTAATCTAGTTTCATTCTTTACCTGGCTGTTAGTGAGGGCTCCTCGGGGACAGAGTGCTCAGCAAGCACATGCAATTCTGGTAGGAAAGTTGGGGGCACTCTGTTTCTCAGCATCCGTGGATGCCCAGTTTGGCTCCAGCGTCTTTCAGAGGTTCCATCTTTCTGCACTAAATATAAGACACGATAACAAAACTGGATGAATGGAATGTAAAAATCTGGGTAACTCAAGGCCTGTCTCCTTTTCAGCAGGGTATGCCTATGCCACAGTCTTAGGAAAAAAATTCAAAGTATGCTGGTGAATGTTATTGTAATTATGATGTTGTGCAGATGGTAGAGTTAAGCCTTTCCTTTTAAGCCATTTTACCCAATAAAAATCTTCCCAGAATAGAACAGATTCAGCAAGGGAGACATTCCTCATCATAAAAATAATCTTGGACAGATATGTTAAATTTCCTTGAGGATGCAGTCACAACCAGATTTATTCTATTTCTCTCCCAATTATTATTACTATTATTATTTTTTAAAAAGATACTCAATAATTGATTTCCAACAACTATTTAATGGCATGATGTTACTTTAAATCAAAAGGATAAGCAAGACATCTAAGCCTTTCATTTGCACATCCAAGGAAACAGGATGCAAACACTGATTCTTAGGTTTTGCTAAAAAAAGTCATCACAGAGAATAGAAGTAGTTGATCGCTGAATGCATGAAGGATATAGAGAGATACAAGCTGCTGCCGCCTCTGCCTTTCTCACCCTTAATAAGGAAGGTAAACAACAGCAGTATGGAGAATAATGTGTGATCTACACTTACAGGCCGTAATGTAAAGATGGGCTGGCTCACTCATCACTTGTCCTTGATCAGTATTTTGAACAGCCATCACAGATAAGCGATACCTTTGACCTGGGTTCAGGTCACGCACGGTGTAGGAAAACAATTTTCCATTGGGGACATAGCGGCTCTTTACACTCTGGCTGGTACTGACATTGATGATGTAGCCTTCCACTGAGCCCACAAGGGGTTGTTCCCAAGTCATCTGGACAGAGGTGGCTGCAACTCTGGATGCAGTGAGGTTTCTAGGAGGCAGAGGTCCTGTTCAGAGAGAAGAAGGAAATTTGATTGGAATTTTCAGCTGTCTATCAAATAAATAATTATGAAAATGGGGGAACCCTCAACATTAGTGCTAAGCTCACTTCTCTGCTTTCTTAAATTTGCAAGCAGCTTCTTGGAATTCACTAGTTATCTGGCTCCTGTGATTGCGTTACCTTTGTGCCCTCTTGTACATTTGTATCCTCTCTCCTCCCCCAACTTTATTCCACTCATAGGAAAGAAGGCATCCCAGGTGTACTATGAAAGATTGCATTTTTTTGGTTGCTGATCTTCATAACAAGAAGTATAAAGGAGGAACAATGATCAAAGTAGCTTAAACTAGAGATGGATTTTTAATTTGAAATGAAATTATGGAGGTAACTAATATTTGGACCATCCTTCTGCATCAGCTAAACTAATGATATAATATAAAATTAAGCAGCAAATCATCCACACTGAATGGTAAGGGTACATTCCAGCTGTATATGATTGACAAGCAAGCAAGGGTGAAATGCTCCCAGTTCGGACCGGATCGCCCAATCCGGTAGCAATGGCGACAGGTGGTTCGGAGAACCAGTAGCAAAAATCCATGCCCCCCCCATGCCCAGCTGAGCCGCGTGATCATCAGAGCCTTTTTTTTTTACTTTTAAAAGCATATTTTCTACAACCTCTTCGGCCGAAAAAATGCTTTTAAAAATAAAAAAAAAGCCTCTGATTATCGTGTGGCTCAGCTGGGATCGTCAGAGGCTTTTAAAAGCATTTTTTTCTGCAACCTCTTAAGGTTGTAGAAAAAATGCTTTTAAAAGTAAAAAAAAAAAATGTTGGCCACCCCCACCCAGTCACATTATCCCCACCACCACCAAGCCCGCTCACAGAACCGGTAGTAACAAATTTTACATTTCACCACTGCAAGCAAGGTAAGTCATTCCTTCCTTTACTTTCCAGACTTTGGAGGAAGTTGCATAAAGAATAGAATTAATGATTTTCAAATTGTGGCTTCAACAGTTAGGGTTTATTTCGTTAGCAGGATTTTGAAGCTAATGACAGCTATTAAATTGCTGTTCAATTCATAAACAGTGCAAAGTTTGGTCAGATGCCCTCCTATGGTATCAGGAAGGGGGCTACAAACACTTTTACCACTGTTTTGCTCTGTTGTTTTAATTGGTTTATGAATTACAAAATGACAAAGCAAAAAGCAAGCAGAAAACGTTCAGTAAAACTCACGGGTCCAGACGTAAAAAGGAGATGTAGCAAAGCTCTCTGTGGCATGATCTTCACTACTAAGGCCACTTAAGGTCCACATATGGATAAGATACTTCTGTCCTGGTTGAAGGTCCCTTATGAAAGATTAGATACGATGAATAAATCTTAATCAGAGAGTTAGGATTTTTGAAGAAAAAAACACAGTTCCTTATTGACCACTGATGAGTCAGAAACTTAGATAAACTATCCAGTCAGATATATGCACACAACTGTTCAATAGAAGATAAATACTTGAATCAATGCCAGTTTCAATTTTCTACCACATATATGCTTCAATTGTCTTTCTAATTTGAGAAGTTTTTGTATTTAATTTAATGGAAATAAATAAAGGTGGATTCAGATAGGATAAATTTTCCCTTTCTTTTTGCCATTTGGTCTTGTTGATTTGTCTTCCCTTTCCCACCTTTATTATGGATTCAAGAGCTAATTTTAGAGCTAATTTTTTGATGAAGTGTCTTTACACTGAGGTTCCTAAACTTCATAAAAAATATCTAAGCAAGAAATACAACTGTTTAATCTCTAATCTCGGCTAGGCCTATGGAAATGATCTGGTAATGCTCCAATAAACTCAGAAGGCCTTTGAAGCAGCTGTGCCAATTTTCCAGTGGCTATTCTGAGACTTTGAGGAGTGGATCTATACGAGTGCTTTGTTCATTAAATTGTTTACCTTGGCCTAATCTTTGGTGATCTAGCAAGCCAGCTGTTTAGCTACGTTACAAAAAAACACTCTGGACTACTTTTATTTATTCACCACTACCTCCCTTCTTCCATCCCATATATCTTTTGCTTCTTGCTCACCAAAATGTGTATTTGGTCATAGTATTGTTTAATTCTACAGCATGATCCTCTACATCTTCTGGCTGCCGTATGGACAGGCGCACCTTGCTGACTGTGGCATGTTTGAGTTTATGAAGAGCCCATTGCACAGTAATGGTTGTGGAAGTCACATTGGCTATTTCAAATCCTTCTACTGGGTGAGGTCCTGTTAGGATGAGAGAAGGGAAGTGCAAGGGATTGTTACAACTCACTACAATTGACAACACACCCACTTGATCTTCCTCAAGAAGAACAGTCCTATCAGAAGCCTTTTTCTTGTTTTCTACTAAGACAAATGTTGCTCTGGGATTTTGACAGGACTTTTATAACATAATGCACCCCTCCCCACCTCCTTTGGCAGTAAACTACATGGCATCTTGCAACTGTACTGGAGAAAAAACATTTTATTCCATAGTAAAGGGTCTCCCTCAAGATGTTCTGACACACTCAATTACCAAGTATTTATTTATTTATTTTATTTATATCATCATCACCCATCTCCATTCAAACTCCCAGAGCCTCCAGGCAATGGGAAAGAACCTGAGTGCATCATCTGGTAAAGTCAAAGCAGAGGTGTACATGTAAGTATCACAAGCATACTGATACCATTCCCTGTGTCAACAGATGCTCTGACCCAGCAGCTTCATGTACATGTTAAAAAAGAGTGGGGAAAGAGTGAAGCCCTGAGACATCCCATAAAAAAAGTAAAGTGAATGGCATAGAAAGGATGCAGCCACAATTTACACCAATAACCAGGAAACAGTTTGTGGCTTGTATCCAAGACTAGCAGCAAGTTTTCCTTCTCTGCTTGGGATTTGTACATTTTTAATTTTTTAAATTCAATTCAATTCTAATTTCTAAATGTTGATTTTTAAATATTTTTTAAAATGCTTTTATATATGTACCGATAATTCTCAAGTTACAACCACTCGTTTTGTGACCATCTAAAGCTACAACAGCACTGGAAAAAGTGACTTATGAATGTTTTCCACGCTTACAACTGTGGCAGCACCCCATTGGTCACGTGATCAAAAAATCAGAAGCCAGATTCACTTAACAACCAGGTTACTAACTTAACAACTGCAGTGATTCGCTTAACAGCTGTGGCAAGAAAGGTCATAACATGGGACAAAACCCATTTAACAACTGTCTTGCTTAGCAAAGGAAATTTGGGGTTCAAAATCAAGGACTACCTATATTGTTTTTTGTTTAATTATTGTACAGTACCCAGAGTTATTTCTCATGAGATGAGAGGCTACATAAATTTAATAAAGATACTTCATGAATACACACAGTTATTCATTTACAAAGCAAGCTCGGGTTCTGCTGCTTCCAACCTGATACTTTACACTGAGGCTAGTATTCCTGACTTTCTGAGAATTATAATTTCCAAACTTCTGGAGGGGACCAATGGGGACAGATATTCTCACCAGTCAGTCATTAGCATAACAGCATAGGAAATGTAAATCCATGAACAATAGCACTATCTCTTCAGCAACTTTCTGCATAGCTAATTTAGTGCTATGTAACTCAAATGAGCAGGGAAGCCCATGGAACAAATGTACTAACAGCACATCACTTTTATATGTCTTATGCATTCATATTCTAGCATAAGTCATAATCCCACAGAAAAATAGTCTAATTTTGCTGCATCACCCATAAACATTTAGTCCCTCAAATATTTCATTGGCATAGCAATTCTATTAATCCAACTGGTTCTTATTCTGCATTTTGAAATAGCAACAGCCATAAAATAGACAAGAAAAAAATCTGTACCATTATGTCAGTGGTGGGTTGCTACTGGTTCGGTTCAGAACTTGCAAACCGGTAGTAACAGCGGCGGGAGGCTATGGATGCTATGCGCATGCGCAGAAGCACCGTGCGCGAGAGTGTGCTCCCGTTGCGAATTGGTAGCAAAGGTAAGTGGAACCCACCCCTGCATTATGGCTATAAAGCAGCCCAGATAAAACTTGAAAAAGTATTTCCTCATAAAATGTTTTAAGTAGAACATTGATACAAATTAGTGAGATCGATACGAGCTAATAAATTAGTATGAGAACAATGCAAATAAAATTTGTTTACATTAAGTGTCATTAGAGCTCAATCCAATTCCAACAGAACTGTTTGAGATTTTTAGAGAAGATAATACTGCAGAATGACATTTGTCTTCTCTTAAACTCCTTAAAACAGTTTAAGGAATATATGCATGCACTTTATTAAGTATCACATGTGCTCAGTATTAAGGTCTACCCAAGACTGAAGGCAGCATCTAATTCTTAGAAGAAGAGATCAAATCAAAAGTCTTATTTAGTTGTGAACATTATTAATGATACCATTGCAAAATAATAAGAAATATTATGGGTCATCCTTCTAGGTAGTTCTTTTCAAGACCTATAGTTCATATCCTTGAAGAAGAAATACCTTCCTCTTGTTTTCCTAGACTAAAAAAAGAATCTCAAGTTTAGCAGCATTGCCTAGGTCTAGGACATTTCATTGTCTATTGCTTCACATGTGCTCTTGCTTTATTAGGATATGATATGCTGTTTTTCAAGTGCACTTAATTTATTCTGATGTACTGAATTGCTAAAAACCAGGATAGAAGAAGGGAAGAATTGCATATTAACAGGTCATTTAATAGACTAAAAGTCATTTTGCTATATCAATTTTGCCTACCCAATTAAAAACACTTTAAACCACTTTATTGCTAACATTCTATGGAATTCTCTTTAATATTACCTGGAATTCTCTTCCCTATTCTCAGTGCTATTTATTTCAGGACTCTTCTTTGAAAAAAAATTAATCCCAAATACAAGTGTCAAATGAAAGTATGGAACAGTGAAGCACATATAAACTTTGTAAATAATTTGTCCACACATTCCATACCTTTAAGAATAATAATCAAAATTAATTTACTTTCCTTATCCAAAGAAGACTAATAAATTATCAAGCATGATAACTCAAGTTCTTTTAATGCTTTTTCTTATTAGAATTAAAGAAATCAAACTATCACAAGCTAGCAAGCAGCCGCCAATTGAATTTTTGTTGGGAGCATTTTAAGCACTGTCTGAAAATGCAATTAATCTGAACTAATTCAGCCTAAGATTACATCGCATAGAAGAAATATATATAGTAAGAATGGTAATACCCGATTATAATTTTGTAACTGCCACTGTAAATCATTTGCTGCAACTTTGACTTTTATAGGCGGTGATTATAAGGTAATACATATTTGGAGAACAAGACAAGATTAATGCAACATTTTTCCTTTTGTTCCTGTGTCATGTCTAAATGTAATTATGCTAGCTTGGTATAGAGGAAATTTCTACTATGAATCAAAGAATGGTGTCCCACTATTCTTATTGTACAGCTTTCCCCAACCAAGTGCCCTTGGTTCATGCTAGTTGTAGATTATGGAACTCTAAGGGAGAATAGCCAGGTTCTGGAAGGTTGTTACATGTTAAGGATCTTGCAAAATGCCTTGAGGATCCTTAAGCACTGCTTGCATGGCATTCTAGCTACTGCAGCCAGGCATTTCTGTACCCACAACTCTATTCCTCTAAAGGAGCTACTCACTAGTACGAGTGACGAGCATGATGGGCCTGCTGATATCATTCTTGTTATTCGATTTGCGTTTGACTGAAAAGACAGAAATATTGTAGGCTTTGCCGGAGGCTAGTGCCCGCAAATGGTGGGCAGCACGACTTCGGTCCACATAATCAGTCCAGCGGTAAGAGCCGTCGAAGGATACGTACGTCACGGCGTAGCCATCAATTATATGTTTGGCAGCCTGGTCCTTGGGTGGGCGCCAAGAGATTGACAACCCATTCTCCTCCACTTTTTCCACCTTTAATGACATTGGTGGCAGCAGCTCTTCATGGTGTCAGTGCCAACAAAAGAAGGAAAAAAATAGAACTCATTTAAATGAGTTAGTTTGGCTTTCCACTGCCTCATTTCTTTCAGACAACTTCCAGAATATGTAGCCATATTGGAGGCATCCAACAGCCATTTGTTATATTTTATGATTTAGACTGCTTCAAATTACTGCCACCTTAGGAGCCTCCCTCTCTCTCTCTTTCTCTCTCTTTCTCTCTCTCTCTCTCTCTTTCTCTCCCTCCCTCCCTCTCCCTCTCCCCCTCCCTCCCTCCCTCCGTGTGTAAATAGTCACAACAACAGTTGCAACAATGCAATCAAAGTCCCAATCAATATGTATGCCCATCAGCATCACCTGTATATAGAAAGAGATGGGTCTCTTTTTTAACACCTCCCTTCCCAGAACAGCACTGTGCCCTCCCAATGAAAAGGTTTTCCTTCCCATATTTCCTTCGCCAACATTACAATATACCTGGAAGGAAAACTGGAAAACAAAAGTCAAATAGTGGAATTCAGCTACCTCAGAAGAATCAACAAAAACATCAGGAGAAGATGTTTTTGCAATTACAGTATCTATTCTAAAACCAGTGACACTTTTCTAATGAAATTCCATCCAGCAATTGAAATTGTTGAGATGAAATTAGGAAGGAGGTTTTGTTCATCCCAAATGAAGAAAAAATGAGGAGGAAAATGTATTCAATCCATACAATTACTATTTTCTAGGATGAACATGACTAATGTAGATTCAGCTTTTTAGTTTGATTACCTTTCTCACAATTCCTGCCAGTATAGCCCACTTTGCAGGTGCAGATGTGGGATTCATTAGTTGGTAGACAGTAGCCTCTATTTCCACATGGATTGAAGAAACAGGGATCACTAACTAGGACAGAAGGACAAAGCAATTCATTGAGAACCACAGTTTTTACAGAAACTGTGAAAAGTGAAAATGTTTGTAAGGGAAGACCGAACTTCCTTAAAATGTGTACAATATATCTATTCCTTTTACTGTCTTGGAAAATTAGTAAGTACCTTTGAGTTTGCTAAATGCCCTTGCATTTCATGTTACCTTACCTGACTCACAGTGATAGCCAAAGAAGCCCTCTGGACAAACACACAGGTAAGAACCACTGTGACTTTCACAACTTCCTCGATTCCGACATGGATTTGATTTGCAGGCATCCACTTCTGGGGAGCATAAATACACTCACTCAGATATCTGTAGGAGGTGTCACATGGAATTAAGAAGATGACTCTGCTTCTGGTGGATAGCCCTTTACAAAGATGCCTGCTGTAATGTAATTTACACTCAGTACCCCATAATGATGAAGTGAAACAGAATTTTAGAAATGTCTGTAAATTTATTAAAAAGAAAAAATCCTGAAATATCACATTGGTATAATTATTCAGATCCTTCACTCAGTACTTTGTTGAAGCATCTTTGGCAGCAATTACAGCCTGGAATCTTTTTGGGTATGACACGACAAGCTTTATATACCTGGACTGGGGGATTTTCTGCCATTCTTCCTTCCTAGCATTCAAGTCAGGGCTCTGGCTGGGCCACTCTAGGACATTCACAGAGTTCTCCCTAAGCCACTCCTGTGTTGTCTTGGCTGTGTGCTTAGGATCGTTGTCATGTTGGAAAGTGAACCTTCAGCTCAGTCTGAGGTCCTGAGCACTGTGGAACATCTTTTCATTGAGGATATCCCTGTACTTTGCTCCAGTCAGCTTTCCCTCAACCCTGACCAGTCTCCTGCTGCTGAAAAACACTCCCACACCATGATGCTGCCACCACCACCATGCTCCAGTGTTGGGATGGTATTGGGCAGGTGATGAGTGGTGCCTGGTTTCCTCTAGACATAATGTTTAGAATTGAGGCCAAACAGTTCAATCTTGGTTTCATCAGACCTGAGAATCATGTTATTGCAAAGTTTTTTCTTTTTAATAAATTTACAGACATTTCTAAAATTCTGTTTTCACTTTGTCATAGGATCCTGAGTGTAGATTAATGAGAAAAAAATGAATTTCAACAACTGTAGAATCAGGCTGCAGGATAACAAAATTGTCAAAAGTGAAGAGGATCTGAATACTTTCTGAATGCACTATATACTTTCTGCTTAATAAGTATGAAATTGGTGGAGGAAATTCATGTCAGATAATGACACTATTATTTCTACCAAAACCTAAGGAAAAATACTTATGGGGCCCAAGTTTGTTTTTTAGCAACCTTTTCAGAGGTTTCAATTTCATTAAGAAATACATCACTTGAGTGACTATCCGAAATGACAATCTAACTGTCTGTAATGAATAGCCTCATGACAGGGGAGTTGTACAAAAAAATCTAAAAATAATAGGAATATATCACAGCTGGCTCAACATAGCCTAGCCACTGCAGATTATCTTCATCCTCAGTGAGATGAATAGGTGACTACTTCATGCCATCTAAAATCTCTATCAGAATGTATAAAAACTGTAAATCTCTAAGCAGCATTTTCTAAGAATTAGAGCAGTGATATGTTCTAATTTATACTGCTGTGCGCAGACCAGCTACAAGGTTTATACAACCTACAAACACCCTGCCTTCCAATGTCAGAAGGAATAACTTTTTTAAATAGCTATGATTTGTACTGTAACAGTTAAATTAACATTTATACTGAATAAAGCATATTTATGAGACAGATCAAACAACACAAAGATGTTTATCTTCCATTGTTAGTAAGAAGTAATATTGGAAGTTCTAAGAATTTTCTTAGAATTCATTCATTCATTCATTCATTCATTCATTCATTCATTTCTTTATTTACCCATTTCACACTGCGTTCCAACGAAGCCTTCAGAACAATGACAGATAAATGATCCTGGCTGGTCTTTGCAGACACCACCATTTTTGCATGGGTTAGATTGACATTCATTAATTTCTGCAGGTGTGAAAGAAAAATTAAAAATTAATTGAGTTATTCAACCCAACAGTAATGATGTGCTAGAAAACCAGCATCATTGAACAACCATGGAGTCTAAAGCGATTTGTCTTACCTCCCGTTTCAATTAAACCTTACTGTTTTACTTTTGCAAAGTTGCAGAATAACTTTCATACTTGATAGCCACAGCAGCTTCTTATAGTTTTAGAACTGCAATGAATTGTCACTAAAAACTACATAGTGCAAAAATTAACGAGATTTAACAATTATTTGTGCAAGCAAAGGGAAAGCAGGACAATATGAAGATCAACACATGCAGCAAATGATGCATTATAATTAGTACTACACTGTAGTGAATAAGGGAGGTGGCCTTGACAAAGATATGGAAGATCCTTGCCAGGACAATGAAGGATAAAAGGCCCAGAAGAGACAGAAAACATTTGGAAATGGTTCAGGCAGATATCTTTGGTGTAACTGAGGATATGCTTTAGGATAATATACATTTCTTAGAATTATATGCCAAGGAATGTGAGTACAGCCATACTTAATTGCAATTTTGCACTAGCAAACGATTGTAACAACAGAATTCCTAGGAGCCTCCAAAAAACAAAATCACAGGGTGTCATTTATAACTGGAAGAATGAATCACTCATATGGCTTGTCCTTGTGTGCCAGTAGCTATAGTACAACTATGCCTTGACAATATGAACCCCCCACTTTGCATCAAAATGTTCTCATGTTCCCAATCAATGAATGAGACAGCCTTAAGTTGCTACAAACTGTACTAGTATACAAGTATTGTTTTTCCCTTTTGATGTCCAACGGGTGATCAGAGGTTGATTTTAGAGTGTTGGGAGATGCGAGCAGATCCCCTCCTTCTGGTAGCTAGTCAGTCTTCATATAGATATTTTTCTCCTAGCATTTGCTCTTCTCCATAACCACTGTGCTTCTTGACTTCGTTTCATATCTCTCACCTTCCAGCTATGTTTGACACAAAGTTCTGCCAAGATTTCCATCAAAGTAGAGGAGAGAGGACCAGATCTTTACAATTTCATTCCAGAAAGAAGGGACATGTTACCGCTAATTTACTTTAAGAATATCCTGAAGTATAATCTGTACCATAAGATACAATAGCCATATTGTTTGTGATTACAGCCACAATTGTAACCTGGAATCTGAAAGCTTTGAACACTGTGTTTTTGTGTGGGTATCAGCAACTTTGAAACATACGTAGTCCTCATTTAGCTAAGATAATTGGGATTGGAATTTCTGTCACTAAGCAATATGGTTGTAAAATACAACATGTGACTACATGGCTTAACAATGGCAATCCTGGCAGTCCCTGCTGCCATTGTTAGGAGAGATTTGTAGGCTGTTAAGTGAGGATTTCCTGCTAGCTTACAACAAGTAAAGTCAAGTGGAAGCCGGCAAAAAGTGGCAAGTTTTGAGCAGCTTGCAAGCAGGCCAGTGGCAGCCCGGTGAAGATATGGCCGCTGCCATGAACCACAAGTATGTCTAGGCATGTGTTGGCTGCTGCGGAGTGTGGGAGAGCATGCAGGTGACTACTGTGACATGACAGGAGCATAGCTAGGCAGGAGGGTTTCACAGTGGAGTGTGATAGGGCACACAGGTGGAAGAGCATGAACAGGTGGTGGGTGCTGCAGAGTACAGGAGGGAACATAGACACAAAATCAGCTGGGTGACTCTGGTTCCAGTCCTTATCTCTCAGAAAGTAGTGAATAGCAAACTAAATCTGCAAAGAAAACCACAGAGTCTATAGCCCAGAAAGTGGTCAGCAGCCAAGACTAAGTTGAAGACACATATGCATCCCAGAAAAAAAAGTGGCACTCTCGTGGGGCATGGGATAGAAATCAAACATATCAGACTAGAGGAGCTTGTTCTGAATTGCCACTCAGTGCACAGTGCTTCAATGCATTGATTCTCATGGTTTTCCTCATTGTCTGATGATGTGTTGAAAAGGGACAGCAGCAACAGAAGAACAGGACAACCTTATCCACTACAGGAATAAACAGATGCAACAAAGGAAGCAGCTTATTTTATGTTGTACCATTATATTGACTTAAGAAAAAGTAGATATACTCGCTCACAGTAGGTAAAAGACGATAGTCACAATTCTATAAGGAGTGAACTGACTGAGCAAGAGGCAGATTTTATTTTATTTTGTTATTTAGTTTGCTAACAGAACCCGATGAAGAAGTAGATATAATCCAATACATCCAATAGTCAAGAAATGTCCTGGGATTATTTTGTAATTTGAAAAAGTACCGTGGAATGTATTGGCCATCATTTTATAACATAACTTTCTGCTTGTTTGATTAATATTCTGCTACTTTCATATTTTCTGAAATCCTCCCCTTGTAAACAATGACATTATTTCAAGCTTGCATCATTCCATTCCTGAATAAATTATTTGCAGTGCTCCCAGCACTCATTCCTCTCATTTCTTCTTAGAAGGCTGAGAATTCTATCTCAATTGCATTAATGGCTTGGGGTTTTGCCCTTATGTCTGTCAAAACAGAATTTTCATATCTGAAAGGATAATGGGAAGTTTTGCTGTTCTCCCAAGCAGGCAACAAAAAGAACAGCTATCCAATTGTGATCCAGCTGATAAAATTCCTATTTTGACACTAGGATATTTCACACTTCACGAATTTAGTTATTAAGATTATCCCCAACATCTGGAGGTCAGGTGCATAATGATTGGTGAAACTGCACTTAAATGGAATGCACTTTAATTTTCCATTTTAATCTGATCTGCTGTAGACATTTCGGAGTGTGATCTTTTTGATTTCTTTATTTACTTAGAACTCTTTTTTTATAGGAAGAGCTCTTCTCCAGAACATATGGAGAAGTAACAGGACCTTGCCTGAAGACCTCTTCCTGCCCCTGTCAAGCCTCCAGGTATTCATGCAAGAGATCTGAAAAGAATCCAAATCTGAAAGGAATTGAAGTAGTTTACAGCTAAATCGTACAACAGCAATAGCACTTAGATTTATATAATGCTTCATAGTGCTTTACAGCCTTCTTTAAGTGCTTTATGGAGTCAGCATATTGCCCCCAACAATCTGGGTCCTCATTTCACCAACCTCGGAAGGGTGGAAGGCTGAGTCAACCTTGAACCGGTGAGACTCGAACTGGCAAACTGCTGGCAGTCGGCAATCAGTAGAATTAGCTTGCAATACTGCATTCTAACCACTGCACCACCTGGTCACCTGTGGCTTGGAATTCTGGGAACTGAAGTTTGATACATCTGGTAGACAATGACTGAAAATACTGGTCAGTTGCCAAACATATATATCTACTACATTCAGGGACTCCTAGGTTCCAAAACAGGTTTGCAATTTCACAGTCCTTCTGGACTCACGGCTGTGCATCAAAAGCAAGTGGAAATTGTGCTAGAAGAGTCCAGCTTCAGCTGATGCACTCAATGCAGCCTTATCTAGTGCAGGACAACCTGACTACAGCACCTCATGTCCTTAGACTACTGCAATGCAGTAGTCTGCCTTTAAAAACCACTCAAAAACAGCAATTGGACCAGAATGTAGCGGCCTGTTGTGTTGACTCATACCCAATGTTGGGAACATATACTGTAACTCCAATACTGTCAAGTCTTATACCAATTGTGGGTTGGTTTCTGAGTATAATGTAGAAGTGCTGGTGTTGACAAGGAACTAAAGCCAAGAAATGCTTCTTTTCAGTTGTTTTGGAACGGTCTCCTATAAGAGACCAGACTGGCTTCTTCCCAGTGGTGAAATCCAAATTTTTTTACTACCGGTTCTGTGGGCGTGGCTTGGTGGGCATGGTATGCCTTGGTGGGCGTGGCTTGGTGGGCATGGCAGGGGAAGGATACTGCAAAATCTCTGTTCCCACCCCACTTTGGGGCCAGCCAGCGGTGGTATTTGCCGGTTCTCTGAACTACTCAAAATTTCTGCTATTCTCCAAACTACTCAAAATTTCCGCTACCGGTTCTCCAGAACCTGTCAGAACCTGCTGGATTTCACCCCTGCTCCTTCCCTGATGACTTTTAGGCAGAGATGAACATTTGAGCTTTTTATAGAGTGTTTCAGTTCAGTATGTCATGGAACCATATTCTATTCATTTTTTCTTCTTGTTATTGTGATTGTTATGGATGATTTATTGTGTTATGATTTTAAATGTAGATTTTAAAATGTTTACTTTGAATTGTACTGTAGATGTACAGTGCATCTTTGATTGCAGTGGGATGTGATAGACAAACTAACAAAAGTGCCTAAGAACCTTTATGCAAATTTTTATATTTATTTATTTATTCATTCATTCATTTAATTTATATAGCCATCCAAGTTAGTCCAATGACTATGGGCGGCTACCAAGTGACTCTGGGTGGCTTTGCCCAGAAAGAATCTTCCCCATTCTTTCATAGAGTTTTACCAATTTCTTACAACACAATGTTTTAGGAAAGTTTTCAGGTATGGCTATCATATATGGCTGCAAAAATTGGAAGTATACTAGATGGTAGGAAAGTGTTGGGATTTTATGAATCTCTTTGTCATGTCTTAGTGATCATTTTGACTTTGGCACCCTATATGTGGTAGACCTGCTTTTGAGATCAAAGGCTCCAAACTATTAATAGAATTGTGATCCAATGAGAAATGTACTTCACTAATAAACAGTGACATTAAACAATTTCTTAGCAAAGATATTTCCATGTTCTCTTACCCGACTCACAGTTGCTTCCTGTATAGCCAGCTTTACACAAGCAAAGGTAATGGGCAATTTGATTTTTGCACAACCCCCCATTCAGACAGGGTTGTGATCTACACTCATCGATTTCTGTAAAAGAAAGTAAAAGAAACAGGCATCACCTATCTGCAATGGAAAATCTGATGTCTAGAAAGCATCTGGAAAGAGACTGCTGCATTCTTGCTTCTTAAATTATAAGTATATAGATCCGGGGCATCATTAGTTTGAACATCAAAAATTGTGCATTTAAAAAATAACCCTCCCTCCCAATCATCAGAATTCAGGGTTGCACAATTTTGGTTTTTAAGAGAAGTAACTACACAGACAAAAAGGAGAAAACAATTGCAATATCTGCTGTTCTCCCCAAAACACATTTCATATGGGTGAGAAGAGCCATATCTGATACAAAAATCTCTAGATTCAAACCCCAACAACCCGAAGTGGAAGTAAGAGATCTATACAGAACACCAGAGAACTGCTACAACTCAGTGCAAGTAATTGTAAAAAGTTACAAATGGACCTTATACCTGTATACATAATGTCACTGTAAAAGATAGCTTCCTAAATTAGTAGATTTGAAGCATATACACTGGGGAGTGAATGCTCCATCCCTTCTTTAAGAATTACCTCCCTTTGGAATTTTATTAGTAGCTCTTTATTGTAGGGAAGAATCATTGTTGGTTATTATTATTGTTGTTATTATAATCATTGTTATAATTATATTATTGTACTACAATGATAAATATTGTTCTTATAATCATTGTTGGTTATTATGTATGCTGATAACAGTGAGCAGAAATTCCTTATGGAAATGTAGTATAATTATAATTATATTATTGTATTATAATTATAATTATTATTGTTATTATAATCATTGGTTATTATGTGTGCTGATAGCAGTGAGCAGAAACTTCTTATGGAAATGTAGTTCCTTCCTTCTTCTCTCCCCCTCTCTGCACCAATAAAACACAGGTACAATATTTAAAATACAGAAAAATCAAACCTGAAACAATAAAAAAAAAATACTGACTTCTGCAAACCATAGATATTGCTAGAAACGTGCAACCTTTATAATTTCACAGAAGGAAGACTGTAAGATCAGAAACATAACTGATGTTTCAGTTATTTACGAGACCGCCTTCTGCCACCAATAGCCTCCCACCGGCCAGTACGCTCGCACAGAGTGGGCCTCCTCAGGGTGCCGTCCGCCAGACAGTGTTGGCTGGCAACCCCCAGGGGGAGAGCCTTCTCTGTGGCGGCGCCCGCCCTCTGGAACAACCTCCCCCCAGAGATACGTACAATATCAGATCTCCGGATTTTTTGTCGGGTCCTAAAAACCTATTTATTTCAACTAGCCGGGCTGGCTTGATCCCACAGTTTTGGGTTAAATTTAATTGATTTTAAATTGGGTTTGTTTTAAACTGCGGCCAAAAATATTTAATTATTTTAAATTGTTTTTAAATTTTGTATGTTCTGTTTTTATTCTGGCTGTTCACCGCCCTGAGTCCTGTTGGAGAAGGGCAGTATACAAATTGAAACAAATAAATAAAAATAAATAAATAAATAAAATAACTAAAATTTCTGGAAATCAGGTTTATGAATGCCAAACATCATGGGTGGTACAATTGGCAGCGCAACTATACATGGCTCAAACTTTAAATCAGAATAAATACACATATGGTTATTCTACAGGAGATTAGTATATATGGTAGTGTGCCAATTTGAGCTAAAATTAAAAAAAATCCCCTATGTGGAACATGTAAGATATTATTGAGGTATATATAACATGTAAGATATTATTGAGGTATAGGAATTGTCCATGAAGAACCTGCAATTATTCCATAAGGCTGCATGATAGTAACCCTAACATTTTGTAAGTTTATAAACCTCAAATTCTTTATTTAAATTCAATTAAGACTTTATCTGGACCAAGCATGAATCAGGGAGTGAAAAGCTACAATATGTCACACCAGAGTCATTTTCTCTCTTCAGGGATGAGAAAAATCTATCCAGTAGGATGTGATGAATCAGGAACTCACTCCCCCCATGTTTCAGCCAAAATTTGAGGTGGCAAAATCTCAGGACAGCCGCAAAGAAATGCATCCAAGCTCATTTGAATGAGGGACATGAAGTATGGCTTTCAGAAACTTGGACTAAATCACTTCCAGGGTATAGGCATCTTCATAAGCATAAAGCTTGATTTATATAGAAGCAAGCCCAGAACTTCTGCTTTACATAGTTTAATGATACTTGGAGTTAAGGATATTACATCTGTAGGTGCCATTGATTACAATAAATAACAGGAGTTTCCTATTATTTGTACAGGATGATAAAGGGAATTGCTTTTTCTTCATAACAAACCCTACCTATTCAATATCTATGTCTTGTAGCCATATCAGCATTATCTTACCTCTTTTTCTTCTGTCAAGAATTATCCACACAATAATGTTCTTGAGTTCACAAGTGCTATGTTTGCTGGCCGTAATGCAGGACTGAGATCATTAGCCTTGTCAGAACCAAACTGCTCAGAATGGAAGCAGACAAACAGATGCTCTGCAAACATTCCACATTTTAAGTCTCATCAGAACTGGCCAACATGGCTCCTGGTAATTGGCTGGGGGACCTAGTCCAAAAAACTGTAGAGCACCACATTGGCCTGCTCCTGGTCCTAGATAACTGCTTGTCCTTGCAACTAGTCTCCTATATGTAGGATGTTTTCTTTTAATAGTAAACAGCAGGTACAAAATTGGGAAGATGCTTGAGAAGAAAAGTTCTTTACTAAAAATTGCATTTCCCTACCTTTAAGGAGAGAACTGACATGGAAATAATTTTCCACCCAAGGAAACCTCATATATACATCATATATTGTCATACGTGGAAATAAATCAATAAATACCAGCTTTCAAAACGCTTGCAAAATTTGAGTCCATCTTGGTGCTACTGATAAGTTAAATTAGTTTATATTCTTCCAACTATTATTAAATATGTATAATAGCATTCTCATATCTGAACTCTCCAGATGTATTAGACTTCAGTTCTCCCTAGCCAGACTAATTATTAGTCCAATGAATCTGAAGATTATTGAATTAGGGTAGTCAGAAGCAGAGCAATCTCCAAAGATCTTTTTAAAAGCATAATCGAAGATATATAGAAATCAAAGAGAGGATTAATTTCATTCAGTCATTCTTCCAAGATTAATATGTTTAATTGTTACAGAATAGTGCTGAAAAATAAAAGTCAAAAGAGAAATGGTTGTTTGAAGTTGACAGAAAAACAGTGGTCTCACTTTTTTCTCTGTTTATCACATTTCTCTGTTTATCACATATGTACACCCACATATGTATACAGTGAATTAAATTACCATTGCATTCTGGTGGGTCACTCCAGATGCCTTTTGCCAAACATAGGCGAGGGTTATTTTGGGAATTCAGAATATAACCAAGAGCACAGTGATATATTGCCAAGGAGCCCATCTTAGTGGAGTTAAATGCTAACTGCGCATGCTTCACTTCAGTGGGGATTCCGCAGTCAATCTCTAAAGTAAAAAGAGAGAGGGAGGGGAGGGAGGGGGGGTTATAGCAGAAGATAAAAAAGCAATGACTGCCATTATAGTCTTTGACTTACATAAATAAAAACTTCACAGTGATGAGCCTTTTGGGTGTAAATATAAAGGCACATTCATGCGTGAGTGCAGAGTTATTTTAGAAAAGGTATTTTATTATAGCTTGCCATCAGGCAGGCTTTCAGCTATTGGCATCCAAAAGAATGCAACCATACCTGCATGCTTATTTAAAGAATGTTACGAATGCAAGTTTTGGCATAACTTCTAATCAATATGGATACAAACTTTAGTTCCCTAGTCTCTAAGGGAAAAGAAAATTGTTTGCAAAGCTCTGGGCTGTGAATTCCAGCATGCCTTACCCTAGCTGTGCTGCCAGGTTTTAAACACTTTTTTTCCTGAAAATAAAAAAAAAAGTGTGAAGTAGAATATTCTAGAACACTGGCATTTCTATTTAAAAAAAAAAAATCCCAGTGTTTTGTTTAATAAAAATATAGGCACTGCCCTCTTTCCTGGCACAGATGAATCTCATGGTGACAATTATTATCTTTTCCAACAAGGAAACTTCTTCTCTAGGGTGTATTATGCTTTTCTAATGTTACCTGATTGGCAGTGTCTTCCTGTGTAACCTGCAGAGCATATGCAGACATAGCTGTTGCCAAAATCCTCACAAGTGGCCCCATTTTTGCATGGATGCAGGAAACAAGGAGAAGGAGCTGTAAAACAGATTCCATTCCAGCATGGTAAACTGTTCCATTCCCATCTTACAAAAGGTTCTATGCAGGACCTTAACATCAGAGATTACTAATACAATTTCACTAATGGCAGAAATTGGAGGTTAGATGGAGGCTCTGTCTGTTGAAACATTTTCTCAATGCAAGAAAAAACATAGGGCCACGTTAGACTTGCCTGGGCATTTCAGGGCATGAAATAAGGAAAGGAACGAGCTGGCTGGTGAAGAGGCATTAATATGACCTTATCCAATAATATCATATGACCATTGGAAATATCACAGATGACCAATCTGCAACCAAATATGTATCCTTTAGATAGTTCTTGTTGTTATTACATTTATATCCCCTTTTTCTCTGATGGCTCAATATGCTGTACATGGCGAGACTTTACCCTATTACAATGATACTATGAAGGGCTGGGTTAAGTCACCTAATGAGCTCCATGATCAAGTGGAGATTTGCATTTGACTCTTTTGGTCTCAGTCCAGCACCTTAAACATTAATACATCTTAGCCCTTCAAATCTGCAAATCAAAGCAGGAATTTAAAATTTCCTGGAATCTAAGCTGATATATATTTCATTAAATTAAATTGATTTTACAGTCTTGGAAGTATAAATGATTCTTTGTCACTTGGCACTTATGAGGTAGACCTAATATTGTCTTTTCACTCTTCACCTGTTTTTATTTTCTCTTCCATCATATTTGGTCTGTTCAAGCAAAAAGCTATCAAGTTATTTTCTATTAAACAGATATAAAGTGTGTAGAGTCTTGAAGTGTCAATCAAGTTCCAGTGAAAGACCACTCAGAACTTATATCCAGTTGAATTTAATGGGACATAAGACCCAAAATGTATGTACATGACTGAAAATTTCCTATGCTGCTTTCATGAAAATAATGATCATGACACTGAGGAAGAAAGATCAATAACAGAACAGAACAGGATAGAATATTAAAGTCCTTTTTGGAAAAGTGAACTTTTTTGAAATGAAATCCAGATTGTTTAAGAGATATAAAATGCAAAAGATTAAGGCTCACAGATTATCTTAAAAACATACTAAGAGGTGAACGCAGTTACATTAGCCAAGCTTCAACTTGTTTAATCTCTTGACTCTCTTCGATGCAGATGTCATTAGTTTTATAAAAGAGGCTAATTACGTACAGTAGGCAAGAGTAGTTAAACTATTTATACAAACAGCATGAAAGCTAATGAAGCCTTTGAACATAACCTTTCCCTCACTTTTTCATCTGCTTTTATTTTAATGTAACTTTCAGGGGATTAGGATATGGATGGAGACTGTATTGTGATTCAAATATGAACTCCTAGAAGCCAAAAGTAAAGGATGTTGTGAACTGTAGTTCAGCAACAACTGAACGGATGTACTCTGTCTTCTGGATTAAGAAGAGCTAAATTGTAATTCAAAGACTTATCACATTTTTCTAACAGTTACAATGAATGCCATTTTAAAATATCCTCTCTTACTGTTGATAATGAGCTGTGGTAGCGCAGTGGTTAGAGTGCAGTACTGCAGGCGATTTCTGCTGACTTCCGGATGCCTGCAATTTGGCAGTTCAAATCTCACCAGGGTCAAGCTTGACTCAGCCTTCCATCCAGTGGTGGGTTGCTACCAATTCGCCTCAGATCGGGTGAACCAGTAGCGGCAGCGGCAGGAGGCTGCACCCACCCACCCGGACGTCTCTGCAGATGCGCAGAAGCTTCTACGCATGAGCAGAAGCATCACATGTGTGCATGCACCCACAAGCAAACCGGTAGCAGCCGAAATTGAAACCCAATACTGCTTCCATCCTTCCGAGGTGGGTAAAATGAGGACCAAATTGTTGGGGCCAATATGCTGACTCGCTTAGAGAGGGCTGTAAAGCACTGTAAAGCAGTATATAATTTTAAGTGCTATTGCTTATAATAAAATAATATTGTAATTATTTTAAATACTAATGCAAAGTGGGTATTTCCTTAGCTTTATTCTTTGGGGATAGAAATACCTGCTGCTTAATGAATGAAGAACCCAACCACAAAACTCTTGGCCAGCCCAAAGGCTACACGCAAAGTCTTTGGATTCACAATTATGCTCCAATAGGCAAAGATCCCTCCTATGCCAATACCTATGTCGCAGTGTCGTCCAGTGTATCCAGGCAGGCAGTCACATTTGTACTTGCCAATATAATGGAAACAGGTGCCCCCATTATGACAAGGCCCTGAGGTACAAGGATCAGGTTTACCTATAAGAACAAAAGATTTAAGTCACAGAGTATACAATTGCAAAGCATTTTAAGGGGACAAAATGTATGTCATTGAGTACCTATCTCGCAGTGTTTCCCTGTAAAGCGGTAGGGACAGGTGCAGTGGTATTCCCCGTCTGATTCCTTACAGGTCCCTCCATTGCGGCAGGGCCCAGAGCTGCACAATTTGGGTCTTGCTGGCAAGAGAAAAGTAATAATACTTGCTATATGTCCTTTGAAAATAAACCCTACACCCCATGCAAATGGGATGAAAGGAGTAGTCTGTTCCTTGCTTGTCTAGTCCTTTCATCACATTAAACCGATTCCTAAACGTCCAACAACCAATCCACAGATACGGATTATGAATAAATTAAAGATAGAAAACCAAATACTTTACCAAAACCAATTTCTGCTATGAATAACATTCACAAATATTGCTAAGCCCAGCTTTGTTTTAAGAATGGTTTGTTGAACAAGCTGGCATTAGACAAAAAGGAGAAGGGAAAAGTCTCATAGAGCACGTGGGGAAGCTTAGTTAATAACTGTCTGCAACTTCTTAAAGGGATGGGGTCTTGTATGATTGTCTGCTGACCCCAGGAAAAGAAGTGCTTGATTTAAGGAGTTGCCAGCAGTACTCTGCATGTTCCCATGAATGTTCCAAATTATCTTCAATACAGATTGTCCACATAAAACCATATGTTTTTCCCCTTCCAAATAAACACTTCCCAGTCAATTTGAGGAATTCTGGGAGTTGAAGTCCACATATCCTAAAGTTGCCAAGGTTGAGAAAGACTAACCTGATAATTATTTCTTAGATAAGATGTTAAGACACACCACACTCCAAAATGCAATACTTTCCAAGGGCCAATGAATTGGGTTCTTTTTGATACAGACATACTAAGGCAGGATCCTATAATGAATGTTCTAACAAGAGAATACTTCTTCAATGGTCTCACCCAATTTTGGTTGGCCATAGAATGAACCATGCACTAGTTCAGTGATATGAGAGAAAAAATACCAATCCTTGCAATCAGTTTCTCACCCAATCCTGTTCTGGGTGAAAAGGTTGTCTCTCATCAAAGCAGGTTTGAGAATGTAGATTCTGTTCAACCACCTCTGTGTTGTCAAGTACCTTTCTCACAATATTTTCCAGTGAAGCCTCGGGGACAGTCACAGATGTAGGAGTCTTCATGAGCATCACAAGATCCACCGTTCAGGCAGGGCTCTGAGTCACATGGAGAGGGTGGCTCAGCTGCAAAAGCAGAGATGGCCTCACATGGGCTGATGCTAAATGAAAAACCCACCTGCCCCATGGAGATGAGCTCAATTAAATGACATGGAAAAATAGGACACATCTCTTTGAATTCAGATGCCCATGGATATTCTAGGCCAGGGGTGTCAAACTAGTGACCCATGGGCTGGATGTGTCAGGCACAGGTCATGCCCACCCCAGCTCCGCGAAGGGGAAAAACATCGCAAAATATAACGTGACGGCAATGTGACATGGCGAGTTTGACACCTGTGTTCCAGGCCATGCATCCTGGGATTGCAGACATAGGAATGACATCATCTTAAATATACACAGGGTTAAGATGGAGGTGTGTCTGGAGATTTTGCAGTACTCTAAAGAGTGATGGCTAACTCTTTTTCCTATATTGCATGGCTGAGAAAAAAAGCGCCCTATTCGCTGATGTTAATGTTCAGGAACTGATGCCAAGAAAATGTCAATTTCAAAGGAGGTTTATTTTTTGAAAGATATAGCAGGTTCTCCTTCCTACTATTCACAAATCCCAAACTTAACAGCCCACTTGATATTCTCACCAATTTTACACCATTTACAAGAGAAAGTATAATTTGCATGAGCAGCATAATCAACAATAAAGCTGGTACAAGTCACTTGCACATTATTTTCCCACACTACCATGTCACTTGCATGTTCCTTATAAATTACATTGCATTTCTCACTCCTTCATTTTTAAACCTATCCCTTAACCTTCACTAACCAGGCTCACTTTTGATTGGCATCATTACAAGAAATTCTCCTCTCTTCCCCATCATGGTTCTTATAATCAGGATTCACTCTAATCCTCTGAGACTTTTTTTACTTACTGTGATTAGTGCCATAATCTGTATGGCACACGCAAAGGTAACTGCCACCATACTCCATACAATAACCCCCATCAGGGCACTGGGTGTTCATATTGCAAGGTGTAGTAGTCACTTCTGCAACAGATCAAAAGCACATATAGGGTGATTTCTTATTACACAGCTGAGTACGCCACAGATGAGCTTTATAATAATGAGAAATGTCACCCATTAGACTCAGCAGGATCAATTATCTAGCTCAGGGAAAATTATCTACTTTACTTACAAAGCAAGGAGATATAGGACACACAAGAGAAGAAGCAAGTGCTGCATGGCATAAAAGTATCTTCCCTAGACTAACACTTCAGTTTAGTCAGATTAACAGTCACTGGCTTGATCTGTAGTCCAAAAAAACTGGAGGGTATCAGCTATAGATACAGACTCAGATCATTACTCGTGGCCAACACAAATTTGGACTGTTAGCTTGGTTCTTGGTGCTTTCAGTGATCATATGCCAGGGAGTGGCTCTGAAGTAATCAAAACATTGGTTGGGCAGTTATGTAAAAACAGTTCTGCCCATGTTCATAAATGGAAATGTCAGTCAGAAGTTTAGGCAGGACAGCTGAGGTGGGATCAATGTGAAATCATCTAAGATCACTAAACAAAGGCAAACAATAGAATTTAAATGGGCAACTAGTATGGTATCTTTCAAGCCCAGAGCAATCTTGTTTGAGTGGAGAAGTACTGAAAAGCGATAGGTCTGATCCTAATTCATCAATGAAGAAAATTAGATAACCTTGAACTAGTCAATCCATAATCAAATCCATTATGGATATATGGATAAAATAGGAGTTTGAATGTGTAGAGAAATCATGCATGCTACCTTGTATATGCCATGATAGGGAGTTAAGAATCAAAATGTAATTAATCATGAAGTTAGATAATTTCAGGCCATCCTGACTGGCGAATCTTCCAAAACCTTTCTCTTACCAAATTCACAAAGAAGCCCAAAATATCCAGGTGGGCAATGGCACACAGTGATATTTCCATCCAGGCATTTTCCTCCATTTCGACACTCGCAGTCATCTGAGAGTTCTGCAAAAATTTGAGGGAGGGAGGAAGAATGTTGAGGAGGACAAATTAGACTCATCTGAGCAAGCAAATCTGAGCCTTCATTAATCTACTTCCAGTAACGAAAGCAGGATGATGCTTTATTTCCTGTGAGGAAATATCAGAATTAGAGCTGGTTTTGTATCTTGTGAAGAACTTTTACTTCCTTTTCTTGTAACATCCATTATTTTCTTTAATTAATATCCAAGCAATGGCAAATTACAAACCAGCTGTACTCCCCATAGGAGTAATCACACTTTACCTATTAAATGCTCCCTTGTGATGGTATCTGTCCTTGGTTCAACAATTCTAATGAGCCTTATTGTTTGTTTTTTTAAAAGACAGCAGACACTGCCTATTATCTTCCTAGAAGATGGTATGAGACAGTAATTAGTGCCTGTAAGCTTAAGAGTGGGAAAAGCTTAATGAACATAAATGAGGTCAACAGGAGATACAGAGAGAGCATGAAAGAAACTAGTTCTCCAGAAACTGGAGGAAAAAATGGCCCTGGATAATAGGCATTAAAATAAGAACTAGCAACACATGATGGGAGCTGATTCTGTTCTCTGTGTAACAAGGACAGGTAGCCCTATGAAGTGCTGAAGCTCTTATTTAACATCAGCCAGAGTTTCCTTCAACTGTACCACCAACTTTAATATGGCCGTTGCTGAAAACCAGATTTCTTCCCATTTTTCAAGTTCAATCGAGTATCCCAAATTTCTCCCCCAGGCAATCATTGAGTCCTTGATGACCTCCTCTCCAATCCAGTCCATTAAGAGGAATTGATAGAGTTTGGATAATACCTTCTCATCCTTCCCCAACAAGATCTTATCAAGTTCCTGTAGAGAATTATAAATTCCTCCTTTATTTTTATCCTGAGCTGTCCTAGATTGGATCTGATTGTATGACCACCAATCTAGCTCATAGCCTAATTCCCCCAGCATATTTCAAGATTTTACTTTGCCTGAAGGATCCAACAGAGCTTGGTAGATTAGTGGTTTATTTTTGTTGTAAAGAGTCGGGTGTGTCATTGCCTCTAAAGGGGAAAGCCAAATCGGAGTCATCAGGTAAAATTTATTTCTTATTCGATCCCATATGGTCATCAAAACCTTTCGAATAAAGTGGTCCATAAAATATTTATGTTTTTTGGGCCTTTCCTGACTCAGATAATAGTGCCACCCCTGTTGCAAATTGTGGCCTTCCAAGCTAAGGATTCTCCTCCTTCTCAAGGCAATCCAGTCTCTGATCCAAGTTAAGATAGCTGCCTGATGATAAAGCTCCCATTTAGGTAGGCCAAATCCTCCCCTGGAAGGGGATTCTTGAAGCATTTTCAATTTAATCCTTGGTTTTTTATTCTGCCATACAAATCTACGTATACACTGATCTAAAGAATGAAAAAAATCTGGGGGACAACCTTAAAATTAACAATGTCAGTTTCCTATAAGGAAAATATATACAAAATGCTATATAGATGGCACCTGCCCCCGGCTAGATTATCGAAGATGTTCCCGGGGACCTCTCCGGTTTGCTGGAAATGCAACGCCGCTATGGGAACTTACTTTCATAGTTGGTGGACCTGTCCCCGAGCAAAAGAATATTGGGCTAGAATTCAAAAATGGATTTTAGAAATCATAGGATGTAGAATAGATTTGAACCCGGAAACGTTTTTACTAGGCACGTTGTTCTTTACATACAGTAGTTTATACACTGCTCAAACAACTAAAGGGAACACAAAACTACTATATGTAATGAACCAAGTATTTAATAAGGCTATTTCATTCATTCAGATCTCGGATGTCTTCTGCTTGTGTTCCCTTTATTTTTTTGAGCAGTGTAGTTAAAGAAAAATCTCAAATTCCACCACTGAAATGTTAAAATCCTGCTTACAATCTTTTACTGCAGATCTGTCCCCTGTATGAGGCTTCGCTACTAAAAATAGATGGAATTTTTTGAATCAACGTTTCTCAATCTGAGCAACTTTTAAGATTTGTGGACTTTAAGCCCCAGAATTCTCCAACCAGCATGCTGACTGGGGAATTCTGGGAATTAAAATCCACGGGTCTTAAAGTCACTTAGATTAATAAACACTGGTCTAAATGAGAACAATATACTGAACATACAAAGATCAAAGTTTCTTTTGGTTTTATGCTGTGCTCACATTTGGCTCACACTTTAATCCCCCGTTTGAAATGATGAATACCCCAAATCTCCTTATGCACCGTCACTCATGCCCTCGTCACTTCCCACCTGGACTACTGTAATGCGCTCTACATGGAGCTACCCTTGAGGAGCACCTGGAGGCTCCAACTGGTCCAGAATGCAGCCGCGCGGGTGGTTATGGGAGCGACATGGCGCTCCCATGTAACATCTCTCCTGCGCGAGCTGGACTGGCTCCTGGTGGTCTTCCGGGTGCGCTTCAAGGTATTGGTTACCACCTTTAGAGCGCTCCATGGCTTAGGACCTGGGTACCTACAAGACCGCCTTCTGCCACCGGTAGCCTCTCACCGGCCAGTATGCTCCCACAGAGAGGGGCTCCTCAGGGTGCTGTTGGTCAAACAGTGTCGACTGGCGGCCCCTAGGGGGAGAGCCTTCTTGGTGGGGGTACCTGTCCTTTGGAACGAGCTCCCCCCGGAGATACGGAGGATCCCGAATTTACGCACTTTCCGCAGTGTCCTCAAGACTTTTTTATTCCAACAAGCTGGGCTGTTGGAACTCTTTTTAATTGCTTAATTTTAATTTGCTTTTAAAAATGGGGTGTTTTAATTAGTATGGGCCAAATTTGTTTAATATGTTTTAAATTGTTTTTAAACTTTATATTGTATGTGTTTTATCTTTGGCTGTTCAGCGCCCTGAGTCCTTTGGGAGAAGGGCGGTATATAAATCCAAATAAACCAAACCAAACCAAACCAAATCTGCAAGTCTTTTGAAATAGATTTGACATCAGAAAAACATGATAAACCTCTTTATTTTGAAAATTCTGAGAGCAGAGTTCAAGCAAGGAGGTATGATGGCCATGACACACACTTAAAATAGTAGCTACTACACCATACAGCTGACTCTGAAGTCATGTAGGTATCTTCCATGTCATCAGTACCACCACGTGCAAATGGAGACATCAATCCCATTATTAGTTTGCTAACTACTAAGGAAAACATTTTCCTTTGCAAATTCCTGATAGGATCTTATTATTATTGATAAATCTAAAACAACTGGGAACTTAATGTGGTTGGAGAAAGTATTAATAGTAATTTTTCCAGAGCTAGAACCTGCATAGATACAATCACTTTCAAAAAGAAAACAAACGAAAAACAATTTGTTTTCCTCAAACTACCCACCCAGACTGCAGACTGCAGTGTTCCACTGCTAATTTGGAAATAAATGTATACAGGCATGAAACTCAAGGAGAGCACAAACATTTTGTTTAGTGTGTTTGACTCCAATACTTACTATCTCTGCAGTCAGTGCCTGCATAGCCTTCTGCACATTCACAAACATAACCTTGACTGCTTTCAAGACATGTGCCCTCATTCTGGCATGGATTGGAGCTGCAGGCATTAGACATTCTAGGGCCACCTAAAAAACATCAGTAAAGGACTCATGAACACATATAAAGAGAGATACATTTCTGTAGCACAAAAAAGAATATTAGAACATCTTCTCAGTATCAAATATAGAAGCTGGTCTTTATAAAGCCCTACATGACATCTGGCCTGATTACTTTTGGGACCACCTATCTCTCATAGTATCCATCCAACCAATCCCATCTCGCAGGGTTGATGTGCTTAATCTTCTTTTGATTAAACAATTCCATCTATCTAAACAATACAATACATAGTTGTATTTTGTGAGATTGATGGCTATATAAATAAAATAAATAAATTTGATAAATAAATAAAAGTGCTCTGCTTTAGCACCTGGCTCCTTGCTGGTATTTTGTACAGTCTTGAAGACATTGCTCTTCATCTTGGCTTTTGGCAAGAGTGATTGTGGGTTTGCTTGGTTGTTTCCTGGTTTCTGCCATATTTTCTTCTTTGTTTTTATTACTGTATTATTTTATTGTTCTGTATATATTTATCTGGGAACCACTCAGTTGGATTGTATAAAAATTTCTTTATTTAATTAAATACACCTCCTACAGGGAGGGCACATGAGAAGTAAACACAGATGACTTTAAACAATCTAGCATCCCCAAAATGTAGGCTCTCAAGTTAAGAGGCAGTTCCTGTATGTCCAGTTTTACATATCAACACTTCTTTACCACCGCATAGATATTAGGAGGACCTACATGAAGTGCAAAAAATCTGGCCACTTGTGGGCTTTGCTTTACTAAGGATAAGATAATGGATGGAAAGTTCTGCGCAAGAGACTGATTCTACTTTCTTAACAAAGGCTACCTTAAATAATTCGGCTACAAGGCTAAAAATATCTGAAATTAATCTAGTTTGATACCAAGAATTTTCTTTTCACAAAGCTAATCAACAGAATACAGATAAGTCCTTGACATATAACCACAATTGTGACTACGGTACAAAGTTCATTAATTAAGCAGCACGGTTGTTGAGGCATCACATGACTGCACCCAATTTTAAGACATGATGGTTAAGTGAATCACCATGATTGTTAAGCAAGACACCATGTAATTGTGATTTGTGATCTTCCCTGCCAGCTTTCCTATTGATTTTGTTTGTTGGAAACCAGATGGGAAGTTCCAATGATGTGACTACAAGGTGCTGCAACTACTGTACTGTAAATGTGAGCTAGTTGCCAATCATTAAAGCATAATCACACAATCATGTGGATGGTGCAATTATTGTAACTTTGAGGATTGTTTTTTCAGTGCTGTCATAACTTTGAACCATTGTTAAAGAAGTGGTTGTTAAGTTGAGAACTACCTGTAACTCCTAAATGGATTTTGAGATGTGATCTGTGAATCAATTTCCACAATGATTTTTAAATAATTGCTCTATTATTACAGACTTTCTTTGGACTCTGCTACCTTTTTTAGTTGTGGTTCGCTGGGAAAAACATAAGACCTTTTCAGGTTCATAATATTAATATTATTAAAGATTACTTTTTACAACAATAAAACTAATAAAAAGAATATAATAAAAAGAAAAAATAAGACACAGATAAAAAAATAGAGAATATAGAAATATAGAAAAGAAATATAAGAATAAAGAAAAAATAAATATATAAAGAAGTGACTTCCCCTTTCATCACAAGAGTAAACAATTTTAGTAACTTACTATCGTCTCTTAAAATACAACAGATGATCTCTTTTCCACATATCCCATCTTTATTAAAAAAAATACATTAAAAAGTCATCATTTCAGTCCTGATGTCAGCAAATATCCATTAAGGCTTACCAGAGATAACATTTTAACCTTGATCAAATAAATCAATGTTATATTCCTTCCTTTTATATTTAACCATCTTCTTTAATCCCTTCAAAATGCCCTAGAACTTTTTTCATTTTTTGTCCCTCCTTACAAAATTCTTTAAAGCTTTAACTTTAAAGTTAAACGCTTTTGTAAATACTATATACTGTAAATGGATTTATCTAGATTACTCTCTTGATTTGTTATTTATATAACCCTTTTCATTATTATGACATCAGCTGATTTCTTTTGCAACATTTTTCTATGTCATTCTTATAGCATATCATTTTTAAATTCCCTTTTAAATCAGGGATCATGTCAGGTAATACTTGTTCCTCTTCTATAGCATCTTTTCAACATAGTCTATCTACAGAGGCAGACACTCTTAAAATTAACTTCTGAGTCCTTTCTTCAAAAATAATCTTCAATATGCCCAGTGTTAAAATAGTTTGCTTCATTCAGTTTTAGTAAGTGTAAATGTTCTTCTCCTTTAATTGTAATCCTTTGTTCCTTCTGGTTCCTCTAGTGTCCAATTTTTAAACTATTATCTTATTATTTCTTTTAGGAACAAAAGCATTTTTCCATGGCAAGAATTTTTGATAATTAATTCCAAAATCTTAATTTAAATTTATCTGGATCCTTAGTCCATTTGTAACTTTCTAAAACAAAAGTTCTAATTACCTTTTTATATTTATTTTAGAAAAAAAATCTAAATCCTTAAACATGTATTTAAATTTTCTTTTGGCAAAGATTGAAGGAAACTCATCTGGTGTTTTCAGACTTGTCAATCCAAAAGTACAGAATAGCTGAAAAATAATTAATTGCCTATTTCTGAAAGTGATTAGAAAAGGAAATATGTGAACTCAGTGTCCCTTTAAAGACTGAATATGGTTTGAGAAAGATGGCTATTTCATCATCTCCCAGATTTTGAAATCTGTCAGAGACTGCTGTCTTGGGGTTTCCTCATGTGCAGCAACTATCTGGAACACTTGTGGACAATTCTCGCCCTCTTTATGTTTGCAGAGGAATTGTGAAGAACCGGTCTCCTTGCCAGCTCTTTATTCTGCCAGCTTTTCAGTTCCGCTTTCTGCAGCGCTGACTTCAGTTTGCCGTTTCTTCCCCAGAAGTGACCTTTTCAGTTGTCATCCCCAGATCATAGAATTTAGCTACTCATTATGGTTTAATTGTTCTGTTTTAAATATTTTACCCTTTATATATTCTATTGATTGATGGTGTTTTAATGGTTTTGTACCTAAATATTCTCTGGTGTAATGTTAATTAGAATTATATTTAAGAACTAAAATAAAAAAGTTAGAGTCTGGATGCCAGCGTTCTTTCCATCAGGAAAAATGGTAAGGTATACTAGTAGCTCTGTACCATCAGGAGAATGACAGATATCCTTTCTTTTTATAAAGGTTTTTTTTTTTAAAAAATGATTAGGTAACACATGCCTTATTACGCAAGTTCAAAGTGGGCCATGAAATCAGGATTAAAGTGCAGTAAGCATACATAGGGAGACTCCTTCCCAAAACCCCCCTTTATACAGTAAAGTGCCACTGAGCTCTTAAAATACTCACCTTGTATTGGTATCACTTAAGACTACTTCAAAGCTTCATTAAAAACTAGGAGCTTGGGGTAAGAGCAATGAATTCTTTTATGCAAGGTTTAAGTAAAGTGTGTCAAGTTTCGAGGTTGTCTCAAATAAATTGCATTTCAAACAAAGTCTTTGAAGAAAAACTCCTATTTATTAAGCACGACATTCTAACCCGACTCCAATCGAAGCCAACACTGACTTCCAGCCCCAAAACCCTCCCTTTCCGTTCCCCACTCCCCTGCACTCATTGGCCATCTTCCAAGTCATTCTACCCCTAATCTACTCCAGCTCAAAAGAATTTCCTCCCTCCCATCTCATCTCCTAGGGGATATTATCTCCAGGGAAAATAAGTAGGTGAAAAGTCAAACGTCCCTTTCCAGACGCCTTCGCTTCTCCTTCTTATGTCAGCACTAGAGTAAATGCAGGTTGAAGTGCTGACAAAGTGACTAGTTCACTCTAAGCATGGATCCAAGCAAGTACGTCTGGAGCGTGATTACTTATGCTGAGAGTCACTTAACCCCAGCCGAACTGACCCTCTGGTCAAAACAAGCTCCCCGTCCTTGAGCTGTAACTGTTTAATGAATAAGCAGTAGTTGGATGAGGAAACACAATTTCCAAAAGTAAACTAAAGAAAAAGCTGAACAATTTGAATGTCAAACATAACCAGTCGCTGGATTAAAAAAAATACTGGAGAGCATTCTACGTGAGGAGGATGTATAGAGGCAGTGTTGAACTACACATTTTTCCCTTTAGAGAAAACAGACAAATATACTCACCATATTGGCAATTGTTCCCATAGTAGCCTGGTGAGCATGTGCAGACATAGCGCCCTGGGCGAATATAGTTGCACATCTGCCGATTCCTGCAATTTCTGCCCTCACAGGTTGAAGGATCTAGAATGAAGAGGAGGGAGCCTCAGTATAGATCAATGAAGCTGAATAATTGAAGATAACACATACAAGGATGGCTCTAAGCCGAGGGCCTGAAAGTAGCAAAGAAAGAGAAAGAACAATAAAGACTAGCTTTGTAGGAAGAAGGATGCCATCATGCAGTTATAAAATCAGGCACCTATTTCACAATGCTGTCCAGTAAAAGGTGTTGCACAGGAACAAGTATAGTTGTTAACAAGATCCATACATTGCCCACCATTCAGACACGGGCTGGACTCACATTCATTTATTTCTGCAGAGAAAAGAAAGAGAACAAAAATATGAAGTCTGAAATGAAGTTATCGTGTTCATTTTGTATAAAACTATACTGCTCAAGCACTACAAGATCTGTTATTCATAAACAAGGAATTAACTGATTAAATAAACAGAAGTACTTATTAACATAGAACAGAAACAAACAATGCAATTGCTATCAGATGAGCTGGAGATTAAATGGTGATTACATTAAATACATATGCTTATTTTTGGCTCACCTATTTCACAGTCTTCTCCAGTATAACCTGGCTGACAAAGGCAGACAGCTGTTGTGTTTGTTATTTGGCACTCCCCACCATTTTGGCATTCTTTGGTTTTACATGGAGACTCCTCTATTATATTTCAACAACAACAAAAGAAAAATTAAATTATGATGTTAAGGTATTTTTTTCATTGGCAAAACCATACAAGCTATAGAATCTCTCAGCTTCTGAATATGCACACAACCCAGCTATTGAAATTAGCATTGTTTCTTGTTTAATGGAAGATAAATAAATTGTAATGAAAATTATATGGAAGGGAAATATGGGAAGTTTCATGGTAGCCATACCTATCTATCTTATCTGGGGCACATGCTTCCATTTCATCTCTTTGGTCATCCTAGCTGGGCATTCTGAGAAGTGCAATCCAACACCTCTGGAGATACCCTGTCAGTAAAGCACATTCTTTCCTAAAATTAAAGTAATTGCCACAAAGAAGTTCTGCTATGACTTTGTCTTTGTTATGTGTCTAATTAATCTGCTTTCTGCTCAAGCAAAAATTCAGGGCAGCTAAAAAATTAAAGAACAAAAAATTGAATGCTAAATACTATTAATAGTAAAGTCATAATCACATTTTCTCCTTAGATTTGTTATTGGATTGTGTCTTTGCTCTTACACAATATTTCTCACCAATTTCACATGTAGCTCCTTTAAATCCTGGTGCACACCAACAGCTGAAGCTGTTGATGCCACTGATACAAGATGCTTTATTATGACATGGATTGGACGCACACTCATCCACATCTGGAAGAGAAAATGAGAGGTGCTATGGATTAGGATTTACTCAGATACTCAATTCCTCTTTCCCCAGGGAGAAAAAATAATAATATATAGATCTATAAATTTAGATTATCTAAAATAAAACAAGTAGCTGTATAAGGTCTAATTTGTGGCTGAAATAGTATACGGTAGTTGCTCCATACAATTGTGCACAGCAGAGAAGCAGGACTCACCAATTTGGCATTGTTTTCCAGTGAAACCAGCGAGACAAGAACAAGTGTATGAAGGGTTCCCTGTGATGCAGTCCTCAATACATTTTCCTCCATTCAAGCAAGGACGAAGTGTCAAACACACTGAAGCTGCATGAAGAAATAAACCCGCTATTCAATAGCTAGAAGCATGCTCAGAGAGATGTTAGACGATGTGGCAACAGAAGTATTAGACTAATCCAACTTCCTTTGTTCTTGTAGATCAGGGCTGTCAAACTCCCAGCCCATGAGCTGGATAGGTCATGCGCTGGTCAAGCTCATGCCTGGTTTAGTGAAGGGGAAAAAAGTCCCGATACATCACGTGACACTGCCGTGACGACGTGAATTTGACACCCCTGTTGTAGATGATTCTCTATATTGAATTTAGATCACCAATGTGCAGAAGTATCACACCACACAATGTAATGTACTTCATCCACATTTAAATTGGTTTGAAATTTACAATAAATAAACCTATTATTTAAAAAATTAGTTTAAATACAGAAAGTTGGTTTTCCTTGCTTCAGTTGTCCATGCCAGTACTTTTATTGATCTACCTAAGAGTTTTACAATCTTTTTGAAAATCTAGATAATGACATTAATATCTCGATAGATCAATATTCAGCTTTTTATTAAATGAACTTTTAGTAATCTTTATTAAATCATTTTTACAGAAAAATATTTTTGATCAATTCTATCATCTTCATGGCATCCCTTTGCCTTTTGCTATATTGTAATACTTTTATGACAACCTCAAGAGTTAAGAACTACTTCAATACCAATCCATTTCCCATTGTTAAAGAATTTTGGCAAGAATTATGTGTTCAAGGAAATAAAAAAGAGGCAGAGAAAATCAGCTACTAAATCTCTAGAATTGTTACATTTGGCAATCAGGGAGTGGGAGAAGAAAGAAGGTACAATAGGTTAGATAGCTCCAGAGATGCATATCTTGAAGATGAACAGATAAATTTAAATTAAGAATGAAGAGTTAGAAGAGAAATCATTTAACTCTTAGAGGCCAAAGATTGGGAAAATCTGAATACATGTTTTTATCTAGAAACCATGCAGACCCTGCAAAATTGATGGTCACAGATTGTGGGAGGTTTCAATTTTTGAACAAACCCTCAGCATTATAGGAGAATAATATCTGGCATGATGGGTAGCTTTTACTGATGGTTTTAGTCAATCCCTGGGGGAGGTTTAATTTCACTTCCCATATGGATTTGCAAACATATCTAGTAGTGACCTCAGAGCTCCACAAATTAAACATTTTGCAACTAAACCTGGGATAGAATCTAATGTATTCATTTGGATAATACTCAGGGATTGCAACTTCCAGAATTCCAGCTATTAAGCTTGCAGAATAATCTGGGAACTGCAGTTTTATCAGATTCAGGACATCAGATTGGAGAAAACTGGCATACATCTGGGACCAAGTCCTATCAAACATGACTGAATTAATTTAAGAAAACATTATGGATCTATGCTTGCAATTATGCTTGGATTTATGATTGTATAGAATTAATTTACAGTTTAAGAGTCTTTAGACTTTTTCTAAACCAACAGCTTTGACATGTAAGAAGAACTAATGAGAAGACTTGAGTTCTAAATACCATGAACCTCAACAGGTAATTGGTGCCCAACAGGAGAGGAAAGCACCATAGATGCCACTTTTAGTTCATGGTTGAGATGAATGCCATGATACGAAGTGTAACAAGCAGAGTATTAACTAAGAAGAAACTAGCTTTCCCTCATCTTCCAAAAAATTCAGTGTTAAAATTAGGGAATCTAAGATTTATTTGAGAATATAGTAAAGATAGTAAGCATGGATGAATTTGTTCTCTCACTTTTGTTGGGGAAGATGGGATCATCTTAATTTCAGGATCATCATCCTTTCATATAAAGACCTGCTTTTCTCAGAGGTATTCTGTTTATGTCTTATTTCTACTTATTTCATTCTCAAGAAATAATTAAGTAGCTCTTAATCAGCCAGAAGAGATCTACAGCCACCAAGGGATTCAGTCTGAGTAGCACAGTCATATCCCCCAAATTTATAACTTGCATAGTTTCAGCATCAGTACATCCCATGTCTTGCTAACCATATTTATTATACTGTATTAATGTAACAATTCAGTAAAGTATTCAGAAGTTTATGTGCCACTCACAACTGCTCCTATTGCATGGCTGCCGCCCTTCATAGAACTTTCACAGGGACAAAGAGAAGGGCTGGAAGAATTGGTTTCATTAAATAAACCTAACTGCTGTCCTCTTACTTGTGTTGTTGCAGCCCCCCACTTGCACCTGGGCATCATCGATTCTGAATACCCAGCGCCCGGGGATACCCACATTTGTCGTCATCTCCACGTCGACAATGTCATCAGTGCGGGATCCGGGGATGTTAAAATACCGTTTTCCATCACCGGCATTGAAACCTGCCTAGAAGACAAGGGCAGAGACTGAAACCTCTTGCTGGGGAAAGCAGGGCAGCTGTAGGGAAATGCAAGGGACTTCTCTCTTCCACCATGCCCAGTGCCCTGCAGAGGAATGGACTGCAAGAACATAAGGAAGGGAAGCATCCGATTTCCCTGAATGTTGTTTTGTGTTTCTGCTTCCCATCTAAATAGCCACTATTTTGCATAAGAGGCACTAGCAATCTCACATTACAACTCCTCTGATCCCTTAGTGGAGATAATAGTTTGCTCTTCTAGAAGTTTTCCTTTGACAAATTCCTTACAAGGAGAAGTCCTGTAGTTCAGTGAAAAATCATATGCTTTGTATATATGGCACATTCTCTGACTCCACAGACTGAGCTGGGAAGGGCTCTGGTCTGGAATCTTGAAGTGCCATTACTACTGTTAACAGAACTCAGCAAAAGGGACCAATGAGCTCATTTGATATATGGCAGCTTTACTTGTTCCTAGATTATCTTCACTTTCTGAACTTCTTAAACATTCAATTCCCAGGGCATTCAATTCTGATGAAATATGTTGCCTGAACTTAGAGGTTCTTGATCTTGTCAACGCCTAAATGGGAGACCCCATGGAAACCCAGCATATGTCAAGTTGATTCCACAGGGGAAAAAGGGGATATGAGTGTAATAAATGTAGCCAGAATGTAGCTGTTTGAGTTTTCTTGTAAGCCAGGGGTCAGGACTCCTGGATAAGAACTCTTGACTAAGCAGTCATACAGTCCATAAATGACTAAAACTGGTTCACAATTAGCAAACATTGTTGTGGGCCACCAACATTTGGAGGTTTACTTGCAAGTTTATGTTGAGGCAAGCATTTTTTCTCTAGGACAATTTATTTGGACCCTGGTTCCAGCTGCTTCAGGACAGACCAGTAGAAAATAAGCAGCGTATATAGCTAGAAGCCATCTCCTACTGTTTTGAATGTCATCTGTGATTAAAGACTTTGGCTAAAACACATGATAACTGTCATCATTAAAAGGAAAAAAAGGAGGTGGGAGGGGAAGAGGGAGTTCAGATGGTCTACTTGTGCAACTCTTTTCCCAAATGGCTTTTGGCACCAAAAGGCCCCAGCAATCCCCACTCATCCATGACTCACTAGCTGGAAAGTGCACAAAACACTGAGCTTATTTTCATCCCCATTCATCTATAAAGGGTGAATCCAAGAGAATCTTGGACTCTCTTGCTGCTTTCCACAAAATGAGCACAGCTCTGTTAGCTCAAGCCAAGCAGCAGCCTCTGCCATGCTGAGATCGAGGTCCTTCTGCCGAGCCACTCTATCGTGTTGCAAATTACAGCAGCAAATTCTCACAAATTTGGTCAGAAGCCAGTGCCTGGTGAAAAACTTTTCAACTTCCTCTCTCTCCCCCTTTGGCTGAGCTAGGGCAGGGTGTTCCTAAAGCACTGTACAGTATCCAAAGCATGTGGTTACTGCTCTGTTTACAGTCATAAAAGTCTACACTCCTGAATTTCTGGGGCTGAAAATGGATTAATTTCCTATACACCTGCAACTTCCTGCTTACTGGAGATAACTCAGATGACTGCCAGCAGCTGGCCAAGCATAGATCAATTAATGGTAAATCCACACCTCCGAACAGCCACCGACTAAAAGAAAGAAAAAAAAACATATAGGATGAAATATAAATGCCAAAAGAAAGTTGTACTTGCTGCAGCCATTGCTGGATGACTCTTTTTAAAAAGTTGATGGCTAATGAAGGGAAGGAACTCAGAAGCACTGGCCAAAATAAAGAGCTGCAGTTTCCTTCACTAAAGGTCCTAGGTAGTTTTAGCTCTGAAGGGAAGGGAAAAATAAGTATTATTTAAGTTGAGGCTAAGGATTAGCTTGGGCATGATAACCATTTCAAGACAACCAACATCATCCTCAGCCATCTCCAAGAATGTATGCCGTGTATTAGAAAGGAGACTTGCTTGAATGTGATCATGTAATCTACCTGGGCTGCTATCCCTCCCAGGCCTGCTAAATTTCCTCCACTGCTGGCATGCATGCCAGTGGTCCAGGTTATTGATTCATAGTTGAAGATAGTGAAGGAAAGCAGGCCATCAGTGATGAGGACTATCTGGAAAGTATTTACCTGCAAGAAAAAAAAACACAGAGAGGGTATTAAGGCAATAGGCAATGTGCAGAAAGTTCCAACATTGATTAATACTGAAGTAAAACCTTCTCAAGGCGGTCTCAAACAATACTTCTTGAGCTTTTTTGAGTCCTGAAGAGCTGCTTGGGCTGCAAGAGAGGCAGAGTCCTCTAGGAGAAGATTCATGACAAGAATAGCAACAGCACTTATATACCGATTCATAGTGCTTTACAGCCCTCTCTAAGCGATTTTGCAGTCAGCATATTACCCCCAACAATCTGGGTCCTCATTTTATGGACCTCGGAAGGATGGAATGTTGAGCCAACCAACCTTTGAATGGTTAACTTTTTATTGTTTTGCTATATTGTGTGCCCTAATTCCTATCTTTTTAAATAGTTTTAATTTGTATTTTTTCTCTTTCCTTTATCAATGGAATGAGTATTGTATTTTATTCTCTGATCTCTCATACTATAGGAAAGATAGAATGCAGATGTCTGAAATGAAGGAAGATGATTCTCAATCATCCAGGTCATGATTGTCCCAAAAGTGCTTTTGCAAAAAGCAACCGGACTTCTAACTAACTTAGTTTTTCCTTAATAATGTTTTGCTTTTTGTCCCAGAAGCTTCTTCTGGGATGAGAAGCAAAATGTTTTCAAAGAAAAAAAACAAGAAAGCCTTTTGGAAAAGCACCTTTGGGTCTGAAATGAAGATTACTCTGCTGATAAATCCATAATTTACTACAGTTTCTGTTCTGCCCAAGCTTAATCACAATGGGGCAGGGAGGAAACGCTTTTATTCTTATTACCCATCAGTCAATATTCTGGTCCTGATACTTACTGGAGAAAACAAGTTTCCTCCAAAGAAGGTAACCTTGTTCCAAGTTGCTATGAATATCCACTGGGCAGAGAACTCTGGGAATTCTGGGAAATACTTTGCGATATCCTTAGTGGCTCTCTCCAAAATAGCTTGGTCTGTGGTTTCCCGGTAATACACTTGTCCTGAACGCCGGTTATCAACATCAGCCCAGAATGCGGCAACAACACGTCGGTCATTGGAAATGGGGAAAGCCACAGGGGTGAACTGAGATACCTCTTTCAAGAAGGAGATGATTCCATTGTTGTTTACCTAGGCATAAAAAAAAGCTAGATGTGGTGAAAAAATAAAATACATTTAGCTATGAGAGACTGGGAATAAAGCAAACTCCCTCGCCTTACTTGACCTTCCACCAGAAAGACAGCAGAAACCACATAACAAACCATATAACAAAAATACGCCGCAATATAAGTCTCAGTGCTTGTTATAGAAACCATATCTTGAAATTAAATATCTGTTCTTCTTGCCATACAAGTATGCCATTCTCCCAACTTTTAAACCAAAAGAAAAAGTATACCCACAAATAGCCAGAGATCTGCTTCTGCCTTCAGCTATTCCTCTAACCACACTCTTTGCTTGCCTCCTGCATAATAGGGTTGGGAAGCCATCGCCCAAGGATCTAAGAAGGCAGGCAGAACAAACCATACCCTGTTCTCTTACCGGAGATGGGCCAAAGGAAGGAGGAACAGCTGAGAAAACTGCAGCAGCCACAGTGATCTAAACAAACAAGGTGAAGTTCATTTGGGCCAGTCTCACCTTCAAATGCACTCAAACTTTGCATTTCCTCCCATGATTTAAAGAGGCAGAAAAGTATATTTTGAAGGTGCTCTAGGACAAACAGCATTTTTGAAGACAGGTGAGGCTCTTCTGTCAAAGCAGCATTTGCTGTGGTGAACTAAAAGTAGACCCATGAAATCAAAAGGCAAACCACATCTCCCATGTAGAAGCAAATACTTTATGGCCAGAGATGATTTGTTCTGACACACTATTTTATTTCTTACTGTTCTATACCGTTTCATCCCTTTGATACATGTTATTAACCAGATTTGTAGCAAAAGCAATTTCAGAAAAGAGAAAGAAGTATGAGTTATATTATGGCATTCTACTAATATCACAAATATGATATTTATGTAAAGGAATTGAAATCTCTCATTCAGAAAAAAAATCAAATCATAAAACTTCAGTGGAAGATACAGTAATGAAGTGGATTGTAACCTGTCTTATGCCATTGTAAAAAGTCCGCCAGATGCTATCTGTTTCATTGAAAACACTCCTTACATGTACAGAAACAGCTTCATAGGGAAAATACTGAAATGCTATCTTACTTCCACACTTAAGTCTTCAGTCAGGCAGAGAGTTGCTGATATAAAGTAGTATTCAGGTTTATAGAAGTTGAGTGGTACACTATGTTATTTTCAATGTTCATAGCCTGGATCAAATTACATGGATTTTGCTCATGTCTCAATTCTCTGACTACCATAATTGGATTTTTCCAACACAAATGAAGTTTCCTGTTCTTTATCCTTCCTTGCTATATAACTTCCTACATGAAGTAGGGCAGAAACAATATTTTCCCACCACCTAAGAACCTCATGGCTTTGAAGAACATTTTTTGGAGGCCATATACAAATGGAGTCAAACCTTGATTCTTTGAATCTCCATTATGTAGACTTCGGTTACAATGGACAAAAATTCACTTTAGACTTTATTTCTAAACAATGGGCAAAGTTCATTGTGTTCAAAGTAATGCAGGGAACTGATATATTAAATGAGATTCAAATTAAATTACATAACTTGCTTGATTTATTTATTTATTAAACCAATTTAGCAATAACACTTAGATTTATATACCACTTCACAGTGCTTTACAGCCCCCTCTAAGCGGTTTACAAAATCAGCATATTGCCCCCAATAATCTGGGTTCTCATTTTACCCACCTGGGAAGGATGGAAGGCTGAGTCAACCTTGAGCCTGGCTCTGTATAATTTATATTATAAACCAACTCTGGGAGATAAACATCAGAACTAAAACTGTTAATAAATAGATTAAAAAGCATAAAAACCAAGCTAAAACAAAGAATAATAGACAAAGGGTTGTTAAAAATAGCGGAATCATCTCACTAGTTCATCGGTCCCCTAGAGTTCCCAGGTCTGCTAACATAACCAAGTCTTGAGAACCTCTGGAAGTTTAACAATGACAAGGTTAACTTCATCTCAGGGGAGAGAAATTCCATTGTGCAAGGACCACAGCAGAAAAGGCCCATCATCTAGGATCCATCTAATGTAGCTCTTTAGATGATGGAACAACATACCCTCTCTGCTGGATCTGATAGGATGGGCAGGTGAAATTTGAGCAGATAGCCCCTCAAATAACCTGGTTCCATGCCATGAAAGGTTTTTAAGATCAACACCAGCACCTTGGACTGGGAAACAAACAGGTAACCAACGCTGCTCACAAAACAGAGGTGTGAAATTTTGGTTATGGTATAGATTTAGAGAAGTGGCAAAAATTATGGTCACATCATTATAAGATGACGATGTCCACAGCATATAAGGAAAATTTGTATAAGATGTTTTACAGGTGGCATTTACCCCCGGCAAGGATAGCCAGAATGTTCAAGAACAAATCGGAGAAGTGTTGGAAGTGCCACCAGATTTTGGGATCATACTATCATATGTGGTGGAGGTGAAATATGATATATGGAAAGAAATCATGATAAAAAGCTGTAAAAAGCCATGATATGGGGAAAAGAAGCATATGTTATATATAGGTATTTTGAAGATTTTTTAAAGCACAAAAAGATAATAATCGACCGTTACACTGTCTGTACTTATCTGAAAGAATGATGTTTTTATGTTTTTGTTGGAAAAAAACAAAAACAAAGCAGAGGTGTGACATTTGTTTTGTACCAGCTACAGTTTATAGATAAACTGTTGAATTCTGAATTACCTTGGATAAGCCCTGAGCCACCTCAGATCCCACTGCCAGGAAAGTCAAATTGGGAAGTCACCCAAGATCACAGGTCTAGGGAATTCCACTGGCAACTTGGAGATGGAAGCAAGGAACTCAGGCACGGAGTTTGCTATGTAGCAGTGAACCTGGTACAACGGCAACAGTCCTAACTGATTCCTAGAGCCCAACTTAATTAACAGGATGTCACATCCAGTGATTTGTGGAACAGCACTCCTGAAAGCTCTAAGTGATTCTCAGATGACAATTGCCATACCATTGTCCCTGCCTACGTTCTTGCCTGATGCCATACTCGTAACCTCACCAGGCACTTCTCTGAGAGGAAGAGGTCCCCTTTGGGACCCAGCAGTTTGGTAATACATTCCAGGTTAGCCCTCTCATGCATAATCAAATCACAGATGAAGGATGGCTTATTATAAACCAACCTGACATTTAAGACCCTGGATGGAAGGTATATGCTATATCAATGACCATTGTGTCATTTGCACCAATCTGCATCATCTGGAAAACTGATACAAATGGTGTCAAATATCAATTACATAATTATACAAATAATGTAAATTTGGTTGCCCTGGACATTCATATATAATTCAAACCCTTTCTCCACAAATGGTTTATTTAATTGAAGTTAAACTACATACAGTACAGTCAACCTCCATGGAAGAAAGAGTGTCTTGCAGGCAGGGAGATGTATACACAAACTTGAAGGTCCAATCACAGAGTAAGTTAAGTAGAACATTTTTCATCTAGCAGCATTAGATAAGATTCTATGTTGTTAGACTTCTAAGCCTGTTGGAGCAGCTGCCAGCTTGTCTCTGTTTTGTGCAACTTCATTTTGTGGTTAATACAGGGGTGTCAAATTCAATTTCTTTGAGAGCCCCATCAAGGTTGTGTTTGACCTCGGGGGGCAGGAGGGCATGGCCAGGGTGGGTGTGGCCAGCTTGATGTCACTCAGCAGTTTTCAGCCTGCCTGGGCTTTGTTTTCAGCTGTGATGGTCTCCTGCAGCCCTCTGCCAGCGAAAACGGAGCTCGAGGAGGCTGCCGAGCTCCATTTTTGCTGGCAGAGGGTTGCAGGAGGCCATCACGGCCAAATATGGAGCCC